CTTGTTATATTTGTTTTAGCTATGGGAGGAAACGTACGCAGAACAGGAGAGAAACGTACAGACTCCACACACGCGAGAAAGGAGGCACCCAAGTCGGGAATTGAACCCAGGCGCTGCTTGCTATGAGGCGCAAATGTAACCACTGCCCCTACCCTGCCAGTGGTTGAAGACAATAAACTACGCTGTGTGTCACCTACGCATGCAGCATTCGATGTTGCAGTGCTGTACCCGTTGACGTATTCTGCTCGCCACATCTTCCCCGGATTATAAGACGCACCTCAAAAACCACGTGTGCCCAGTGTCGATTCAGATGTACACATTTGATTTCACACACACACACACCATGGGTTATGACGCACCCACAAACACTTTCCCAATGAGATACAAAAGTGCTTCTTGAAAATCCGGAGGTTACGTATGTATATATATATGTGTGTGTAATGTATTATATAGTGAGTGACACGCGCAAGATGAACTAAAGCCACTTAAAATGTGTTTAACATTAGTCGGTGATTACGCGGGTAACGGAATTGCAACATAAATGTAGTTGTTTTTTTATATATACTGCATCTCAAACCAATCTGCTGCGTTAGAAAATGTGTGTACATATATACATACCCTGACGATGATTATATTATTTGTTTTATAATCAGGCTTGCGAGGTGCGGTGATGTAATTCCGTTACCGTCCAATTATAAACCGTTGTGCAATAAAACGGGCTGATCCATGTGCAGATACCCCACTTAAATAGGCAGAATAAATTACGTATAGCGAATTCAAATGTTTATTTCAAAGCCTCTACACGTCTCCCACCACCCGTCTCAATACACACATTAAATATTTTAACTCTACCCCCCCTCCCCACCCGAAAGATACGGGATCCATCGCGTTCCACAATATTCACTCGGCTGTCTACGGGGTGGAAGTCGGGACGGGTCATGAGAAACCAACGGGGTATCTATAAATGGATCACTTTGTAATATGCATAAGCATATATACACACACGCGTGCGCGCGCGCATGCACCAAAGTGGTCGGGAAAATGTTTTCACAACGGAAGGAAAACTGTAATTGTGTTAGTTTTTTTGTGTTACTGAGCATATGGCGTGTGTTAAAGTTTGTACATAAATAAAAGCGTTGCAAACCACATGTCAAAAATAGGTCAAAACCTCTCAACGAATATTGTTTAGTCAACTGCTGTATGTTACGCCAGTACAGCATCTTTAAAAAATCCGCACGTGAAAAATCCATTACTCGATAATTAGATTGGATAATTAGATGGGGTAATTAATGGATGTTTTATGTTTAAAGTGTCTCGTTCTAAAGTAACATTTCACTGACACAACGTGCGTGCTAGATTTTATATAGCACACATAGAGTAACACTGTCATCGTTTTAACTTAGTCTACATTATCACGCGAAAGCGAATCCAACCTCGAACTGCCACGTATAAAGATTAAGCAGAACGACGAATTATACCAAATTAAATACGCTCACCAGATTTGTCATGAATTTTGCTTCTTAACAGAAAAATAAATATACACGTAATTGCTATATATAGGAAACTGATATAAAGATCACTCGAATGATACACACACACACGTCTCGTTCTCGTGTCTCTTTTGCAATGATCCCGTCTTGTACGAGGAGCGCTCTTACCAACAACATCCGGCAAATCCGCTGCTATCATTGAACAAGCCCCGACTGACCTTTGCCGATGAGCCCCAACAAAGTCGAATATAAACAAGCTCGATGTTCGTATCATAAGCATGCAGCGTGTAGATTTGTTTCATCTCATGCAATGATGTGCACAATTTCGACCCTTTGCCAATCCACCGCTGGATTTGGCAAAGGGTCTAAATCGTTTTCCCACTTGGTGTCGGCGGTGGTCGTGCGGCCATACTTCACTACGCTAGTCGGCACGGGTAAGGTGATGGTGGTGGCCCAGATAAATTGTTTCAGATATCACCCGTCACCGATCTTAGCTTGGCACGGGGATCAATAGAACTCGGTTCACAGCACAGCGTCTGAACCACTGTGCCACCACTCTCCCTCCCCCCTTAATATAGTCAAGCACGCCCCCCCCCCCTTTAGCACGGCTTGCTTACGTACGGTGCGACAGAAGTTCAACATACGTATTAAGAACTCATTAACACGCTCACTCCACAGAAGCACGACAAACTGAGTAAATATACAGCACCTGATTTAATCAAGCACAGCCCCGAAGAATGGTCCCGAACTCGTTTTTTTGGCACGCAACCACATCGCCTAATTGTGTCCTCATGTTACTTATATTTCATGCTCATAGGATGATATGAGTATAGGATTCCATAATATAGGACTTGTTATGCATGCGTGTATATTTTATGTACTGTATCCGATATTGGTAGTGCCTTAGGCCGATAATTCCAACTCGAAGCCAGCAGATTTTGCAGCGTTCTGCAATATATCGAGTGGAAAATTAAACCTCTGGGTACATATATATATACTGCACTGTAAACACTTTATATATGCTTACAATCGCGCAAGGCGCAAGCGATCGGCTTTGCTTTTAGTCCGAACGCATGCACCCGAGTGTGTTGTTGTTGTTGTTGGGTAGCGAGTGAGCTAACCGCTGGTTATTACAAAGCGTTATTACAACTTAGCTGGAGAAATGTGGGCTAATGTAATGATTACAACCTCTCCCTCCCTCCACCCGGCCCCCCAAAAAACAAAGAACGTTGGGGGAGCGGGTAGAAATATTGTTACATTGTATAGGAGAAATGTCTTCTTGAACGGGAACACGTGGACACATTGAAACGTGCGGGTCTCAAAGCACGGCTCCGACTGTAGTAAAAACAAAAACGATGATTGTGTCGTACGTAATGAGTTAGTAACTTGCGTGTTGAAGCATTTAATATGTTTAACTATTCCACATAGCCTGTTTAAGGCCAGACGGGGGGGGAAATCTTTGTCTTCGTTATAGATTGTCATCACACGCATCACCCACGAGCAATCCACTGCTGGATGATTGCCTCTCTTAGCTGTGTAGATTTCATTCGTAGCAAATGTAGACTATATATATAAAATTTTAATGAGTTTGTTAACTGTATTGGGTTTTATGTGTTTTTTTACAGTTTACCAAGTATAAATGTAAACATATTTCAACAATTACACTATTAATACTATGACTATAATTGGTCATGTTTGTATATATGTAGCAGTACAACAGCAACGCTTCTCAGGCTATAGCGTTGTTTGCGAGCTCCTATTAAGGTCGATACGAAACACCACCCAAGATCACTGGGCCACAACACACTCCTTGCCGCCTTTGTCTCACCAGTGCTGATACGTAAGCCTGGCGCACCCGGTACTCAGTTAAGTCTGAGTCGACCTAGGAGCATGAGAGAGTCAACGAGCAAATTCTAACGCCACCGTGATTAGCCTCGGGTGAGGAATTAAACTCGTAGCGTACGTGGAAAGCGGATAAACGCCGCTTTTTCCGAATTATAAGATCCGTCTTATAAATGAGATAAATGTCTTATAATCCGGAATATAAGACGCGTCTTATAATCTGGGTTAACGTTGACGTCGGAATAACTTTGACATCGGACACACAACAAGTTGGTGGGTTGTGGGATGGGTGCGTCTTACTTTCCGGAGCACACGCTACGCACGGAACCCCAGTACAGTATCTTTAACACGACAACACAAATACGTGAATCAGCTGATCCAGCAGCTGAAACGCGCCCTTTAATATCGCCCGCCAGATCGCTGTTGCAGAGTGCAGCAGCAGCAGCAGCTTCAACGTAACGCAGTGCTACCGTGCAAGTCTCTTATAACAACTGTTGTGTTTGTCGTTTCCTGTTTGAGCGAGTACTTAATCAAAAAAACACCCCGACAGGAGTATGGTTGGCCATCGCGAGCTGCCGCATTTTTATTGTATTGCACCGCTTCACGCAACCGATACGGGTCCCTTGTTAAAACGTGCGTTTTGATTCATGTTCGTGGCGTAAACGTACAAAAAAAGTAATGTCCACTCATGCATTCCTCTAAGCTGTGCTGTTGAGGACTTCGGCCTAAGCAGACTTAGACCCAAGTCCTTCCCGTCACCACCTTTTCTCAAGTTATTACAATTTTAGCTCAATTAAAGAAATGTATAAACTCGCGTCTATCACTAAAGTCAAGCGCAGTTTGTTGCTGGTCGTTTGGCGTTTTGAGCCAGTGCTGGCAATTTATATTTATACTACATATCGATTTATATTTATCATACACTCATTCTTTACTAAAAAATCAAATGTTCACAACGTTGTATGTTCTATGCATGCGTCTTAGCGTACGCAGTCACACAATGCGTAGCCTCTACCCCCCTCCACTGCTGGATGTTATTAACGGCAGTGGCCGGGGATCGAACTCAGGTCGCCGGCCGAGTTGCAAGTGCAGTGCCGCTAGCCATTGTGCCTCCGCTCCGCACCCAGCCAGTCGGTCATATGAGTGCAACGTAGCTAAAGCCCTTTGCCCAATCCACTGCTGGATGAAGGCCTGTAACAGCTCGTGTTAAAAGGGGACTACGTTTGTATTGCTTTGCGTCATTGTGGGTTGAATAGGAGGGGGTGGGGAGGAGTGTCGGTGTTAAGAAGTCACCCAATGACATCAACGCCCGTGACTGGCAATTCGAACTTTGTGTCTGCGAGTTCAGCACGCGGTTGCGCTCAACCACAGCGCCACCGCTCCCCCCTTGTTGTGTGGCCGACGACGGGTTCTCAAAGTCGTCCCAACCGCAGGACACGCGCACGGCGCCTCGGTCGCTTGCCCACTGCGCGCTCTGGGGGTGAGCCGGGCTTGCGGTGCAAGGAAGCCGTCTTCGCCGCTGGTCGATTCGATCACGAAAGTAGCTGGGGAGGGAGGGGAGGGAGAGAAAAACACAGCGCAACAATAATAATCCCTCCCACATCTCTCGCTCCTCTCTCTCTCTCTCCCTCCACCACCACCACCACCACGTCTCTCTCGCGTGCCACACAGCTACTGGACGGGCCGTCTGGCGTGTGCGGGAAGGACGGCTCCGCGGCGGGGGAGCCGTGCAGAGGCTCGGCATTGGACAGCGAAGAGCGCAGCTGGCTCAAATACGTGAGGCTCGCCGCGTCCACACGGCGGCCCAACTTGGCAGCGGTGGAGATTGATCAGAAGGTAAAAGAAACAACACACACACACAACTCTACTACCGTATTCTCACGATTGGACGATGCACCTTTTTCCTTCCAAACACACACCCACACACCGTTCCCGTTGTGTGTGTGTGTTTTTAAAGCAAACGTTGTTTGAGATGCGTCCTATCAACGTCTTAACCGCGTACAGGAGGATATCTACGTGGCCAGATGTGTGTAACTTGACGCGCGCTCGTTTTTGGAGGTTGTGGTGGTGGGATCGAGAGGGGGGGTGTTACTTTGCGTGGTGTCGTGTTATTCTGAGATTACGGTAGTGAATGCACTCACTCCTGCCAGCGTGTTCACCCCCCCCCCCCCGACACTACCCTCTACCCCCCCGACTTCAACCCAGCGATTCGATTATAATTGATGTGCTATGATTAAGGGCCATTGCCCGAAACGTCGCGCGTTATATAGCTGTCACTTTTAAAGCGGCGTTATTGACTCATCGTGCCGAGCTTTGCTCGATTTTAATGATCGCGATGCAAAGTAAGCGATTCGATTCGACATTCATTCACGTCGGCCGTGAATTGTAGAGACGTAGCGGCCTCTAGCGGCTGCAAGCGTTAAGTGAATCAACTGCACGTGAATGCGAGTGGGGGGGCTATTAAAAAGTAATCGATGTTATATTTATGCGGTTCGATTAATTTATGGTTGCATAGTTTTACACAGCTTATCCCCATGTAACCAACATCTACTATCGAGATACAGCATACAGCGTACATTTTAGTGTAGCAACATCACAGATAATGACTGGTGATATTGCACAGAACCACAGATTAAACAATACTTTACGATGGTTAATTATACAAATTGCGGGAGTAAACATAATAATCCGTACATCTATTTTAATCGTTATCTGACTAATACTGCACTGAGCGGTGTGGGGTAATGTTTATAATAATAGCGACTTCATATATACTTGTTTTTTTGTAGAACGATTGCAGCTTATTATGAAACTATTTTTTTAATAAGATAACTTTAGTATAATTTAAAGATTTGACTAGATAATACGCTGTGACCGAACGTGGATGTTTCTCGTTCACACAATATTGCAATGGTGAAGCATGTCGTTTAAATGTTCGTTCATGCGGCGCTTAACAGCTTGAGAAAATGGAAAAGTATTACAAATGGCACATTTACATATATTCGTGGTTCTACATCGTATTGCCTTGCCGTTTGTATGCGCGCCTTTGTGCCTAGGGGGTTAACAACGTACGTGTCAACGCCTCTGCAGCCCCGGCGTGTGGAGGCGATTTGTGCCTGTGTGAACACGCGTGTGCAAACAGTATACATTGCAGTACGTGTAATGTGCCGTCGTGTATTACTGTTTGTATCAACACGTGTATATATATATACGATGTACATATTTGGCATTTTCAACGTTGTTTTGACGCTCGTGTAAGTCTGTGGACAAACATCGGCGCTTTGAACAATTTGCCCCATGTAACCTGAACACACGCTGACAAAACGTACAGACAGGCACCACGGATAGCCGCTCCAATTCACTGTTTGCGGTTCACCCATCGGATTTATGCCCACTTCTACAACAACAAAAAGTAATAATTTCAATATACAACGAATGGAGCATTAAAACCAAAAGTGACAGTTTGGTAGGGTATGGTTATTCTTTTCGAATGTGACCGAGGACTACAAAGGGTGGTGGTGATGATGATGGTGGTGGTGGGGTGGAGAAGCAAGCAGTTAAAAGAGGGTAACGAAAAAAATAACAAAAAATATATTTTGGCAGTTTCTTGGCGAGAGGTCGTGAATTGCAATTACCGGTTTCGGTGTGCGTCGTTCGGGATCGCGTGAGACGCGGGCCCGATATTCTAATTGGCGTCTCTTTCACTTCTCCGGTTCAACAGAGACACGGCAAAACGCGCGTGTCCATTTTCACGCGGCGTCATCGTCGTTAATTCGATGTCAATTCTTGTAATTTTTCGTCTAGCTGTTCTAACAAAACCCGACGTGAAGCTATCGCAGGAGAGACACACGAAACAACATGGGGCGAAACCGCTGGAGTATTTCGGCGACTTTGTGTGTGTGTGTGTGTCGTGTTTTACAAGGGGGAAGCGATAGAAAGATTTAGCTTTGATCGCACATTAAACGAGTCTGAACAGCGCGAAGCGTACGCGTGCCAACACATTCGTTAAGCACAAGGCAGCGAGAGCACGCGTGCGATGACCGGCTGCGCGTTAGACGCGACTCGTGTTGAGAGTGTTAGTAACCCGTTCTCGTGTGGCGAAGCCGTACACAAAACACGTGCGCTGGCTTGCAACGTGCGCTGCGATCACGCGTTTTTTTTATCTTTTACGCATTAAAACAAGACGCGAAGCAGCAAGTTGTGGTCGATTTTCAAACATGCGGACAAAACGTTTGCTTTGTAGGGGGGACCTGCAATGAGCTAGATTCTTATACCGTGTATATGTTTCGTATCATGCGTAGTCGGTATATATTGGAAGTATAGGCGCTAAATGTACGCGCGCAAATCCGCTCGCAAAACGTACGCCAATGCGCGTTTTGTAAACCCTATTCACGGAACTGCTGTTTAAGTCTAGTTTGTTGTCTTTGCGCCCACGGCATCTCCAGATTAGCGCGGTTGCCCGCGGGCTACTACTGCGGTGCGAAATAAGTCTCAACGTACACCCGCGCACACACACGCCAGACGTGCGTTATCCTGCGCTAAATCAGCTCGAGGTATAATGCTCATCGAGAGAGAGGAAGAGCGGAAGGGAGGACTCGAGTCAGCGGTTCTTGATGAGACAACGACCACCACCACCACCCACCCCCTACCCCCCTCTCTCCCCACGCCTCCTTCCCCTGTGGGCGAGCGGTCTTTAATAAACATGCTACCGAATGAACTCCGTTCGGGATTTCGACGCGGCACAGGAGTTGGTGTGCCGGTAACACTTTAATCAACGCAGCCAACCCCCCTCCCCACCCCTGCCTTTTTAAATCCTTTATATTAAGTTCACTTGCTTGCTTGCTTGCGCGCTTACGACCGTGCAAATCTTTCGGTCGTTTTTTAACCCAATTCCCGTGATCCCATCGAGCTGACATTTTGCACACAGACTAGTTGTGCGTGACAATTAATTTTCGTGAGAAAAAAAATTCGAAATATTTACACTTTTTAGGAAATAAAATATTATGTTTAATTACCAATTGCTTAATGGTGGCAGGCAATCATCTGACCCATAGGTGGCAGCCATCTCAAGCCAGAGGACGAGAGGACTCTAGCCGCCACGCATATAAAGGATTTATAGTGAAAAACTTTGTTTTTACGGGTTAATTTTTCGTGGTTACTCCGCAGAGCCAGTTGTTACCGGCCCGCGCTGAACGCAACCAGTCAAGGTACAACTCGCGAAGAGAGCGTTCAGCGAGAGAGGGTGCGCGCGCGCTTGCGTGTGTTGGGTGTTGCGCCAGGCGTCTCTCTCTCTCTTTCTTTCTTCTAAAGCTCTCAAGCGCGATTAATGTTATTATTGTTGTGTTAAGCCATTAGCCCTTAGCTGCACGCCGGGCTGGTTTGAGCCAATTTCCGTTCCCCCTCTCGCCCCAATAGTATCCCCCCCTCCCGCTATGCCCCCCCCCCCGCTTTGCCCCCTCCCCCCCCCCCGCTGTGCCCCCCCTCCGCTGTGCCCCCCCCGCTTTGCCCCTCCCCCCCTGCTGTGCCCCCCCCCTCTGTGCCCCCCCAGCCCGCTGTGCCCCAATGCGCCCCATGCCCCATCTTATCAGAGACTCGTAAAGTGCACGTAGGCACACCACCCAAGCCATGTCGATCTGTCGTGGTCGTCGTCGTCAGACTGTCACGCAAACACGACGGAGCGTCTTAGACATGCAGACACTCTTTAAGAGTACTGTAGTTGGACTTTGCGTGGTGGTGGCGGCTGGGGGGGGGGTTACATTTGCGCGTTCACGTTCACCTATGCAGCCCAGCTCTACCCGAGTTCGATTCCGGGGCCACGGCTAACATCACAGAGGAGTCTTTAACGGAACCGGTCATTATTGACCATCCCCCCTCCACACACCCTTCTTCACCAACCCACACTAAACGACCAGAGTGGTGAAGTATGGTCAAAGAAACCCTCGCGACCGACGAATAGATACGGCGTGGGGAGGCCTAAACCAGAGTTGGATTCGCTAAGAGCCGTGGCTTATTATCACCCATGTTATACGTTTGTTGATAATAATACTTACCTCGCAAAAGTCACGTCTACCGTGACAAAGAGTGTCTCAGTTGGCTCTAATCTGGTTTTAAATACTTGTAAAGGTTAACTATCTACGGCATCGAATCCATAATAATCACGTCCGTTTGAATAAGCTTAGCTTATAACAGGGACCTTGACAAACACATGCAGAGGTAATAATTCTAGCATTGTACTGATAAACAACAATAGCAATTCGCACATTTGCTTATGAATTCGAAGCGGGTTCAGAGTGAAACATTGTTGCTCAAAGGTAAGATGTTCCAGGCTTATGATGCACACTCTGGGACTTAATTTTTCACGCCATATATTTTCTGGAATGCTCGTAGGCCGGCTTGGAGTAGCGATCATCGGCGTACACTAGACTGCAAGGCATGTCTATCCATGAGAATCCTATACAATCATGCTCCCATATATCCGTCTAATCCCATGAACATGTTTTAAACAGAAGCCGCTCCGCGTAGCAGAGACATTGAAGCCCCGACTCAGCCTCTTCCTCCCGATCCTCATCTCCTCTGACCCTTTAGTCCCATTTCTCCGCTCCTACTCCATCCCTTTCCTCTCATTTCCCATTCTCTCCTCCTTTTCTTTCTCCCTTCCCTTTCCCGTTCCTGGTTCTTTCCCTATGCGTTCTATATCCTTGACTCTGCTCGCCTTCCTGTGTTTTACCATGGGCACAACAAGAGTTGCCGGTAAACAATATTTTTACAAATCTAATTTTGACTTGTCTACGCAAACATGTTCATATTATATTCCTGGCAAACATGCACGTCCTTTGGTAGTAACCATCCGTCCGTCCGTCGATGCCCTCCCTCCCCCCCCCCGGCAATGGTATATCCACTGCTGGATAGGGTCCTCCTTGCTTCCTGTGTGCTGTGGCTACGAATCACGTGCCAGCTCTCCATGTCTTATCAGCAAGCCCGACAATATCAAGGGGGGGGGGGAACCAAAACCGAAGCCCTCATTACAAACATACTCGTTACACGTTTTTGTTTTGTTTGAAGCATCTGAAAGTTAATGCACAACGTTGAATCCTATCCATTAGGCGCGCAGGTTAAATCCGACGTGTTTCAACGACCCCATTAAAACGAGAGATTCCAAAAGCCGAGTCGAGCATTGGAAACTCCAGCGGCACACATTGTGGTGCCCTTAACAATGAGTGAACCAATTTGGTAAAAAAAAAGAACACTTTCCCCATTACTTATTTCGTGGTTGACTTCCTTTCAATTTGTGCGGTTTCACAAAGTCATTTCTTGAACAAATATCCGAGGCGCTCCGAAAGAGTAAAACATAGAAACAAATATTAATGCTTTCATGTTGGAAGTGACGAGATAGGAAACCAACGATTTGTAAAGGGGGCTCCGACGCAGCCTGTGGTTGAAGAGTGCCAAAGGCAAAGTCTTGCACAGGAAATATCTGCAAATTAATCCAAAGGGGACACTGTGGCCACTCGAGTACAATTCGCGTCTGGAAACTCGGAACTTTTTTTCGCGTGAAAAATGCTTCTTTTGTAACTTTTCTCCGACGCAGTCATTTATTTCGGGAGGAGAGGGAGGGAGGGAGGCATTTTATGGTGTGGTTTTTTTTTATATGGCGAGCGCTGTACGATCAAGAAACTCTCTTTCTCTCTCTGAACCGGTGCTCGCTATGACTGATGAGCCGGTACAAAAAGGGTTCTTTCGGAAGAAATGTGCGGAGCGCGTGGCAATGGTGACACCTAGTGGGGATGGTGTCCTCCAGGGTACCAAGGGGCGCTCTCTCTCGCGGTAAAAAAACAGTGTTACATTCCGGTAGGTGTTCTTCATGTATTCTAGTCACTCAGTCTGGTTCGACGGAAACCTGTGAAATTGCAGTCAAGCTTTAATCGGGTCTCTTCTTGTTGAGTGATTCAGTTCTGGTCAGCCAAAGTAGGCAAACATTAACTCAAACACTCAGACCATGTTGATGTGGTCTTGGAATTCCCCACCAGCCAAATCGATGGACTTGGGTAAATAATAGTAGGTTTTTACCCTTTTAAACTGGTACAAAACTGACACCTTTATACAAGGCATCATATTTGCAATAACCACAACACAAGTAGTCAAAAATGCAAATAAAAAGAAGCAACTCTGATAATGATAAGGGTAAAAACCTACTACTATATTTTGCCACTGGTAAAAGAGGTCTCATTGGGTAAATAATGTTTATATACTCTACAGACACATAGCTAATTGCCAGATGTGGTCATTCCTCAGGGCACTTCGCAGCTTCTGATAACGTGAGCGAACCATCTCAGTCCGCGTCTGTCATTCGCACTCGGTTATTTTGGCATCGCCAGTCAGGCCGCGCTTCGGTGCTTGCGACGAGTTGCCCACGGGGGCGCGGCGCAATCGTCGGACTCGACTGAGAGTAAAAGCAACAAAAAATATAAATTGTCGACAAATAATTTCGCCATTAAAATTTCGCGAGCAATAATTATTAACCACGGTGAAAAGCCAGTGGGCAGTCGGCCCCGTAAAACCAAGTCAGGCACACGGGGAGGGGGGAAAAGAGAGCGCTGTGAGTGTCAGCAAACGGGGCCGATTTTTCTTGTTCCCCATAATGGCCGTGGGGCCTCTTTCAAGGAATCATTTCTGGCCAATGCTACCTCGGGGGGGAGGGAGGGGGGGGGTTAAAAGTGGCAGAGCTTTGTTGATTGTAATTTTTGGAGAGAGTTGCGCCGGCCCAAAACGGGGTCGGGTTTGGCAACTTGGAAATTAATCAAAACACCAAAAAGTTATTTGAGCAATGGTACACGCGGCGGCGGAGAGCGAGCGAGAGAGAGAGATGCATTGGCATTGATTTGCGAAAACAGCCGCTCGCTGCGTGGAAGCATCTGCGCGTGTTGATTCTACAGTTAAAACACGAAGCGCATGCTACGTGCGACGATTGTGCGAGCCGTGATGATGCGTATCTGCGACGGGTGCTTCGGTTGGTATACGTTGCGATGACGCGTGCCGTTATGTACATCGTCTGTGCTGCACGACAAACGCGCTTTCGGGATGTCAAGTGCAGGGAGACGCGACGCACGCATTAAGTCCGTATGCTCGCCGTAGTTATAGCGATGTGCGTTGTGATAGCGTGTGTTGTGATGGAGTGCGTTATACCGTTGTCTGCTGTGTGGACAACACACACATGTGCAGGTACACACAAAGACAAAGATCCCCCGTATAGCCTTAACAGACTGTTGGGGCAAGTGCTGTTAGCGAGCACCTATGAAAAGCCGGAATGGCACAGGATGGAGTGGGTGGCCAACACCACTCCCGGCCGCCTTTGTCTCCCCAGTGTCGATGTTTACACACTGCACCAGGTAGTCATTTGAGGCTGAGTCGACCTAGGGGCGGCCCAGGACCAGTTGAGATAACCGTCACTTGGTGTTGGCCGTGAGCGGGAATCGAACTCTGGTCGCCAGGTTTCTTGGTGCAGCGCGCTAAGGGCTACACTACCACTCCAGGTACACACACACACACAAGTACTGCAAAATTAAGTGCATACGCTCGCTACAATCGCTCACTTAAGTATGTATGTATCACTTCTTTCGCATCGTATGTAGCCAACCGTGCTAATCGGAGGTGCTCACGATCGGAACTCGGGTATAAAGACGCGCGTCAAGTCACCGCCGCTACCAGCCGCTCTCGACATTGGCGCCTCTCTCTCCCTCTCGGACGACGGCGGAACAGACGCCCCCCATCTCTGCCACGATAAATCAGCGCCCCCCCCCCCCCCCACCGCCCACCTCGCAGGCAGCGGCGGTGGCAGCAGCAGGCGTGGCGGAGGTGTCGGGGCCGAGGGAGCAGCGCAACCGCATTAATAACGACGCAGATTGCCGTCGGGCCGCCCCCCCGCCCGGTAATAACTCGGGGACCTCCGACCCTCCCATCGCGTAAATGACGCGCGGTGTTTGCGGTGGCCGTCGCCGTGTGTGCCCGTGCAGGTTTACTACAAGGCGATCAGGGACATCGAGGCTGGCGAGGAGCTGCTGCTGTGCATGCAGGAGGAAGGCGTGGAGCATCAGGCAATGGCACCCAGCACCGAGCCCCTGTCCCAGGGTGGGATTTCTGATGGTACCCGCTTTTACCCTCGCGCGCTCGTAACTTCCCATGCACCGCAAACTCACCACCACGGCCGCCGCCGCCCCTCCGATCGTTCACCAACGCCACCGCTGCGGGTCCCCATGTTGGACCGTGGTCACGGCACTGTGCGCACCTTCCCCGATCTTCCCACCGCAACCGCCGCCGCCTTCGCCACCAATTTCCCACGTTCATCTTCCCCGTGATATTTCCCAGATCGCTTTGTATCTCCGGGAGAGGTGGGAACCAGGGGCACAACTATGGGGTGGGGTGTGGGGGGGGGGGCGGTGGGGTGGGGTGGGGGCACGTGGCAGCATTATGCGACGCAGAGGGGGCCCCCCGAATCAACATATAAAACAAGTGAACAAATGTAAACTAAATTCATAAAATTAACAAAATGTGTTCACGAACAATTACCCGAGGTCTACCAAGAGCAATGCACGCATCTGTGGCTATCGTCGTATGAATAGAGCAGAATAAAGTTGCGCGATCCACCGCCTTATAGGAAATCGTAGACCGATGGGGCCGGCGTGAAAGCAAGACGCACGATAAGTTAACCGCGAGCATTGCGCCTTTCAATGTCTTTCATTTATACGGTCGCTGTGCGACTGCCTCCCTCCAAACCCAATGCACGGTGCAGCTAAAGTACTACACAGTTAAATTTCGATGTAAAGCTTTCGTGACTGCAGGGATTCATCTTCTTGGTTCTTTCGGTAAAGTCACGTAGAAGGGAAGTAATAAAATAATAAAAATAAAACATAATAAAATAATTCTCACGACGTTTCGGCCACAACGCAAGCAGCCATCCTCAGGTGAAGACCAGGTCTGTCGAGGCGACAGCGTCTCTTTAGACACAGTTATAGCGTACGGGTTAGAACATCCGTAGCCATTTCAGTAAAAGTGAGTCGGGAGAAAGGAGTGGGGGTGGTGGGGGGGCTCACAGCGCTATCTTGCATACCACCCCCGTTGAAACGGGCAGTTGCACCTCTGGTGGGAACTCCACATCTCCACCCATCTCCGCTGACGCCCACCTGGGGCATCTGGGTCAGGCCGTCTAATTCAGTTTGAGGGGGTGGGATCCCCAATTTGTGTGGGCGGAATGCCTTCCCAGCGACCGCACCTCCCCCCCGCCGCTCCCGTCGCGTGCGCGTAGGTGTGGGCGCGTCTCAGTCTCACGTGCCGTGCGACCATTGTGTATCCCGCGAGCCCCGGGCCGTGCGAGAGCCAGCGGAGAGAGAGGCAAGAATTGAAAAAACCCGTGGGTGTATCCCCGATTGTGCCGGCAAGCCGTGTGGCCAATGAGTGGGAGGGGGCCGGGTCGGTCAGTCGGGACAACATCGTGGGGCCAAGGTGAACGCGACAATGTGGCGACGAGGTGGAGGTCCGCCACCATTGTGCGAAAAGGGAAACGCGTTATCAGATTTAGGGACGCAGCAACGGAGCGGCGAGCCAGACCGTCGGTCATTAAAACGAGAGCAGAACGTGTGGCGTGGGACCGGCCCTGTGGGAAATGGCCGCTGTAACTTCTAGGTTTTGAAATGTTAAGGGAGGGCGGCGTATCACCGTGCAGCCGGTCGTGAGCAGGAGTCAATATTTTGGACCAATTGGAGATGAAGAGTCGAGTTGGGGGGGTCACAAATGTGAGGGCAGCAATGCAATTGCACAGAATTGTGGGCATCTCCTAAATTGCACCTTAACAACCACGTGTTTCTAAAGGCTTACAAACAAACACATGTTAAGCGCTTTGAGGCATTTCTGGAATTGCGCTGTAGAAAATTAGAGTTTATTATTATTATATTATTACCCCTTAAAAGACGTTCAATCACTGTAGAAGATACCCTTTTGCCAGCAGTGGCATGAGATAATTATTTACAGTGCTGCACCTTAACCTTTTATAGCACAGAAATACGTGGATTCAAATATCAAGAAGAAAGGTTTACAGATATGAACATTAACATAAAACGTTAAGTTCCAGGTAACACTAAGTAATGTTAACGCATTTAATAGTAGAACTTCTTTCGCACCGTACTTCGCCGACCGTGCTAACCATAAGTAGCCAAGCGTGCTAAAAACTAGTCTTGAATTTTCCTCATCATCTTTGTCGTAATCCTAACAGACTACCTTAGGAGATCGGTACAAACTCATCTCTTCCTCCCTCCACCAACACCAACTCACTAAAGTCCAGCGATGGAACGTGTGACCCAAGGGACATCCACAATGCACCAATCCCCTAACCAGATTGAGCACAGTCGGCACGCCGCTCACGCAAAGTTCGTTGCGTTGGCGCTTTCGAAAAAGCAAAAGAGGCCAACAACAAAAAATTGCCAACGCGCTCAAGCGCCGCGCTACGGCCGACGACGATCGAGCTTAACCTACGACCCCCGCTTTGCCCCGGCGCGTGGCAGACGAGCACCAGCTGCGCTGCGGCAACTGCAAGGAGCTGTGCCCGTCCGACACGATCCTCAAGCAGCACCAGCAGTTCGGCTGCATCCTGGGCTGCGGCGGCGGCGGCGGCAGCTCGGCGAGTGACAGCAGCGACGGCCTGGCCTCCGCCGGCCTCGCGGGCGGAACGCCGCCCGCGTCCGCGTACCCCGCGCTTCACGACGACTACCGCATCGCCGCCGCTGCCGCCGCCGCGGCCGAACGCTCGGCTAATGAGGGCCCCCTGCACGAGTGCAAGGAGTGCGAACGCATCTACCCCAACGCGTACCTGTGAGCACGCACGCGCTCACTCGCGCACTCGCGCAAATAGGCACGTGACTCGTAGACGCAGCCGTAGCGAGACGGTATGATGGATGTGGTGTGCCGGGTGTGGAAATATTTAACGGGTGGCAGACCCTGGGCCAGATCCAGCTGAAATTAAGCCGCTCTGCGATTACAGCGTACCCAATGGGCGTCAAATCACCGTTCAAAATTGAACATTGCCACTCAACCAGTCTGATCCAAGGCAATCTGGATAGTCGGGGCCTTTTTACAAATGTAACCGATTTTCAGCGGTGATGCAAAGTGGTCTTGGTCCCAGTGCCAGGCTCCCCTGCCACTAGAAAAGTGGTTATTTACACAATCGATTCGAAAGAAAAAGTTGTCAGTCATTTGTAAACATGCTGGGACCATCAGTCCTCATACGCTTGAGAACCCGGTTTAAAACACGGCAGGCTGAAACCCATATTCAAACCCAGAATATCTCAGCAGTTCTGGCTCATGAACCGCCTCACCAACTGGATGAGCGTGGCACGGTGGCGAGATGTTAACTACCTTGCCTGGTATACAGGAGGTCATGGGTTCGATCCTGACCCTGACCCCTGTATATTTGGAGTTTGCATGTTCTCCCCGTGATCGCGTGGATTTTTGTCCGGGTTTTCCCTATGCATTTAGAATCAATGTGCATTCAGAGTATTTGGCTGCTATAAATGTCCACGTGATAAGCCACTTTGTTGAGCTATCATTTGTGGCCAGGTCACTTCTAAAAAAATTAACCCGTAAAAACAAAGTTTTTCACTATAAATCCTTTATATGCGTGTTCAATGGGCTACAACCCAGCCCACATTGGTCTTTGAATTGGGCGGCTAGAGTCCTCTCGTCCTCTGGCTTGAGATGGCTGCCACGTATGGGTCAGATGATTGCCTGCCACCATTAAGCAATTTGTAATTAAATATAAAAAAAAATTCCTAAAAAGTGTAAAATTTAGGAAAAAATTTTTCAGGAAAATAAATTGTCACGCACAACGAGTCTGTGTGCAAAATGTCAGCTCGATTGGATCACGGGAAGTGGGTTAAAAAACGACCGAAAGATTTGCACGGTCGTAAGCGCGCAAGCAAGCAAGCAAGTGAACTTAATATAAAGGATTTAAAAAGAGTGTATATGGCAAAATAAAAAGAATTGTTTAGTTTTTATAGCTTAGATTTGAATTCGGATTAACACAGCAGCCAGCGCAATCCCGCAGCGGCGCGGCAACGTTTTTATCGCTTCGGCTCACGGCGTTTTTTTTTTTCTCCTGTCGGCGGCCCCCCCGTCCCAGGCTGGAGCAGCACATGCAGATGCACACGGAGGAGCGGGAATACAAGTGCGATCAGTGCCCCAAGGCGTTCAACTGGAAGTCGAACCTCATCAGGCACCAGATGTCGCACGATATCAACAAGCGCTACGAATGCGAAAACTGTGACAAGGTAGTGGTGAGTTTTCATTTTGTTTTTCGTTCTAACAGCAACCGAGCCGGAAATGTCCCCAATTGTCGGAATGCGTGAAGAAAAAACGATTGCCAGACCTGAACTACTGCGAGCGAGCTTGAAGGCTTTCTTCAGGCGAGTCCTGCTTGACGATGTACGATGCTGTCATCACCACAACATGTTTAGTGTCCCATTAACGGACTGCTGGTGGAGAGCGGTGTTGGCGCACTCCGCTTACAAAACTCGCCGAGTCCCAAGATCGCTTCCCGACCGCGGCTAACATCAGTGGCAAGTGACAGCTGAACTGGTCCTGGCCCGCCCCATTTCACCAACCCACACTTGACCGGCGTGGTGAAGTACAGTCAAAACAACCCCCACGACCCAGCACGGCGCGGCCTTAACCCACGAGTAGACTGACAAAAGCTGCAAATCATTATTATTATTATTCCTTTCTCCTTAAATGGATCGTCAAATGTCGATTTGCCGTGGTGTGAACAGCGAGCATCTTCACACACGCCAACACAAAAGGCGGTGGAATGGAGGGCCGACAGTTTAAGAGGGCTCTTGACCTTTTGCACCTGCTCGATGGACCAAAGCTTCGGTCGTGACCCCGAGATGAACCACCGCTCCCCCCTCTCACCCCCTCTCCCCCGCCCTACCGACCCCAACTCTGCCTCCTCCGTGCGCCGCTCGCAAACGACGCTCCGCGTCCGAACGCGTCTTGCTCTTCGCGACGCTGCGACGCGCATCAAAGTGCAGGAAGCCGCGCGGCGCAAGTTGACCGCCTAAATAAGCCCAGCGTCACATTGCACGGATGTAATCATCGCTCGTTTTTAATATGCGGAACTCCACAGCGGACATTAATGCAATGAAACATGTTGTAATCATCGCGGTAATGTGAGGCAATTAGTCACTTGGTACGGACTGTTTACTGCGTTGAAGTTTAACAATGTATGGCGCCCACCTCCGCCAGCTGTGTTAAAATCAAAATCTTTTATTATTTCAAAACCGAGAGTTTGTCCACTTTCGCCAGCATAATAAATGCAGTAAAATAAAATGCACATCCACGTCGTTCCTTATTATTATTTTCATCCCCAAGTGCATTGTGGGAATTTATAATTCCGTTGAAATGAAAATTGAACCCAGTAATTGCATAACTTACGTTAATCAAGACATATTTTTTTTCTCATTTATTTCGTTTGTGATTTTGTTCATCTCACAGCGGTGGCGAGATGTTAACTCCCTCGCCTTTTATGCAGGAAGTCGTGGGTTCGATCCCGACCCTGATACCTGCATATTTAGATTTTTGCGTATCTCTCCCTCCGTGGTCACGTGGATTTTTCTCCGGGTCCTCTGTTTTTTTCCCTTCAAGTTTAGAATCAACCTGCATTCATAATATTTTGGCCGCTATAAATTTCCACGTGTGGCCACCTCTGAAAAACGTGCTCGATAGCTCAGGTGGGCCTTACCTGGGAGAAAAAAAAATATATATTTTAGATATTATATAGTACTCTGCTGTGAGCTGGGTACTCCCTCTGCATCGAGTCAGAACACGGAGGAGAGTGTGGAGATTAATAACGACGATGACAGGACGAGTCGCTCGCTGCTCACCCGGCGAAGAGCGTGAGAACGCTTTCACTCGAGGGGCCCGGGCAGACTCGCTCCTTAGTCACGGCTGGTTTCGGGCTCGAGGGGGACACATGATGGCCATGGTGTGGGGAGGGACGCCCGCAGCTGTCAAATGAAATAAATAAAACGGCCACTCGAGAAAGTACTCGAAGCTTTGAATTTTTTAAAAGGTTCACCCCCCCCTCCTCCTCCACTCCCCCTGTCCCACTCTGTCGGAGGAGATGAATGAAATACAAATAATAATAATAATAGCGGCGGTAGTAAGGGACGTCGATACATATTTGATTTCACTACATTAATCAGCTGGCGACAGTGGTCCCACTTATGCGAACTGAAATTAAAACACTCTTTTGATTTCAGCCCAGCTGGTGCAGGATATGGCACGTGTGCACTGCACCGTTGATTTTTCCCGATCGCGGCAAACAAACACGCGCGCGCGCGTCTGCAGCGATGAAAAACTGCCTCTCGTTACCGCGATGATTGCGAAAGAAAATGTTTCATTGCAAGTGTAATAGAGTGTGTAAAAATGTGTGATGAATGGTGTTCCAAGCTAATGTTCGAGGAGTATTTCTAAGTCATGTACTTGTACTATTGATATAATGATAGCAATTATAAAGCGTCTTGGCTATCCACTTTTGAATTAAGACCTCCCCAATGGCATAACATCATGGGGTGGTTTTGACCATACTTCACCACTTTAGTAAATGTGGGTTGGTGAAGTAGAGGGGGAGGGAGAGGGGGGCATATGATTTCCTCCCACAGGTCAAATACTCATCAGTTGAATTGGCCAACAACCCAATGTGGCAGGACCCTCCTGACAGAGGGTCTTGAGACTCGGTGAGGCATTCCTTGATAAACAATGCGAATTATTATGATTGCGATGTTCAGGGAGATTATAACACTTGTGCACTTTCCTACTGCGGAAGTTTTACGCAGTTGGGCCGTAGATCTCTCGCGCGTGTTTTCGCGTTGTGCCGTGTGTTGTTCGGCACAATGTCCGACGTTTCGCTGCACGTGCTGGAAGCTTCTTCAGGAACTGGATGCAGCAGCTCACGTTCTTCCTTGATTAATATAAGCTTCTGGCTGATGCCAATGGCATTGCTTTGCGTTGTCACTTCCAAATACAATCTCACTGCTTCCATAGCCTTAGTCAATTCTCTTTTCAATTATATTTCCCCATACAGTGACTTCCCCAAATTTCACAAATCTCCGTAGCACAAATACAGGGTGCTTCAAATGTTTCGTTAACTCTTCTGAGAATTTGCACGAATACCGATAGTCCCATGTAAGTGTTAGCATTTTTTTTAAACACCATGTATATATGTGACTGCCATCAGAGTGTGCAATGCACGGATAACAACCAAACCAATTAATTCTTGAACTGGATCCCAGGAAGCAGAGAGTAAAGATGACCATGGAAGGAAATCGAGGGTTGACTGGTAGCAAAAAAAAACTATGACCAAAGTCCCTTCTTCACAGCACATTTGTCCCGTCTCATTTTCTTACAAATGCTTCCGTTTCTGCGCCACAACTGTGCAATGCTCCATTTATACACAAAAAAGAAAACTCACTTTGAAGACGCGCAATTTGCTCAGATGTCGCCCGTTACAGATTTTAACTTTCGGGGCCAATGTGTAACGACGTTTGTATTCCGCGTTGCACAACGCGGGCTCGACGCGGGAGGAACTGCGCTTTTGCAAACAAAGCATTGTGGTCAGGAAGGAGGGGCGACGCTGCACTGCACCCCACGAGCCGGCCCGGGCACGGATGGGCATGGACCCAAGCGCAGAGCTGTCGTCGTCAGCAACAAACATCGCCGACAAATAACAAACGAAAACTCTCGCCCGCTGAAGGCTTTGGTAACTTTTGAAACTTGTTTTCTCCCCCCCCCCCCCCACCACCACCCCCGCAAAAAAAAGGTTTTCACGGACCCCAGCAACCTGCAGCGCCACATCCGCTCGCAGCACGTGGGGGCGCGCGCGCACGCCTGCCCCGAGTGCGGCAAGACGTTCGCCACCTCGTCCGGCCTCAAGCAGCACAAGCACATCCACAGCAGCGTCAAGCCCTTCACGTGTAAGCCTCACACCCGCAGCAAGCAAACGACCACGGCCGCGGCATTCCGCGTTCACGCGTATTGTCGCCGCGGCGTATTCTTCTTGTTGGTATTGTTCTTGCTGAGCACGGCCGTTAAATGCACCGAGGCTGATGCATTTCAGTTTGGTCTTGCAAAGTCGCTCGGCGCCAAGGTGGTGCTCACAGAAGGCTCCGTCACCGACGATAGATTTTAGAGTTCATTTTTTGTCAACAGGAAGGGCCCAATGAGCCCGCTGGGCTCTATTTTCAGAGCTGTGCATGCTGCAAGAGCCAGGCGAAAAATAAAAGGCGGGGAGCAACAAGTACGCACTTTCATTTAATTTCACCGCTATCTGGTGGCCAGCCGCTCATTCCTGTGCTTTCGCTCTGCTCTCCCCCCCCCGCCGACCCCGTCTCTCTCCCCCCGTGCAGGCGAAGTTTGCCACAAGTCCTACACGCAGTTCTCGAACCTGTGCCGGCACAAGCGCATGCACGCCGACTGCCGCACGCAGATCAAGTGCAAGGACTGCGGGCAGCTCTTCAGCACCACCTCGTCGCTCAACAAGCACCGGCGCTTCTGCGAGGGGAAGAACCACTTCGCCATGTCGGCCGCCGCCGCCGCGGCCGCCGCCGCCGCCATCTTCCCGCAGGGTTCGTCGCTCGGCCCGTCCCTCGACAAGGCCGCGTCGGCCATGCTCAGGAACCACGGCGTGTCGCCCTCCCTCAACAGCTACTTCGGGCCTAGCCGCCACCACCACCACCACCACCACTCGGGGCTGCCGGGCTTCCCGGGCGCCGGCGGCATGCAGCCGAGCTTCTCGCTGGCGCAGAGCTTCGCCGGCCTCTTCCCGTCGCCCCTCTACGCCCGGCCGCCCATGCTCCCGCCGACGGGCGCCATGATGCAGGCGCAGGCGGGCGGCGACGCGGCCAAGCTGGCGGCGCCCGTGGCACACGCCATGCTCCACCCGGGCGCGGCCGCCTCGGCGGCGGGGCTGTCGATGGCACCATCGCACCACCACCACCGCGGCGGCGGCGTGTCGTCTGCTCTGCTCTCGGCCCCCGTACGCCCGCAGCACGCTCGCTCCGAGGAGCGCGGCGGCGGTGACGGCGGCGGCGTCGGCAGGACGGAGAGGTCCCCCGGCGAGAAGCTCAACGACAAAGGCAGCGAGGTGTCGGACGGCTCCGACCTGGAGGCCACCAGCACGCCCATGGGCAGCGACGACCTGGACACGAGCACCGGCTCGGAGGCGGACAGCGACAGCGACAAGGAGAAGACCAAGAGGAAGAACCCCGTGAACGGTGCGCAGGGCCCCAAGCAGGGGGACTCGCACGGCCTCACCAACGGCGGCGGCGGCGGGGGCAGCGCCGGCAGCTCGGCGGCGGCCAGAATGCCGCAGAACAATCACCTGGCGTTCCTGCCGCCGCCGGCGGACGACAACAACGGGTCCGACTCGACCAACGACTCGATCAAGGCGATCGCTTCGATAGCGGAGAAGTACTTCGGCCCCGGCTTCATGGGCATGCCGGAGAAGCAGCTCCGAGCCTTCCCCTACACGCCCATGTTCTCGTTCCCCTTCGTGTCGCCGCTGCCGCACCCCGTGTTCCCCATCGCCGAGCCCAAGGCGGCCGCCGCCGTCGCCCCCCCCGCCGCCCCTCCTCCGCCCGCCGCCGCCGCCGCTGCCGTCGTCGTCAAGACGGAGCCCAAGTCGCCGTCCCCCACCGAGAAGGCGCATGGCAAGAGCGCGCCGCCGGAGGCCGACGCCGGCTCGCCCTTTGACCTGAGCGTGGCGGCCAAGCGCAAGGAAGAGGCCAGGCAGCCGCCTCCGCCGGCGTCGAAGTCGGCGCCGGCGCGGCCCCCCGCCGCGCACCAGCGGGACGATCAGCCGCTCGATCTCAGCACCGGCGGACGGACGAGGGGAGCGCAGGGGGGCTGCTGCCTCCCCCCGCACCCGATGCTTCCGCACTCGGCGGCTGCTGCGGCCGCGGCCGTGGCCTCCTCGTCGTCTTCCTCCTCGTCGGAGGTGGCCAGGAAGAGCCTCAACCACATGTTCGGAGGCGGCAAGCAAAAGCTGCCGAGCGACGCGCCCAAAGTCGGGCACGCGCCCGGTCACGTGCGCCACCAGCGGTCGCAGCACCATCACCACCACCAGCAGCAGCACCATCATCATCACCAGCAGCAGCAGCAGCACCATCATCACCAGCAGCAGCAGCATCATCACCAGCAGCAGCAGCAGCAACAACAGCAGCATCAGCAGCAGCTACAACAGCAGCATCATCAGCAGCAGCAGCAGATGCATCAGCGTTCGTCAATTCCCTTTGCTCATCTCAACCCCTTCTTTCTTGACCCTATATACAGGTGCGGCCTACTGAGGTGTGTGTATAATCTCGCAAAATAAGAACCTACCTACTCACCTGCACACTCGCACACCCTCCTCCCTCACCTGCTCACCGATCAAACCCACCCACAAACCTAACTACTGACCTACCTGCCTACCTCTGTGGAGTACACGCAACTCTTCTTTGCAGAGGTTTACATCTGGCCGACAATATTTGCAAATGAATCCATGTTCGTGTGTAGTATATTGATATGCTAGTGCGTACACAGGCCGATCCATTTGTAGATACGCCGCGAATATAATTTGTAAGAAACGCCACAAGATACGGAGCCATCGCTTTAGCAATATTAAAATCAGCCGTTGGGTAGACTTGAGAGTGGCATTTGCATCAGTGGATATCTGCAAATGAATCACCTTGTCTATGATAGTTTTTTTGTGTTAGATCGCGTGAATATATAAATGTGTCGTTAAACCCACCACCACCACCCGACACAGCCAATTAGTAAGGTTTGTTACGTTAACAGAACATGCCAATGCGTTACTAGTACAGCACACCGGTACGTTGGAGAGTAAACCCGCAACATTTACAATCGGAGTACGACGTTTCGCCAGTGATTACAACTGGCTGTCGCCAGACAAACTTTACCAATTGGCTGTGTCGGGTGGTGGCGGGTTTAGCGACACATTTATATATTTATTGGGCGTCCATAAATGACGTCACGCACCTGGGGGGGGGGGTGGGGTCAGATATTTGTGACGATGTGTGACGAGGGGGGGGGGGTTGATAAATGTGACGTCACATCAAAATACGCAACTTTAAATAAATATAGACAATACGTTCTACTTAATCAAATAGACTTTTTAATAAATGTTTTCTGACGCCGTGTGACGAAGGGGGGGGGTGGTCAAAAATCGTCCAAAATCGCGTGATGTCATTTATGGACTGCCCCTTACGCGATCTAACACACGAAAAATCTCTTATGGATAATATCGGATTCGCGAAAGCCTCCTACGTGTTCAAACGGATCACCCTCGTATGTGCACACGCACATTGAAACGTGTGCAAACGCGGCTGTCGGCAGTGCTGCGCGTCCGCGCACAACGTTGTGCGCGCGTCCGCGCGAGCTTTCCCATCGCTCATCTGTCGAGTGCCGCTTTGAAAACTCGACGCGAACGTTTTCGAGTACAGATCCGCGGGGCGTCTACAAATGGATCGCCCCTGTGCCAATGTTTTCGCGCTCGCTCGCTCGCTCGCTCGGCCGAGCACCTGCGGCCGTCTCGCTCTGTTCTGCCGTTTCGTTCGACGGCGCTCCCCGTACCTGACCGGCTTTCATTTCCAGGGTGGAGAAGAGGAAAATGGACGACCCGATGTCCTCTCTGAAGGAGAAGTACATGAGGCCAATCCCGAGCCTGCTCTTCCACCCGCAGGTGCGTTTATTGCCACAGTGCCACGTCGCAACCGCCCCGGGGGGCACAACGCCATACTTCACCGCACTGGTCGCTCGCCCCCCCCCCCCCCCCATTAAACACGCGACATCGGGCCAACGTTGGCGCTAACATCCCGAGTTCGTTCCTTCACCGTTCCCGACATCGGCGATGATCATCTGAACTAGTCTTCGGCCTCCCCCTTGGTCGACGCACGATTTAAAATAACCTCTTGCAGTGCTGGGGAGAAATAAGGTGGCCGGGCGTGGTGCTGGTCACATCACCCCCCCTTGTACCGTGTGGGCCTTCATAGGTGCTCTACAACAGCACGTGCCCCAACAGTCTGTTCAGGCTATAGAATGACTTTTTTGCATTTGTGCAGTACCCAACTATACTCTTATAATAGTTATTAACGTGACTTTACCGAAAGAACCAAAGAGTATGAATTCCTGCAGTCACGAAAGCTTCAAATCAAGACAGTACCCAACTGTTGCGGGGGGCTGAGATTCATTTTGGATTCTTGGGGCTTCAAGACACTGAGGCTACTTGACGACATGAGGGTTGTCCCCCTGTCAAAAATAAATATTGTAGTCTTCATCCTCAAAATAGAAATATCATATATTGACCAATTTGAGCCAGTGGTCAAAATGCCACATTCTCATGGCAAGGGCACAGTATTTCCATTGGAAAGCCACAGTTGACATCTCGTAATAATGGCATTTAAGATACATTACGGGATACTGTAATGGCAAACGGTAAAAGTTTAGGGCGATTGAGTTAAATTGCCCGCTGTCAAAGCAATCCAATTGCAAATTCTCAGCTCTTGCCATGTAGGTGTGTAGTATATACCTATTACGGCTGTTTTGGGGTTTATTAAGGATGGGCTTGACCCACATGTTTTCCAAAAATGCGACTCTTCGTCTGAAAAGCGAAACATGTAAATGCGCGACGCAAAACACACAAAGCTGCAGCAGCAGCAGCAACGCAGCGCAGAAAGCCGCGATTCAATTCGTGGAAGGGAGTTGCTGGAGGGGTGGTCAGCGTTAATTTAATAAACAAGGCGCGACGCTACCGACAATCGTCCATCAGTTAAGACTCGGGGCGACGTAAACGGCAGAGCATTCTTTTCATTATCTCGAACAAATTGGGGACGCCGATCGGACGGGCCGCGCTTGTTTTTCGGATTTCGGGAGAAAACGCCACCGAGACGAATCTACCCGCTCGTCGTCGGCGTCGTCGGCGGCATCGTCGCCGTCGTTTATTGTTCCGACAACAATGCCGGCGGGGCGGTCTCGTGCGCCGGGAAACAATGCGCGCCATCGCCAAGCGCTTCCCGTCTTTATTTGTCGGAGGCCCTCGAATCTGTGGTCGGGCGGTCGCCGCCGAGAGCGGGAGATCACGTTTAGCCCCCACCCCCCCCACCCACCAACCCCCCCTGCTCACCAAACGCCCACCGCCCACCAACCTTCCCCACCCACCAAACCCCCCCCACCCACCAAACCCCCCCCCGCCCACCAACCCCCGCCCGCCCACCAACCCCCCCCGCCCACCAACCCCCCCCGCCCACCAACCCCCCCCCCCCACCCACCAACTCCCCCCCCGCCCACAAACCGCTCCCCCCCGCCCACCAACTCCCCCCCACCCACCAACTCCCCCCCGCCCACCAACCCCACCCACCCACCAACTGCCCCTCACCCACCAACTCCCCCCCCACCCACCAACTCCCCCCACTCACCAACTGCCCCCCCAACCCACCAACTCCCTACCCACCAACTCCCCCCCCGCCCACCAACCCCCCCCCCCGCCCACCAACTCCCCCCCGCCCACAACCCCCCACCCACCAACTCCTCCCCCCCGCCCACCAACCGCCCCCCCACCCACCAACTCCCCCCCACCCACCAACTCCCCCCACTCACCAACCGCCCCCCGCCCACCAACCATCCCCTCATTTTGATCTAATGCTTTAAAACGGTATTTAATAGTGAAAATGTATTTTTATATATATACATATAAATATAGAAATAATGTGAAATACCCATGAAACTCACAAAATAACCCTCATTGTGTAATCTCACAGCAACGTCAGTGATCAAAGAAATACACGACTAAAAATAGTGTGTATCTCACGTCTGTACAAGATAAATTACTTTCATCTATATTGTCAGATATAAATGAAAGAAATGCACTTTTTATGGATGCATATTTATAGATGCATTCTTTAAAGAACTATAGATATAAGTAAATAGTCTTGTATACTCGTAGGATTCATGTATATTTATACATAGATAACAAACAGATGTTTTAGTCTGGTATTTATACAATCACTGAAGTTGCTTTGGGATTACAGTGAGGGCTGCCTTGTGAGTTGCACATTATAATAAAATAAAATGTGATGACAATGAGTATTTGTGCTTAACGAATGCCCATCATTGTGTTATTATTTACTTATTTACCCTGGAAAGCCACACCAAGAGTCTAAAATATACTTTATACTTCAATCGCATCCTCCCTGAAAATCCAAAATATTCCTTAAAAAGAAATATCCTGAAGCAGAAGATTCGTGCTGGATAGAACATTTGCCAATGTGATTTGCAGCCTTGATCCTTAACCAATTTAAACGTGCCATTTTATTGAGGGCCTGTGTGTTGTCTTGGTCTGAGACTGTTTTCGTTTTGCCACCTTGCCCAAGCTTGCATTTAGTGTAGAAAAAGTGTCATCAATTGATGCACTCATGCAGTATATTTATATGTATTTATTGCTAGCACCTTGCTAGCACTCCTATCTATTTTTGTATCGTTTGTTGTAACTTTCTGACCCGCCCCTGCCCGGACATCTGCGAAAGAGAACTTCGCTACTCGTGGGATTTCCTTACAGTCCATTGGGACTATTGGGCAACACAAAAACGACACAACGAGGGGGACCGGTGGCGCCGTGGTGTTGTGACGACGATGACGACCAAACAAAACTGAAATCCGACTTCTTCCCTGTCGCTTCCCCGTCCCCCTCCTGTGGGTTTCCCGCCTGCCAGATGGCGGCCATGGAGAACATGGCCGACAAACTGGAAGGCTACAGCGCCATGAAGATGGACGGTGGCAGTGGCCACATGCAGCAGCAGCCGCCGCCGCCGCACGCGTTCGGATTCCGCCAGCCGCCTCCCAGCCTGCCCGACAGCCTCCTGCGCAAGGGCAAGGAGCGCTACACCTGCAGGTAAAGGCACCGAGCTACGGGGCGCTGTCCTCCACCATCCCCCCACGCGTACCCCCGACTGAACGAGCGACGACGCGGTCCAAACGCTTGTCTGTCGTGCGTTCCGCTCTGGCTGTCTCGCACACGCACGGCGTGAAAGAAGTTCCACGTACGTACACCGCATCGGAACCTCCCATCGGCACGGTCGGGCTACGCACGGTGCGAAAGAAATTCAACAAACATACATATGTACAAGGCTGTGATGCCCATCGATTAGCTGTATTCATCGCTCGTTTTTTTTTGCTCAGGCCACTGCATCTGCTGCAGACAATGTACATGTCAAACTAAAGCTTATACATTACAAGCATATCGATCGGTCAGTGTGTGGCAACAGTTATTATAGGGGGGGGGGTGGGTAGGTAGGTAGGAAAACGCAATGCCCCCCCCCCCCACACTATGTGCGGATAGAAATGGGTTCCTTAAAGGCAACTCAGAAGTAGTTCTACGAAGTCTTCTATGGGGCCGTTCGCTAACGCAAGAATGGATTCTTCATCTCACGGCAAGAGGCCCACTACGATGGCAAGAAATCAGATTTGGGAAAGGCAGGATGGGACAATGCACTGTCGAGCCCGATTATGGCCTAGCTTTGGTGATCCCAATTAAAAAAAACAATACACACACACCAAGTTCAACACGCAGGCTTTAGCTACCAGTATTGTTCACAATGCAAAATGGTGTGATGAGGCCGGTTGTAATCACCAGCGAAACTTCGTACTCAAGTTGTCAACGTTGCGAGTTTACTCTGCAACACACCGGTATGCTGAGGTCACAACTGATTGGCAGGTTTTGTTTACTGGACAAACCTTACTAACTGGGCTCTGTCGGGTGACGGTGGGTTAACGACACATTTATATTTACGCGATATAGCCCATAAAACCTTTATCATGAACAATACACACAATAGCGGTCGCGTTGGTTTAATACGGCGCCTAATTTCCTGTGTTTATTTGCTTGCCGGGCGCGACAGGAGTTGGCCCGTCACTTTCGATTAAGGCCCGTGTCACTTCTCGCCGCTGCCGCCACCCCCCCCCCCCCGCCGCCACCGTTCATATTCTACGGTTCACTTGAATAATCGCGAATCGTTGTCAAGTCGCGAGAACAGCGTCGCGTGCACGAAGAGTCAGTGGCGTAGGTAGGATATTTTGCACCCGGGGACGAACTATAAAATTGGCGCCCCCCCCGTTTAACCACATACCAAAATGTAATTACATGACATGCAGGCTGTGTGTGGCGGGATATATAAACTTTTAGGTTGAGGTGTAGATTTGTGCAGTAGTTTCAGGCTGCCGCGCCCGCCGCAATAAGTTATAATGTGACGTTGTAAGCCTCATTTTGGCGCCCCTTTACCTTGGCGCCCGGGGACACGTTTACCCCCCTGCCCCCCCACCCCTATCTACGCCTCTACGAAGAGTCCCCTTCTCCCGACGCTAAACATCTAGGAGTGGGTGGGTGGGGGGGCGGCACGGTGCGTAACGCTCGTCGCCAACTGCCCACGCACCACTGCGGGCGGCGGGGGGGGCGAGGGGGGCTTTAGGAGCCGACGCGTCGCGAACTTCCACGGGAGCCGTAACCAGCGTTGCAACGTTTTGACAAGAAAGCGGCGTCGAACCAGCCGACGTTCGTGTTTTAAAAACAAAAGCAAAAAACACGCGCGTGGCTCAAAACGTTACCAACAAAAAAAATGCGGACCTCTCCCAAGGGAGTTATAGCCCTGGGTAATTTTTTTTCTTCTTCTTCTTCCATTTTCCAAAAGAGTTCACACGTACGCAGCGGGCACGCGAGGATGAGGATTTGCGTCTGCGAGTGCTTAAATTCCGCGGCGTCTCGGAGCGGCGTGTGTGCGTGCGTGTGCGGGGGCCAAAAAATAACGCGCGAAAGCCGCTAATGTGGGAAAACCATCGTCGTGTGGAGCAATGCAAAGAGAGTTTTCAAACGTGGGACCTTTTTGCCAGTTTCGAAGTATGAAAAATAAGAACAGGCGTTTTAGGTGAAACCTATTCTTATTTTTCATACTTTTGCTACTGGCAAAAGGTCCCATGAGATAGCTGCTCACCCCAAGCTATAAACGCTCTCATAGTGGCATTGTCTTTGTACTGTTCACCATTTGTTGTTCTCTGGTCTGACACTGGTGAGACTAGGCCATGAAGATGGCTGTCTCTGGTGTAGGCCAATCAGTTTCAAAGACAACGCTTATATCAGAGCATGCTTTGTTTGCATGTTCACCACTGTGTGGTTACCAGAAAGGATAAAAACCCATTCTTATTTTTCACAGCAGCGATTTCAAACGTTTACGATTCCGGCAGGTGCCCCACCACCACTGCTGCAGCGAGCAGGTGTCCACAGTGGAGTGTGGGGGTTCCGAAGTGAATCGCGCGCGGCATCACGAGGTTTAACACGTAGGCTCTTCACGACAAGTATTATTCATGATGAAGGTTTTTTTTTTGGTTAGAATAGCGCAAGAATAAATGTGTCGGGTGGTGGAGGGTTACGACACGTTTATATCTTCTTGGTTCTTTCGGTAAAGTCACGTAGAAGGGAAGTAATAAAATAATAAAAATAAAACATAATAAAATAATTCTCACGTTTCGGCCACAACGCAAGCAGCCGTCCTCAGCCGTCCTGAGGTGAAGACCAGGTCTGTCGGCGAGATTCAGACGCTGTCTCCCCGACAGACCTGGTCTTCACCTGAGGAAGGCTGCTTGCATTGTGGCCGAAACGTCGTGAGAATTCTTTTATTATGTTTTATTTTTAATATTTTATTACTTCCCTTCTACGTCACTTTACCGAAAGAACCAAGAAGATGAATCCCTGCAGTCAAGAAAGCTTTAAATCGACACGTTTATACTTACGTGATCTAACTCAAAAAACCTTTATTATGAATGGTGTCATGAGGCGCGCGACGATTTCAACTCCCACCAGGGGTTAATTGCATTGTCATAGATCTGGGATCACAGCTGGATTTGCGAACAGATTATTTTTTGTCCACTTTGAATGTTTGTTTGAATTCGGTTCGTCTCGTTTCTACAGTTTTGTTGGCTCCATTAGCCCGAATGCAACATTACCATACGATTTGCAAACATTGTAAATAATCGCTATTCACATGCAAGATTTGTGAGCATCAATATTAGGTCAATGAATCGATGCATAGTTACACGCATAGCAAGCATCGTTTTGAATAACGAGGTGAGACGTTCCTACTTTGTTATTAATTTTAAACCTGGCAATGTTACCTGAAAATTACTCATTTGGGATCACACAGAGGAGCTTTGCAGTCTACTGCGAAAAAATGTGCAGGGCCCCTCCTGGAAGTGAGTCTTGAGACTCAGCGAAGGAATCGTACATTGTTTACCATTTGACCTCAGAAGCTTGTTTTCACCGGTGTCCAGTAGGGGCGGGTCAGAACGTTACTACAACAAAACAAAAACACAACAGGAGGGCAAAGTATAGAAAATTACTGATGAGGCCTATTTTATAGTTTGGTCCAACTGGCTCATAACTGTTTGGCCACTCCACCACCCATCGTGTGTAGGTTCTCCTAAATCCGGCAAAATGTTGGGATTGTGGTGTGGGGTATGGAGAACAAACGGATTTATTCATTTGTATTTATTTTATCTGTGATGATCATTTTCTTGTTATGTGCATTTTTTTTTATCTCGTTGCTTATGTATTCATCTTTTAGTTTATTATTTTCTAAGTAGTGGGGTTTGTTTTTGTATTATCTATGTACGGGACTGGCTAATTGATGTGCAGCGTTGCGGGATGCAATTGCATGAATGACGCTCTACAAAATGAAATTATCATCTTAAATGGCCTACCTCAGAATCACGCATTCTTGCCGACGTTAGAAAGAATACGACGCTTCGCGTAAATCTAAAACATCTCCCCGTTTCTCTTTCAGATACTGCGGAAAGATATTCCCAAGATCTGCCAACTTGACGCGCCATCTGAGAACCCACACGGGGGAGCAACCGTACAAGTAAGTCAAGCCGTATCGCCTCGACGCGCACGTCCAAAACATCTTTGAGAGCCGCCACGTTTCCCGCGTGCGACGGGGGTGAACGACAGTTGGCCGAGACTCGGCGCCGAAAGAGGAATCCATCGCAAACGCCTCTTCGCCGGCCGTTGTTCTTTGGAAAATTATCAGATTCTTTGACGTCCTTTCGGGTTGTGATCAACATCGGCAATTCGCCGCATCGCCGGACCCTCTACAATCCGGCAGGGGGAGGGAGGGAGGAAACGAAAAAAAAATCGTTTAATCAAAATGGTGCCGAGGCTTACGCCGCGATTGAGCGCGAAAAAAAGAAATTAAAAGTCACCGACTCCTGGCACAGACCCCGGCCGCTTTCCTGTCACCTCTGTGAGAAATTGAAAATGCCGCAGCCGAATGGAAAAATAAAATAAAACACAAAGAAAAACCTGCCACTGTCACCGGCCGCCTATTCTCGAAACGTCCAGATCTTGCTGAGCGTGTCAAAAACGATCGTGTTCAATTACTTGTGAGACGGACAGGTAATCCATATAAATAATTACATGTGGAATGTGTGCGGCTTTTTTTTCCGCTTCTCGGTTATGAGAAGCATGTTGTGAAACGCCAAAGCAGCTGACCTCGGGGGGGGGGGGGGCACGAGTCATACCTACATCGACACGTTTTTAATAGTTTTTCACTAAATCTTTTTTTTTTCCTCTTTTGTGTTTTTTTAACATCTTGGTCTTGGTCGACCGTAGCCCCTACTGTGGGTAGAATTATTTTATTATATAGTTTTTTATCTTCTCTCTTCTTGGCATACGTTTTTTGAATAGCGTCTTAAAATTCAATGACTCGTTATTATGGGGGAGGGGGGGAGGCGCCAATATTAACGAACATTTTTTTTTAATAACTCAACGATTGTGGATATAGCAACCGTTGCGATGCATGCATCGCAAGAAACACGGGAAAAAGATGATGGGAAATGGGACAAACATCTGAAAAAACGTAGAGACGAGTGCGTCGACTTGCGTGCTTTGGAATACAAATAGAATACGTGCGGAGGAGAAAGCTTGAGCGGATCAGGGATTCAGTACAAAATCGGAGACATCCATAGTTCCTCATTCAGGAATGCAAGTGGTTCTGGGGCAGGACTGATCGGTGGAGGTAATAATGATCGATAGACGAGGCTCGTGATGGAACGGAAGCCAGAAGGAGAGAATGTGCCCAAGAGAATGGACTCTTGCGAAGTTGGAGCGATGAGTTCAGCACATGTGCAGCAGCGAGATGGATTGTAAGTTCGTGGTTCGCTATGTCGGTTTATGGATCTATGCGAGGAGAGTTGATGTGACGTAGGGAAGAGGCACATGGAGAAAAAAAACATCTGAGCAGCTGCCACGTTCTATGGGGTTCGCATGGGTTAGCAGTCACAGAAAAATCCCGTAAGAAACGGAGACCTTCATTGCTCCATATATAAAAATGTCGAGAGCAACGAAGGGAGCTGCCACAGAGCTGGAATGGTTCGTGCACTGGACCTGCAACCTAGGAGGTCGCCGGTTCCAGTCCCTCTCCCGGCACGGCAGGTTAAGTGATCAGCGCGTTCGTTCAATCACATTTCACTGGAAGCGGTTACTACCGGTTTCTGACTTTCGGAAACCGTTAATGATAACCGGTTACGGTTCACCGGTTATCGTTTAACAACCCTACTGATAAGACATGTGCTAAAAAAAGATGAAAGTGATTTAAAGCTTTCCTGACTGCAGAGATTCATCTTCTTGGTTCTTTCGGTAAAGTCACGTAGAAGGGAGATAATAAAAAAATAAAAATAAAACATAATAAAATGATACAATTCTCACGACGTTTCGGCCACAACTCAAGTAGCCGTCCTCAGGTGAAGAACAGGTCTGTCAGAAAGACAGCGTCTGAATGAACCAGAAGAAGAATATGAAAGTGGCCATTGCCTGAAACGTCACCTGTTATGTATTTACATTTCCTTCGAAGGCCACGCACGCGAAGAGTTGCCGACGAACGTGTTGACTTCCGTCACTGAAACTAAAAACTAAACTATGTTCATTTTACCAGGTAGGGCCCACTGAGCTATATATACTGTAGGTCTTTTTCAGAAGCGACTAGGCAACAAACGACAGCTCAACGCCGTAGCTGATCGTGTGGAAATTTAAAGCAAACCAAATACTCCAAATACACGTTCATTATAAATGTGCAGGGAAAAACCGGAGGACCCGGAGTAAAAATCCACGTGAATACGGGAAGAGAGACATGCAAATTCCAAATATACAGCAGCAGGCGTTAGGGTCGGGATCGAACCCACGACCTCCTGTATACCAGGCGAGGTAGTCAACATCTCCTGGCCACCGTGATGATGATGAGAGAGAGAGACACGCACACTCTAAATATACAGCAGCAGGCGTCAGGGTCGAGATAAGAACCCACGACCTCCCGTATACCAGGCGAGGTAGTTAACATCTCCTAGCCACCGTAGCGCCCCCTCCACCTGGCAGAATAGCAGCAGGCTCACCATGGTGCGTGCGTGCTTCTCTTCGCCGGCAGGTGCAAATACTGCGAGCGTTCGTTCAGCATCTCGTCAAACCTGCAGCGCCACGTGCGCAACATCCACAACAAGGAGAAGCCCTTCAAGTGCAACCTGTGCAACCGCTGCTTCGGGCAGCAGACCAACCTCGACCGCCACCTCAAGAAGCACCTCGCCGGTGAGAGGGGGCGGGACGCACGTGGGTAGAGGGGGGCACACGGGGGGGGGGGGGGGGTCACACGTGGTCCGCGCGTAATTCGCCGCGTCCGTGCGTTGGTAACAATAAAAAAGTACGCGATCGTACGCCCGCTTGCCCGCCCGCCTGTTCGCCTGCCAGCCTGCGAGCAAATCACCCTGAACGCTCCCAGATATTGTCAGATCTTGGGCAGCCGGGCAGGGCTTTAACCCCTGGTTAGTACTTGAACGTGACCATGGTTAGGGTTGGGAGACTGGCTGGGGAATGCGGTGCCAGGCATTGCCTGCGATGTTGCGGTACACGCAACAGATACTTCAATGTTACCTGTGCGGAGGTGCGAGTGTTTATAATCTCCTCGTGCCAGTGGGTTGTCTCCAAGTACTGAGGGTTTCTTCCCACGTGTCCAAATTTTGATTAAACAAAACATTCCAATGCAGACTACCCACCCCGCCCCCCCAGAAGAGTCTGCAGACTTTGTGAGGCTCACCTAGATATTGCTATTATTAGACTGGCTTTGCCCCAAATATGTATCGCTATCAAATTTTATTATTCGAGCCAGTGAATCCTGTATACATATGTAATTGAGATAAACATGACTATGTATATTTCAAGTCTCGTCAGTCTCGACAGGTGACATTTACAGTCTCCCTCCCTGGATTAGAAAAAAACTATTTTTTCCCCTCCACTTGAAAAATAAAGAGTTGAGGGGTGTACGTACGATAATCCGGTACGGCGCTCGTGTACAACTTCGCACCAGATTGGTCCTTCTTTCCGTAGCGTCTTATAATCTGGAGAGCATGGCCATCATCATCATCATCGTCCTGCATACCATCCCCCAGGGACGATGACCTCTCTCGCATCTGGAGTCGCTTTCCCTTCGGCATTGCGCGCGGTTGTTAACGCCGGGGTTCCCTGCGAGTTGCTTGCTTGTGACTTGGCAAGACCGGCGATTGAGGGCAACACCTGGAGCTGCAGCTTCACCGGTCGACGACCGTAACCACCACTTCTGACCATTGCCTCCCGGAGAGAGCGTGGCACAAGGGGAAGGGGTGGTGGTGGGTGGGAAGGACTCCCATTTTGCCACCGCTGTTCTTCGTTTTATTTGTTTCGCACCGGCCGAGCGATGCAACCCTGCCAGTCCAATAAAATTTCGCCGTGAGGGAGGTCACCGTTCCTCCCCCCCGCCCCCTCCCCAATTGGTGGCGTCGCTTCCGAGCTTGCCGAATTACCCTCGCGACCGTCCCCGGCACCCACAGCACGGTTCTTATTCACCAGCTCTTACATTTTAAATGTCTGTGACGCGCCACATCTGTTCCATTAATTTGCGCTCGGCAAAAACTTGGCAGCTCCGCGGCATTTTCATGCTCGGTGCAATATCGGCGTACAAGCTCGGGAAAGCTGCGGCGAATTACGCGGCTACTCCTGGAGCATCGGCAGGGGAGTTCCGTTGGCTCACCGAGTGCACAGTGGCTCGAACCCATGTTGTATTCACATGTATGGGCATATGGGTTTGTGGATGTGTGTCTCTGCAGACATAAGCGTATCGCTATCTCTGATGGAGGCTCTGCGTTATATAATGGCTTGCTGTTGACAGGAGGGTGTGGGGGGGAGGAACAATCATTACCCTCTTTCTTGGCGATTCTATTAATTCCCACGATGCGGGGATCACGACTCAATTCTTACGCTGCTCATCACTAATCCGTATAAGTAAAATAGATAAAGGTGCTGCCCTGTAATTTCCGAGCTCACGCCACTTACTCTTCCACGGTGGCAAGGGGCGCCACAGTGGCGAGAAGTTAACTACCTCGCCTGGTATGCAGGCGGTCGTGGGTTCGATCCCAACCGTGATGCCTGTATGTTTGGAGTTTGCGTGTCTCTCTCCCCGTGGTCGCGTGAATTTTTCTCCGGGTCCTTCGTTTTTTTTTCCCTCCACGTTGAGAATCAACGTGCGTTCAGAGTATTTGGCAGCAATAAGTGCCCACGTGATCAGCCACTTCGCCGAGCTATCATTCGTGGCCAGGTCGCTCCTGAGAAAGAGCCACATAGCTCAGTGGGCCTTACCCGGTTAAAGAAAAAATAGTTTTTAGTATAGAAGTAGTAGACGTCTTGGAAGAGGCGACAGTACCCACATTTTACCCACATCACACAAGACCTGCCCTGTGATGAAACCCATGTTTACTGCTGGGTGGGCATCAGTTGTAGGGGGGGTTGGGGGAGGTGGGATTTTAGAAACTTGCCCCGTTGTTTCAACTTCCGACCTCCGCATTGCAATACCGGTGCGACCAACCCATTACTCCAAACCAGCATCCCCCACCACTTTTGAATAGAAGCGTTTTTTTTTATTACAACGCATTCTTGCCCCATTTACTTTTTCAGGAACGGCCGGCTCGTCTCCCAACTCGGAGCTGGAGAACAGCTCGCTGCTGGAGGACAAGGAAGATTCGTACTTCACCGAGATCCGCAACTTCATCAGCAGCACGGAGGAGTCGAACGCTCTCCCTGGCACAGAGCCACCCATGTAAGTAACCCCCCCTCCTCCTCCTCCGCCCAATTGCACGCAGCCCCCCACTGGAGCCCTCGGAAAAAGCCCCCCACCACCCCACTGCCAGAGGTCGCAATTGGGTACCCAATACTCGTACCCTACCCGATTCCCGGCTACCCGTTTGCAACCCTGGTGCGGCCGGGTACAGGTACGGGTAGGCCGTGAGTCACTGGTGAGTAACCGTTTGTCACTCATTCCCAACGTCTTGTATATTCTCACAATTCAAGTTCCTAGAATCAACCCACCCGCGCCTGCAACATGGCTTCATCCCAGAGGTCACAATCGGGTACCCGTCCCCGTACCCTACACGATACCCGGCCGGGTACGGGTAGCCGGGTATCGGGTAGGGTACGGGTACCCGTTTGCGACCCTGGTGCGGCTGGGTACGGGTACGGGTAAGGAATCAAAACCCGTTTGCGACCTCTGCCCACTGCACACATTCAAGGATCCAATGCCATCCTGGCATCTCCTCAACCAACTCGCCAACTCTTTGCACCTCGAATTGGCACGGTCGGCAACATACATACAATCTTACAACGCCTGGCATGCCGTGGTCGTTACTCAACCAGGTTTCAACCCCGCGTAGCTTGTGAGATCCGACGAGATTATCTAAATTCAGGGCCTCGCATGTTGTAGACTATCAAATGCCTCTCGTCATTACGGGCACGATAGCTTCAAACAAATGTAGGTTTTTTTGTAATTTTTTTTACCGATTAGGCTTTGAGAGCATTGTCCAGTGCTATAATATGAAAAGACAGCAGAACGACACTTCTGAACGTGGAACTACAAAGCAGTGACAACAATACCGGTATCCCTTTGAGAGTTCGTCGTACCCGTCGACCTCACAGTGGTCTCTCCGTGTAGTGGCCACGTAAGGCTTCGGGCTGATGGATGTGTTGCTAATGGCCCTGGCTGGCTCGACTGAATTTTAACGCGAAAGCAAGTTCATCACAAAACCCTCAGTCGTACAATCACCGGTGACCAAGGTGGGACCCCGTGCGAACGCGCCGTAGATGAGAACTCCAGTTTTACCGCAGGGCGGGGAGCGCCGAGATTCTCAGCATGTTCCTCCGTGGTGCTGGCTCAGCGAATGGCATAATACCCCTTGAGCCGCACAGCCACCTAAATAACACGGGCCATCACTCTTGCCCAGCGCCGTACGTAATAGACTAACCTGGAAACTTCCAACTCTGGGCCCTCGGGGGCCCACATCGGCCGGTCCTTCCCATTCACGAGTGCAGCAGGCTGCTGATGCGGGGATTTTAAATCGAAGTTCCGTTAATTAGGGTCCTCGCGACCCACTACAGCGCCACCTCTCTCCCACGTTCAGTCTCACCGCTTCAGATGGGAATTAGGAAAGCATGTACTACCGGAGCATGTTTTTATTTTGCATGTTTGTCACAGGTATACTTGGTTAACGCAGACATGATTCCTTGCAAAAGGTTTCAGTTTGGTGTTTTAACATCCTAATACACCTGTTTTATTGCCAGAAAGGGTTAAACCTATTCTCATATTGCAAATTAAGCTGTTAAGCTTTCGATTGGTAATAAAAACACAGCCAGTGCAGTTGTAGAGGGACACCGATTCAACGTTTACGGCAGCGGATCTGCATTTGGATCGCCACGGTTGGTTACGTACGGTGCAAAAGAAGTTCAATGCACATACATACGTACACACACAGAAGATTGGAACGGTGGCACCATGGTGGATTGTCAGGACTTCCATTTGCGGAACCCCAATATCAGGATTACACGCTCCGCATAACTGCTAATTGATAAGCACTGATTGTACATGTGCAGCCCTTTTGTCAATCCACTGCTGAATGAAGGGCTTTGCCACACTAAGTGGGTCATGGCGGCGGGGGAAGGGGGGGGGGGCACGTTAGTGATGGTTGGGAGAGAGTTTGGGGGGGGGGGCGTGTGGGAGCATCGACTTTGGAGCGTAGACTCGGAGCGCAGCGATGGCTTTTGCTGCTCCGTCTCTCCCCCGACGACCTCATAGCCTCACAGACACCCGCGGCGACTGGGCGCGCAACGGTGGGTCGCTCGTGCGAGCACGATCCAGGCTTGGGCCCGCTTGGCTTCAGGAGGAGGTCCATGAGATCGGTCACATTCCAGCTGATTTGGTCGCAGGCAGACACCGAGAGGCTGGAGACCACTTTGTGGGTTACGAGACCAGAGTTTCAAAACTTATGCTCCTCTGAGCAGAGGTGAGTGCTCCCCCCCCACCCGCCCGCCAACGCCAAGTTAAACCCCGTTGCTGCCGGCGTTTAATCTCAGAAGCAGAAGGGAATTGTTGTTCGTGGGACGGACAAACACTGTTGGGGGCAGGCACATTAATGAGCTCTCCATTTTCTCCCGTGCCGCATGCGTCCACGCGTCGGCAGGAAACCGCGCGATGCGGAACGCTCGGGGGTTCATTATTCCGTTGGGTTGGCAGCGTTCCGTCGGCCTCCTCCCGGCGTGATGCCCGCTGAGCGCCCCCTTTCACAAAACCCGCCGTGCCACGGCGCGCAATCCAAGGAGGCATTACGAAGGAATTAAGTTGTCAACTCTCAGCCAGCTGCCCACAAGCCCCCCCCCCCCCCCCCCCCATTCCTGGCCACATCTGTGACCAACATGTACTGCCCCGGGCAACAACTCAAATGCGACTGATAAGACAGAGAAGGCGGTGGTGGTGGTGGTGGGGGGGGGGTTTAAGTAAATAATTTTTCGGTCTGCTTCTCAGCCCGTTAGTCTGCCTGCCAGGCTAATGACTGCAGGAAATTACTTCGATGTCAAAAAGAAAAGGCCCTGGCCGAGGGAAACGAGAAAAGGACGACCTGGGCAGTGTCGCGGTTAAAGGCTTTAGCCGTCGGCGGCGAGGGAGACATCGCACGCAACTGTACCTTCCCTGTCGGCCAATCCCTCCCCCGGTCGGTAATGATGAGTGATGTTACAGACCTTCAAGTCTTTTGTAGGAAAAATAATAATTCTCTCTCGCAAATCCCAGTCCAATTCTTGTCTTAAGAGGAGCCGGGACTTCAAACGTGGAGCGCAAAGACCTGGGGTTAATTGCGTATGTGTGTGTGTATGTGTGTGTGGGCGTGTGTGTGTGTCTGCGGAGACGCACAGTAGTATAACGGTTAGCGCGCTGCGCTACGAACCCGGTGACCCGAGTTCGATTCCCGCTCACGGCCACCACCAGTGACGACTATCTGAAACGGTCCAGGGCCTTCCCTAAGTCGACTCAGCTTCAAAAATTAGTACCTGGTGAGGTGTGCAAACATCACCACTGGGGAGACAAAGGCGGCCGGGCGTGGTGTTGGCCACTCACCACTGTGGTTTGCAGTGCCGGCCTTCGTTAGGTGCTTGCTAATAGCACTTGCCCCAACAGTCTGTTCAGGCTGTATGGGGGATCTTTGTCTTTATCTGTCGACCAACATCAGTGGCACAGTGAGATTTGAACCGGTCCTGGGCCTCCCGTGCTGTGATCACAAACCATCACGCGAACTCCGGTCATCCTCGCAGTGGCGGCTTTTGGCTAGCCATCGGACGGAGATGGTCACCGTATCGCGGGCTTTCGGATGCGCTTCTGCAGCCGTTTGGAACGCTCTTCCGATAATTAGGAAGCAACTGGAGCTATGCAACTTTTGAAATCAAGATTTAAAACCCATTTCTTTACAACTACTTTATGTTTAATTTGTTGTCCTTCCCCCGCACTTCCGATTAGCACGGTTGGCTACGCACGGTGCGAAAGACGTTCAACGTACACACATCAAGTTGACGCAGCTTCTAGAATTTTAATCTACGAGAAACACCAATTGCTGTTGGGTTATTGATCCTGGCCTGGGTGTCTACTAAGTTGACTCCGTCTAAACTAAGTGTTTAGTTTAGTGGGCGAACATTGGCAAAGTTGACTTGGTGATGTTCTGACAACCTCACATTTTGGTCGTGCAGTGCCAGACTGGTTTAATAGGTGCTCATCTCGGAGCAATTTCCTCAACTACTTTTAGCATCGCATTTCATATACGGTTAAATAAAATTTAATTTTTCTCTCTCTATCTCGTTGTCATAATACACCGCGACATTTAGATGGCCGAACTTTCAGGGTACATATCGGAGAATTAAATGAAGACGAAAGAAGAACGGCCAAATCGTCTGTAAATTTCTGCCGTGATAGCAGAATGGAAATCGGCACCAATGATGAAGCGGGGGAGAGCGACTCGTTTTCGTTCACTCTCTCTCGTTCTCTCTCTCTCTGCGGAACTTCGATTAGCGACTCACCTGTCAAGCCACCAACCCATGATTAATTGCTTGCTTGCAAAACTTAAGACCCCCCCGCACCCCGCACTCACCCCCCCCCCCCCCCACTCTTGGAAAAAAATGTTGACTCGCATTGACCCATGCTGCCCAAAATTTGCTGTTCCTCCCCCGCTATGCCCCCCCCCCCCCCGCTCCGCTCCCCACCTCCATCCCCTCCGCCCGCCACCGCGCCATCAAGCTGTCCGCCTCTGCCATCGCCGTTCTGCTCTCTCCTCTGCCCCCTCGCCGCCGCCTCCCCCTTCTCCCACCAACCCCACCGCCGTCCCCTGTAATTATCAGTGGGTCCCAGCGCATGCCACGCGGTTCCCATTTTGCAGGCGGCTAGCTCAGCAAAACTGTAATTACAAGTTAGCCCCCCCCCTCGCCCCCCCCCTCGCCGCCCCCCTCGCCCCCCCCCCGTCCCCCCCCGCCCCCCCCCCCGCAACTGCTTTGCTGTGATCCCACGAGAGATTGTAAGCAATCTCTGCCTCTCTATTTTCTTTTATATATATATACGTGTGATATCTTCCACAGTCTTGGCTTTTCATGGCTCTACGAGATAGGTCAACTTAGCACGAGCACTCGGTTTGTTTTTCTTGTTGCGTGCACGGATGCTGCGCGTGTATAAAAAGCGATCGTTAAAACAACGAAAAAAAAATCAAACGTGATATTTAGAGAAAAAAAAACAAGAGCCCATCGACCGTTTGCGGTGCATTTACTTTGAGGAACAATTTCATAAACCAAACAGCTGACGGTCGCGGTGGATGGGTTTATCCAGCAGAGTAGAGGGGACGGGACCCACCGAAAGTAATTTTGCGGTGTACAATGGTAATCACTCAACTGAGACAGATCCACTCTCATTTTTCCCGAGGTCTGGAACACTTTACCCCGTGTCGTTTTTCCGAGCAAATTATTTTCCCCGGTCGCAAATGAGGAGCAGAGCCAAATGGACAGAAAGTAAGTCGGTTTTTTTTCTTCTTCTTGCTTTCTCGGTCTTTTATCAATCCTCGTGCAAGCCGTGCTCTTGGCCTCTGGCTACTTGCTGTGACGCAGCATGAAGCATTAAAGAGGGCCCATAATTGACCTCATTTCAGCCGAGAAGTGGTTGAAATGAGGGGCCACTGCTTAGGGGCGGGGTCCTATTTCTCGTGGCGTATCCTACAACACGCTCACGCTAGACTGGACCTTGCTGCAGTCACACCGGATTGCCGCTGATGAGGATTTGACTACTCCCCGCATTTTAGTGCGACGCCTGCCCATGCTGTACCCCTTGGCGCCTCCCACACCCCCCCCACGAAACTTTTTTCCTGGACCAGGAGCAAAATAAAAAAATAAATAGCCTTGAGCGGGGTAGTTTCACGTCAGAAAAGTATTATTGTAAGAATGTGCGAGTTTTACCGAGACAATGCAAAATAGATTGCAAGGCGTCCGAATGGGACCGCACCTCAAGATGCCGTGCAAATAGGAGGGAAACGGACACATCCAAGAGCATGGTTTGAAGAGGGTTTTAAAAACAATGGCAGCAATAACGTATTTTAGGCGCGATTCTACAGGCACCATGATAGGAAGACCCGAGGCATTATGGTAAAACAGCGATAGACGCTTAACATCTCGAATCTGCACTTGAACAGGGAATGCGTCTGAGCGGTAGGCATCCGAGTGAGGAAGGGAATTCAAGATGCGAGCGCTCCAGCCACGGGCAGCGGTAACAGCGGCGGAGAAAGATCGAGCAATCCTCCCGGTAAAAGGTGATGGTTGACGGTGGTTGTGCCTATTTTTTTTACCAAGTTCCTAAGCTTTTTTTTTTCTTAATGGTTCTTTCGGTAAAGTCACGTAGAATTGAAATAATAAAATAATAAAAATAAAACGTAATAAAATAATTCTCACGACGTTTCGGCCACAACGCAAGTAGCCGTCCTCAGGTGGAGAACAGGTCTGTCGAGGAGACAGTCTGAATGAAACACCACCAGGCTTGGAGCGACTATTTAAGCTGGGATGGAGGGGCAAAGAGCGCCTTGACAAAAGAATTTGCATATCAAGAGGAATTTATCATATTTATGGGAAATGCAGATATGCGATTAGTACTACTTGTGAGATGCGTAGGAGGTTTGGCGAGGGGTTAAAAGTCATTATGCCCGTGCATTATGCAGGATTAGCAGCATCAAAGGGAGGGGATAGGGGTAGCATTAATAAAGGCAAGGAGCGTTAATAGTATGTAGCTGCAGTAACTAAGCTTTGCCAACAGAAATAACACATCGCTGGCCGTGCACGTGTCATCTCGTCAACGTCACGCGACGTGCATTTGTCCCTGAGACTCCAATTGCAATGGGGCGCTGCGGGAAAAATACAGCCGTGTGCTACGTCTGCTGACCGAAATAGAAATGTCACCCCCCCCGCCGCCCCCTGCCCCGCACCCCCTTTAACTCGCGGCTCTCTCTTCTTCTTGAGAAAGCTCCGATTCCGATAATTGCGATCACGACTCTCCGATTCAAGTCGGCGCCTGCGTTGTCACCGAGTGACGGGTTGCGACCAAGTTACAGGCGGGGGGGGGGGGGGGGCGGCATCACCGACACACAATCGTTCGCTCGTTCACGGCGACACAACGCGCACAATGGAAGGGGAAGTTTAGTCATGTGTCCTGTTCGTTGTTGTTTTTTTTTTTCTTCATAAACTTTAGAACGATGATGTAATGGCGAAATGTAAAATAAAATTCAACAGCACGAGTCAAGGAGCAAGAGCGCCGTTATGAAATGTAAAGGAGCAGCCCTGCAATTGCTTGCTCATGCAACTGCTGGCAGACGGGCCCTCCACTAGAGGGAGTTCTGGAAGGCCTTCTACAAGTTACGATTTCCAAGCTGCCAAAACGTCCTGGTCAAAATACCCTCACACTTCACCCCGCCGCGTGCAAACTGCCGATCGACTCACCGTGGTGGACCCCTGGTACACTGCCGCATGGACAGAGGCGGGGGGGGGTGTGGAGGTGGGGGGGGGGCGGTCATTATGAGAAACTTGCCCCATTGTCTCAACTGCTGCTGCTGCTGCCGGGAGATTGAATTGAACCGGCGACCTCCGGATAGCGAGGCCAGCGTGCAAACCATTACTCTGCAGCGGCATCGCGAGTGAGGGCATGAAGATTATTAAGTCGGTCAGTCCCCGTGCAGCCCATTAGGATCAGTTTATACTTAAAACCATTCCCGTGGGAGCAAGCATTCCCACGAACATTTCAATGGTCCTATTGTCTACCGGTAGATATGTACTGCCGCCAGGAGGCAGTCTATGTTCCGAGTGATAAAATAAATATCCCAACCGCTTCTCTCCATCCCCACGCTAAAAATCATCTTTTCTATACTTTACGGGAATTCTAGTGGCCTGTCGGCTTTCCGTACTCGGGTTACCAGCAGCAGTTGTTTAAAAGCAAGCAAACTCGGGACCGGTTTTGACTTTCTGGGTCTCATTGGCAGAGTTGCTAAACAAATGCTTGCTGGTCAGTTTGCCTAAACGATGCCTAGAAGGCTCATCGGCCGAAAGACTGACGACAAATCTCTATTATAGACTAAATAAAAAATGTTTTGCCATTTGAGGAGATGCAGAAGATAAGTTCATTTACGTATTTATTTCATCATCCAGAATGCTCCACCGATTGAGGTCTTGGGATTTGGCACAGAATGATTGAAGTTGAGTCTTTACATGAGGTCACCCTTAGTACAAGCATATAGTTGCTGGGATAATATGGTTTCTTTCTTTCATTATTGGAGCAGCAGCACGTGCCAACAAACCACGGCAAAAACTCAAAGAAAATTCACCACAGCGGTGGGGGATATCTCCATGGTACATGGTGCCAGGCAAAGTGCCCTTTAAGGCCATGCAAGAGTGGTGGAAAGTCACTGGCAGGAGGTCACAGGACAGACCCAGGTTTTTTTTATAGTCTCAGTATTGACAGCAGCAGTACAATGTGTTCTAGTTTCACCCCTTGTCAGACGTTCTCAATGCTGTATTGGCAGTTCACACACACACACACAAAGACAAAGATCCCCCGTATAGCCTTAACATAATGTTGGGGCATGTGCCGTTAGCGAGCACCTACACAAAAAAGGACAGAGACATACGTACGTGCATCAACATTGTACACTCACCCTGTCTTGTATGCAGACACGAGACCCATGGCCTTCCCCACTGCCCATGTCAATGCCCCAAACAGCGTCTGCTGCTGGCTACTCGGAGGGTCCGTCTTGTTTTGTGTGCATGCAAGGGGTGGCTCGTGGCTTTGCATAGGCTTCAATACACATCTCTTCCCAACCATGCACTCCCCTATCCTTCATCTGTGGTCTCGCCCACTCTGATCTATCGCGCACAGCCCATCCCACTTGTCCCCAAAGCGACACCTTTTCCAGTGGAGCAGACACCGAAAGCTAAATTGTTTAAATTTTTATGAATAGATAACCCCGTGTGTGTGTGACAATTATATGAACCGGTCTTGGGCCTCCCCTAGGTCGACTCAGCCTCACACGAGTACCTGGTGTGGTGTGTATGCATCAGCACTGGTTGACCACCCACCCCCTCGTGCGCCGTGCCGTTGCCGGCCGTCATTAGGTGCTCGCTAACAGCTCTTGCCCCAAAAGTTTGTTAACGGCTTTACGGGGTGGCGGGGGGAACTTTGTCTTTGTCCCGACAGCCTCGGCGTGGACGAGGAACCGGCAGCGGAGGCGATCGCGGTGACTCCGGAGCGCAGGGACGACCCCGAGGATGAGGACGACGTGGAGGAGGAGGAGGAAGAGGAGCTGGAGGAGGAAGAGGAGCTGCTGGAGGAGGAGCTGATGCTGGAGGGCGAGGAGGAGAGCGCCGCCGAGCGCTCGCCGGAGGAGCACGTGACCCCGGCGGTCAACGCGGGGCGGCCCCCCGACGAAGAGGAGGAGGAGGAGGAGTTGGACGACGATGTGGGAGGCGACCGCGCGGAGCGTCTCCCGTCGGAGTTCGGCACCGCAAGGTGGGGGGCGACCGGGCGACGGTTTTTCCTTGGGTCGCGCTCCGTTTGCGTTCTGCCGACGCTGCCGCTCTCCGCGGGGTCCGTTTCCTCTTCTTCCCCGGGCGTTATCCCGACCGCGGCATCGCGGGAGTATCCGCGCGGATCTCTCGCAGAGCGGCGCCGCAAGCATTCGCGTCAGAGAACGGCCCGCAGAGCTGGACGACACGGAGCTAACCCTCCGAGATCCCTTTATTTCAGATCTATTTAGCTCGGCGGCGGTAGCTACGCGCGTGGCCATGTCACTCTAGCACCGTCGAGGCAGCAAGCGTTGGTGGATCGCCGCACGAATGTTGTGAATCTCCCTCGCTGTGTGGGAGTCGAGGTGCTACACGGGAGAAGGCTGCAACAGCAAAGTTACGGACCCCTCCTCTCGCATCGCCGATGTAGATGCAGGGCAACGGGTTTTGTTTCACGTGCAGGCGGTCAGGGCCAGTCCCACAGTGTCAGGACCTCACCTGGGAGAGTCAGTCCCTCAAAGTTCAGTTGGAGGATTCTTGTGCCAGGGTCGACCCAACATGTATAATTGTTTGAAACCATTGAAATATACGGAGCGATTGTTGGTACAGGCTCACTGCCTGGCTGCCTGAAGATCCGCAGCGATTGCGAAATTGCATTTGCACGAATGACGACACTCTATAAAAATAAACATTATTAAAGTGATCCCTTTATTGTGTCATTGTCGTCACCATCACGCCATTGTATATTGGCCGCTGTTTAACAGGCTTCCTCTTCAACAGCGGCAATATATTGGCATTGGTTATTTCCTGCATGAAGAAATGCAAAAAAAAATTGCCAAGGCATTGCAATTGTCTTCTCCATGTGATTTACGCGTATTGATACTGCCACCATAAATCATTGGCAAATTCAGGATCATGTTGATGGCAACACAATATCTGTATTTGCCACTTATCTGCGAGAATTTCCTCATCCTCAATAAAGAAACAAAACTATCCTTTTGTTTCGTCAAATCACACTGTTGGGGCCAGCACCAGTTGAGAGCGGTCACTGCGACCGTACAAACAGCACACACACGAGAAGGTGGAACATGCCCACAGCGCCGGATGCCTCAGTCTCCCCCCTCCCGAACCCCCACGCCGCGATCGCTCTCCACTCCCGCGCCGGTACGAACGCAGCGGCTCCGTCTTCCCGCCCGTGCAGGTGCAGCCCGCTGGAGGAGGGAGGCCTGAGCCCGCTGGGGCCGTCGTCTCAGCTGTCCGCCCTGGAGCACATGAGCCACTTCCCCGACAGCCTGGACCTGCGCAAGCCGCTCAAGGAGCACTTCGCCGAGCTGCCCTACGGCACGGCCACGGCCAGCCACGACGGGGTCAAGCCGCCCCTCTACCGCCAGTCCAAGTCGCAGGTACGACGACGTTGTCGCACGTCAAGCGTCGCGAGCGAAAAGCTGGCCCGGTGACGCCGTGGCCCCGGCGGTAGCGCCTTTCGTCGCTTGCGGTAGAGGTCCGCGGTCCAAACCTGGCGGCCACCCCGATTAATACGGCGGGTGTATTAACCGTAAAATATTACACGCCGTATGCTTTCACGGTGGGACCTTTATAGATCACGCGACGTCATTCGAAACGAGTAGGCCACGGCGTGCCGGCGTCATTGTCCACATTTTTCAAATTCTCCAAAAAATGTACAACCCATATTCCTCTGGGATCACACAAAGCAACGTCGCCCCCTCCTGTGAAACCACTGCAGACCATGCCTGTGGAACACAGCAGCGACCCCGTGATGATCGCCCCGGCACTACAGGAATGGCGCAGACACCAAATTTGCTGCATTATTATAATTATCATGAAAGCTACTTTTTTCCCAGGGCGAAATCCCAGCTTCAGGAACAGCTTATTTGGAATCTGTCAAAACAATGACATGAGGAGGCCATTTGCTTTTCGACCAACTCCTGGCCACCTCGCAGCCTCAAAATTACTGGGACGTGGACACCCAACCAGGCATAGATGGACGCTCCCGCCTATCCACATGGCGTTGCGTGGTACGGTATCGATACTCCGATTAGCACGGTTGGCTACGTACGGTGCAAAAAAGGTTCCAACATTAACACACACACGCGTATAGACTTGACATTGCAACCGAACGTTTGTGCGTGCCTGCAGGCCTACGCCATGATGCTCTCGCTGTCGGACCGAGACTCGCAAGGCTCCGGGAGCATGTGGCACGGGGCGGCACGGGCCCCGGCAGAAACGAGCACCCTCCACCCAGTCAGTCGCCTTTAGGACCGGACAAGAGCGAAGTTTCCCCAAGCGATATCGTGAAGTAACAAACAAACGACAACGACACACGACACCCCCTTTGGGTGCGGGAAGAGAGAAAAAAAGAAAAACGAGAGCAAAAAAAAATATCCCTAAAAAAACTACTTTGTTTGTCGGACCAAAGCTTGATTGTTTTTTTGTTTTTGGGAGATATTTTTTCGTCGTCGGGTAATCGTCGATTGTTTTTAGTTACTCACTCAATCCACGCAATGACTTTTAGTAGGACAAAATAATAGGAATGATTATTATCATTATGTAAATGTCATAAGTAAGGTTTTCTTAGTCGTGGGGATCAAAGGTCAAATGAAGACGTGTGTAAACCATGGTTTTTAAATTTGAGAAGTTGGTTTCACAGCAGGGGCAAAGCCAACGTGTCAGAATTATTATACATGCACACAGTATATATATAAAATACAGTACTTGTAACTTATTGGTTGACCAAGTCAATGATGTTATGGAATATCATTTTTTTTATATATATTATTAGATGTTGATATGCAGTAAAACTTTTAAAAGGCTACTGCGTGCCTAAATTAATCTTGTATCTCCCCCTCTCTGCTTTAAAAGTAGAAACAAAAATAATGTTTGATGGGTTTTACCCCGATGCGTGTTAAATGGAAAAGATGTGGTTGGAAGTTATATCGTTTCGACGCTACCTATCACCGACCTCTGCATTTACGGAACCAAAATATGTGTTAGTTGCGGCAGATGTGTCTCCATTGTGTGGGACGAGAAGCCTCGCAGAGAAAATTGTAGAGATAGTGACAAAACGAGTTGCTCGTTAGAAATGGTTACGTGCAGAGCCCCCCAGATAGCGCTTCACGGCATTCTGATAAAGTCAAAAAGTTGGATTCAGTGCATCAGCTTCAATGCAGATTTCAGGTCTCAAACGAGAATATCACTTACGACTTATGAATCACGTCACTTTGTGAAGATGTTCAATTACATTCGTTTCCGTTTGTGTTGACTTTGCTGGGTTATTTTTTTTAATTAGCGACGTATGCGCTGGATAGCATGCTGCATGCCATGAGCCCACCCATCAAGCCGATTTCAAACCCTGATGCGTGGCTGACGTCGATCACCAAACTGATCCGAGGCCTCCACATTTCACCACACTGCAATGACCCGCTGCCGTGAAGTTTGGTCGGACAACCCTCCCGCGACCGATCAGTGTAGCGAGGTCCTTCATTGACGGAGGGCTGTAAGTTACATTGTATTGTTGTTAAAGAAAAGCCCTTAAAATACCAATGACAAGGTCAATTATGGCGGCATATGAAGCCGCATCCGTTGATAAGGATTTCACATGACAATCGCATCCTTGTGCAACAAGAGAACAGCGTTTTAGCTTTTGACACCAGAGAATTCAGACACCATGGACACAGTTTGCAGAGAGTGACTTGCACTGCAGCGTCAATCAAAAGTCAGAATCTACAAGCAAATGTGCTCACTCGATTGAACAAATATTCCACCCCCTCCCCCCTATGGCTACGATACATCAAACACACCAACACCTGGCGACTTGAAGGCACGTGCACTAACAATTAAGTCGCCAGGCTCTATCAAAGAAACATCAACCGATGTCACTTTCCAACATTGCCGGCGTGGTCACTCAGCCACTGGGCCGTTTTCGTGGTTGACGTTCTTCTGCTTCCGTTTAAATGATAAGTATCGTGGATCGGTTACATCGAACAGGTCGCAATTACGTGAACGTCGAACTTTAACGCCGGCATATCACTGGCTGCACCTTTTCCCAACGATTACTTCCTTTTGAATTATAACAGGGTCACGGTGAGAATGGCATTGCTGATTGAGAATATGCCTTTGTCATGCAATAATTACCCTTTTAAGAAAGAATAAACAACACTTCACGACGATCACGATTTAATTACCGATTACCGGTGCACTCAATATTTTTTCTTTCCCCACCCCCCAAAGTGCAACCGGACGGTAACTCGGTCACGTTGGTCACGTGGTTCTTCTTTTTTCCTTTGTGCGAAATTTGATAGGCGAAAGGATCTAATATTATTTGTGTTCATTTGTCACGGACGCCGGCGAACATTTTACGCTCGAGATTTGGAATTGGCTTCCGCGGTTAGCGCAGTGGAGCAGGTATGGTGTAACTTTTTCGCTGTACATAATTCACCACCAGGCAACGTTTTTGTACACATTCTTACAGCACGTTATAAGAGGGGCCAATTTTGCAGTACACAGTAGAATTGTGTGGGGTTTTTTTTTAGTCTTGATTTTTGTTTGTTTGTTTCTCGTGTGTTTAGAAGCGCATGGGCCTGTAAATAGCCGGTTTGATATCATTTCCCCGTTTTTCCAGAGCAGTATTTCCATTCGTATTTCTTCCACCTTATTTTGTGTTTTTTTCTAGTGTTAAGTGGCACGACAATATTTAAATAAAGGACCAAGACACGTGCTCCTCGCTAACACTCATCCATTAGGCATTGACAGTTTGCTCGCCAAGATAATATTGCTTCCTGCTTTATGACAATCAGTTACTTGCAGTGTAGACGTTTCGTTTTTAAAATGTAGTTATTTATTTTTAAGTGCGCGATTAAAAAATAAAATTGTAGCTAAAAAAAACGGGAGAACTTTTCTTTGAAAATCGAACGTGTTAATAGTATTAGCATGAAAACAAACCCCCATAATTAATGTCGTGTGTATCAATTCAATACATTTCCGAACTCATCCGATAGACAAAAAAAAGAGACTTTGAAAAAAAGACGGATTTTTGTCAAATGGCATTGGTGTTATGGTGCCAAACGGAATATGTTCCTTGTATGTGTTGTGCGTGAGCATGTTTCCCTGGCTGTTTCTTCTGTGGCCCAGTATTCCCTCCCCCATCGCTACAAGTGACGTTTGTTTAAGGCAGATGGAAGCGATAAGAAAGCAACGACGATTCATCCCATCCATTGCCCAGTTTGGTTTTGCAAATCATTCTGGCAAAGCGTAATTTTAATACGTTTCTGCAAGCTTCTCAATTTGCAAAGAAAATTCCACGTGTAGCCCAAAACATAGCATACGCTAGGCTCAAGGTTCTAAAGTGTTCGACGTTGATTACGATACATGGAAACGAAATCCTTTAAATATTAGTCAGTGATATTAATTACCATAACGTACATATCATTATTGTTTATTCTTGAGTAGAAGCTGATCTTGTTTTTCTCCAATAATTGTTATGTTCTTAAGCCGGTTTTCGCAAACATCAAATCACTCGTTATTGTCACGTATTTATTGTCATCGTTATTATTGTTACGAATAAATCCTTACGCTAGAACTCGTTTCACTTTAGATAGTATTGAGAAGTGTATGCGGGGCCAATTGCATCCTTCGACCACTTATTAATGATTATTTTATACTACTACTACTATGATTATTCTTCTTCTTATTCTCACATTACGGTGTCCAAGTTAATTCAATGCACTGTAGCGATAACAAAAAAAGGCGTCGTTTTATTTTGTTCCATCACAGATTCAGAAAGAAAAAAAAACTCACCGAACTATTTTGTACATCAAACGGCACGCATCATTTACGAGCACTCCAATGCGATCGACTTCCAAGCCAGTTCAGGAGCTTTCGCGAGCTTCGGTGTGCGGCGCCGGGAACGCCGCCCTCCATCATCCGCCACGTGACGGAGAAACGAGCGGCTGCGAACTTCTTCCGATAGCTTCCACGCAGGCTTGCGACGTTTCCAAATTAAGAGCATTTCTCGGCGTCGTTTATAAGCCATGGTTTCTTGAACAATGCACAAGCACATATCGTGGGGTTACCTCATCACACAGTCCCATTGGTCCGCAATGGACCGTGGACGAAAACGGCGTCGATAGTGAACAACGGCTTACTGTTGGCAGATTCAGCATTACGTTGATAGCGAGGTTTTTGACATTTGCAGAGCGCAAGGCATATGATTAAACAAGTCGAGGAGGGGGAGAAGGATGTGACGTGTTTAAATGACAAATGCACTTAGCAACACAGCAGCACCCCCTGTATACAGAGTACAAGCGCACTTTAAGATGCTTCAAAGCAATTAATGCAGAAAGGCATTAGTGACGGAGGAGATGCATGAGGATCTTGGCGAAACACATTGGCGGCATGTCGACAAAATGACCCACATTCCTCAGCCACGTTTTTTCTTTACTTTACAAAAAGGAAAACGCAACACATACCGGCAAATTGCTTAAACGACAAGTTGAAATTTGACGGTAAATTAGGATGAGAATTCCAAAGGATCAGGTTAACAGATTGTGAGTGAAATTATGTTAAAATATATAGTACCGTACCAAAACACCGTTTTTTAGGGCCCGCCTTTTTATCTATGGCTAAGAACACTGGGGTTGTGTAAGGCGGCTTAATTTACACAACATTCGCTTTGATTCGGAATCGTTCGTTAAAAAAAACGTCAATTAACAGTGCATGCAAAATATACTTGATCTGCAATGTAGTTGATCTATAAACAGAGAGTAGCGTGACATCTTTTACGTAAGTATACACACAGACTTTGTCGTTCAAACTTAGTTTTTGTTCCTGTTCGCACTTCAAATCTTGCCTGGTGCTAGGTTTTAATAATGTGGTTGTTGATTTTTTTTGTATTTTCGAGCATGGTTCAGTCATGCCATTGAGAAACAACCAACACATTCGCATATTTCACGGAAAAAGTATCATCCTCACACAATAATACTGTGCTTAACAAAATTCGCGGTGCAAGTGAAATCGCGTTGTTCAAAGTCTTTCCGAGCTTGTGAGGATGCATCAACACTGCATTCATCTGTGGGATTATTACGTGCTGAAGGAGGAAGTGGGTGGGGGGGGGGGGAATCCGAAAAGAAAAAAAACGATGTAGCTAAAATAAACATAAGTTAATAATCAGTGTTTTTATTGTAAAAAAAAAAACTAAAAACTTAAAAAAAATATTTCGCTTTCTTAAAATGCACCACGTAACTTAATTGCAGGAGAATTCGGCAAGCCGGACGCAATGTTGTGAGTGTATGATAGTGCTATACAGAAACAATGTTGTTGTATAAGGTGGTTGGACCTCCTGTTCCAACATGCAGTGGCAAGCTGGGTGATAAAAGTCAACAGGTTTTGTTTCATATTATTATGCATCGATATGCGTGTAGATATTTCTATTTTATTCTAAATGTTATTTTGGGGGGGGGGAGGGCGGGGGGAGGTGGCGGGAGCGATGGGGAAGAAAAAAAAGCAGTTTTTTTTTACTGCCAAAATGTCATTTGATGATCAAACACAACCGTTCCACGGCGATCTTATCGCGGGCTCTGGGTGACCTGACGCACTATCCTGGCTTCTTGTGCGACCTTGTTGACGAACGAGGGCGATGACGTGTGGTGCGTGTGGTGCATTGTCGAGTAAGGCAAGTGGAATACATTTCAAAACGTAATTACAGAGTAACGTGTGCTGATCATGTTAATCTTAATAAACGTGTGTGTACCCAGAGTTAGCTCTTTGCGATACCAGGAAAAAAAAAAGATTTATACTTTGCAGTTGGTATGCAATACTGTATAATAATGATGATGATGATAATAAGAGAAATAAAACAAAAAAAATTGTGTGGCTTTTTTAATGTGTGGTGTACGCAGTGTGTTTTTGATCTCTGTGTGTGTGTGTGAGAGCGAGCGAGAGAGAACTGGGGTGGAGCGGTGGTGCAGTGATTAGCGCACTGCTCTATGAATTTTCTTGCGAACCACAGTTTTTGTTAAGTGCTCACGGCCGACATTAGGTGACCAATGACTTAACCAGTACTGGGCCTCATCTAGGTTGATTCCAGCACTGGGGAGACAAAGGCGGCCGAGCATGGTGCTGCCTCCTTCACCCCCTTGTGCGTCATTCTGGCCGTCGTAAGTGCTCGCTAACAGCACGTGCCCCTAAAGCCAGTTCAGGCTTTGTGGGGGAATGTTTGTCTTTGTCAGAGCTTAAGCATCGAGAGTGCATTAATTAAATTTTGACTTAAGACTTTCGTGACTGCAGGAATTCATATGCTTGGTTCTTTCGGTAAAGTCATGAGGATAAAAAAAGTAAAAGTTAATAAAAAAAATATAGTTCTATCTACGTGACTTTACCGAAAGAACCAACAATATAGTGCATTGATTTGTACGCAAATGGTGAGCATGCTGGACTTGCAATCCAAAACTCCCCAGTTCGATTCCATCTCCCAGCTCATTAGGTTAAAGAATAGACACATTTCTTAAATGCCTCTGTTCACCCAACAATATAACATGAAGTAACGCCACGATGCAGTGGATCGGCAGGTGACGTAAAGCGTCGGCATACTCCCACCCCAAGATGTGTGGCCAGTGTGGAATGGAAGAGTAGGCCAAATACTGTCTCGTGGTGGTGCCCTTCCACGAGCAGTGCTACGAGTACGCAAATTCACAGTTGTACCTGATATCGTGTGTATATTTCGATTTAATGCTTTCGTGACTGCAGGGATTCATCTTCTTGGTTCTTTCGGTAAAGTCACGTAAAATGGAAATAATAAAATAATAAAAATAAAACATAATAAAATACAATTCTCACGACGTTTCGGCCACAACGCAAGCAGACGTCCTCAGGTGAAGAACAGGGCTGTCGGAAAGACAGCGTCTGAATGAACACCACCAAGTTTGGCAGCGAATATTTAAGCTGGGTTAGGGGAGGAAGGGCGCCTTGACAAAGTAATTTGCATATCAACAGAGGAATTTACCATATTTATGGGAAATGCAGATATGGGTTTAGTCACTACTTGTGGAATACGTAGGAGATAGGGGGGGGGGGTCTCAAAGTCATATTATGCCCGTGCATTATGTAGGATTAGCAGCAACAAAGGGAGGAAGTAGGGTTAGCAGTAATAAAGGGAAGGAATTTTAATAGTAAGGAGCTGCATGTTACCGTCCACTCTTGGTTAAGTGTTTAGCGAGTACAGGAGTCGGAGTAACACATTCAATCAGTTAACATTGCTCCTTGGTTCTTTCGGTAAAGTCACGTCGATAGAAACTTAATAGATCACGACGTTTCGATCGCAACGCAAGCGACCGTCTTCAGGTGAGAGAGAGAAAGCTACTGGAACAAGGTCTTGTGCAGGCCTGAGATCAGTTAACATTAACGAAGGAAGTATGCTGAGGTTAACTAACAACCATTCACCAGTATCATTAATTAAAACACTCGGACAGAACAAGTCTTTTGTGCTGGAGTAAACGCCGATTACAGTCGGGTAACAAAGGCATTTTGAGTCCCGAGTGGCAATTGTTTGGTTAGCAACACCACGCTTGCCACTAGATGGCATCACACTTGTAATGCATTGCAATGGGGCGTCTCTGCTGTTATTTCATCCCAGAGTATGCAAGTTTGTTCAAAGCTGGGCAAAACAATTCGTATGTTTCACATGATGGCATTTTACATAAGCGCACTGAAGAGTATTTTACCATTTCACCACAATTAGATACATTCATTCATTTCACGGCAGTTATTCGATTCCGTTAACGTACGACCAGCCGATGAAGAAGACTCTGTGCTTGGAGATGGCCAGGAGATGGCAGTACAGCAACGGATTAAACTATTACCACGCGTATACATTTCATCATTTAGAATTGACATTGCTATTGTGCTGTGCATGTTGCGTGCGCAACTCGAATCAGCAATGCTGTAGCTTCAAGTGAAGTCTGCACGGTGTACCAAATGCAGCGTTCCAACAACAACACCATCTGTCGTGCAGTAAAATAATTGGAATAACGAATCATGGGCGTTCTGCAGACACCAGGACAGATAATCAATTTTACAAAGGGCACCATCAACAAACACGGCTGAAATATTTGCTTATTTGAAACTAACAAAAATATGCGGAGTTGGCTCACTACTTATCTTCAGTGTGATGGGTGAACTTCCAACTCACACGCAGTCTCTATCCACAACTATCCCAAGAAAAGTCTTGATTTGAAGCTTTCGTGACTGCAGGGATCCATACTCTTTGGTTCTTTCGGTAAAAAACAATCCACTGCTGGTTTGTTTTTTTCCGCCTGAGGACGACCGCTTGTGTTGCGATCGAAACGTCGTTTATTGTGACGTTATTTTTATTTATGTTTTCTACCTACGTGACTTTACCGAAAGAACAAACGAGTATCCCCAGAAAAGTCTGACTGTGTCCTGTTGTTGGCGTATAAAACAATTCACAACCATTGGAGTGGAATATTGTCGCTGGATTGCATTGTCACAACGCAGGACGTGAGAGAGGTAGAGTTTGGGGAGGTCTTTGTCGAGCAGTGGATAGCCCATGGCTGATTATAACTGGTGGAATGCATCTATTTACTCGATTGTCGTTATATACTGTGGATATCAACCTCGGTCAGATTGACAAGATCACAGGAAACAAAATCACAGGACATAAATAAAAAACCAAACATTATATTGTAGTAAGTTCTGGAAAATGTTACTATTAAGCACCATTAACATATTTTTCAGTTTTGATTGAATTTCCGTTTCTTTTTTAATGACGAAATCATTTTAGTAAAAAATAAAGTTCCATTTCGATTTAAAGCTTTCGTGACTGCAGGGATTCATCTTCTTGGTTCTTTCGGTAAAGTCACGTAGAATGGAAATTAAAAAAATTCTTGTTTTATTTTTATTATTTTATTATTTCCATTCTACGTGACTTTACCGAAAGAACCAAGAAAATAAAGTTCAAGTAAAATGTAACTTTGTTTCCTATCCCTCCCTGTTCACCTCACTCACCAACTCGCTACGACAGTTTTAACATTTTAGTATTCAAACATTGTGTACAATTTATATTGCATCTCACAGATGTGGCAAGTGCTAGCGAGCACTATCAAACGCTGACCCTGCTGAATTAAACAAACAACACACACTGAATAGTAATAGTTTGGCTTTATTATTTAATTGCAAACTATCTACAGCATTACAAATCTTCGCACAACAACACCAACAGCCTCACATACAGCCATTTGTCAATCTATGTTCTGTCATTTGATAACTCCGTTAATTTACTGCATTAAAGTTTTAACATTTCAAACTGGATCATGGACCGTGTGGCACTGCTGAAGTTTCCCAAAGTCAAGTCATCATTGCTGTTGGTAAATGTTTTTTTTTTCCTCTCTCCCCCATTTACCAATCATCCGGCATGTTCAGCGAGTAAAGACTAAAATTTGAAAAGGAGATGGACAAGTGTGGGTGTAATGGTGGATCGTGATGGGTGGACGGTGAGTTTGAGAAATCGTGGCAATGGGGAATTCGTAGCAAATCAGATCTCCTCTCGATCCGTACCCCCTTAACGCAGACCTGTCAACCCCTTATCAGTGCCCGACCTTATTACAGAACAATTCAGACCTCATTGGTCTCGCCGTGCCCTTATACATCTCAACGTTCATCCGACAAAGTCCCATCACAAGCGGCTGTATGCCGTATGGACCTGACAACTCAATATCCCTGTACAAGAATATGGGTAAACCGTACCGGTTGACAGGTATGTATACCGTTTTGTAATCTGTGCGCTGACATGTTATCTTACATTTATATAGCGCATTTATCCAAGGTGCTTTACAAGGGTTATGAGTTGTACATAAATGAGGGCAGCTAAAAGTGATACTGTGACTTTTTATGGGGGTACGGGGAGGGAGGTTTAGTGGCTTCGGGAATTACGGGGGGCATCTAGGGATGGAGGGAACGATGGGCCAGGGGGGGGGAGGTGGGTCTTGAGGGAGGAGCGGATGTGGCCTCTTCCAGTTATCCCATGGCAATGCAACAAGGATATACGCGTGTGATAAAATACAAATAAAAACAAGCCCTTGGGCAGCACGTCCTACGGATGGCGTGATTGTGTTTGTGAACTTCGATCCTCAAGAAAACCGTCCTCCAGCACCCGCTCAGTTTTGACCTCGTCAATGTAGTTGTACCCACTGAATGAAAGCTGCCATTGCATGCTAATCATTTGAAGCCTCTTAGAGTCTTTGCCCTCCAGCACCGAGTCACTGTTGCCCTCTAGTGGTGGTATAATAGCAACAAAATATTTTCGATAATTGTTTTTTTACCCTTTTATCTGGCAACAAAACTGACACCTTTTTTGGTGTCAAAAAATATGATAATTGTTTTTTTACCCTTTTATCTGGCAACAAAACTGACACCTTTTTTGGTGTCAAAACTGACACCTTTTTTGGTGTCAGTTTTGTTGCCAGATAAAAGGGTAAAAAGCCAATCATCATATTTTTTACTCGCAAATGAGGTTCCAATAGTGTAAAATATTTTCGGTCAGGTCGTGTGTTTTTGTTTTGATGGTGGTTGATTGTACCCTGCCCATCATCAATGCCATAGGTTCCTGTTTCCTTCCGGACGCCAGGATGAACCATTACTTGACTCTTCATAAAGAAAATGACTCGGGCAGATGCTGCGACTGATAAAAAATCAAATTTTTTTTGACGGATTCACCGATGCAAATCGGTAGGGAGATTCAAAATAAGACAACCCTGCAGCACACCACGTGGGTTGATAACGATTGCTCACATTCAGGATTTGGTGGCGGTGAACAGATCACTTGTGACGCACACGATCTCATCAGATCGCGAAAACGAAGCGGGGTTGAACCTGGACTGTGCTTGGCAGGGTGATCATCGTGCATAAGGGGCCGTCCATAAATGACGTCACGCGATTTTGGACGATTTTTGACCTCCCCCCCCCTCGTCACACGGCATCACAAAAAGTCAGACCCCCCCTCAAATATGACGTAACAAAGCTATGCCCCCCCCCTAAAAATGCTTCAAATCGCTTTAAACTATTGGCATTGTAGTACGTGTTTAATGTGGCTCTGCACTCTGATGTTGTAGGAAAAAACATTTATTAAAAAGTCAATTTAATTAAGTAGAACGTGTTGTCTATATTTATTAAAAGTTGCGCATTTTGATGTGACGTCACATTTCTCACCCCCTCCCCCACCTCGTCACACATCGTCACAAATGTCTGACCCCCCCCCCCTAGGTGCGTGACGTCATTTATGGACTTCCCCTAAACGGTTGCTATAGGCTTCTGTGGGGCTACCTTTGTGTTGTCAGCAGAGGGCAGCGGAGCAAAATCCATTGTTGTACCGCACTGTGCTCCCACCTCTACGCACCCAGTCTTCACGAACCAAATCACACGGCCGTTTGGTTTTAACCTATTTTAACTAAATTCATATCATATTCTTGGTTCTTTTGGTAACGTCACGTAGAAGGGAAATAAAATAATATAAATATAAAACAATAAAAATTCTCACTCCGTTTCTACTGCAACACAAACAATCATCATCAGGTGTGAAATCCACAGCAATAATTGTTATTGTTTTATATTTTTATTATTTTATTATTTCCCTTCTACGTGACTTTACCGAAAGAACCAAGAATATGAATCCCTGCAGTCACGAAAGCTTTAAATCAAAATTTAAATTCATATCGTTCTGTGGAATCTGCTTTGTGCCGTAAATCAAGGGTTATGCTTAATCAAAACACAGGAGGGGAAGGCCATTTACAAAAACATTAGATAAATAAACTGTTCTGTTTATATCAGGCAATGTTAATGACGTAGCCCCTTAATATTTGATCTATAAGTCGGCGCTCCTAAATGGAAGTTTCTATTTTATTGAATCCGCCGTACAGATGATAATCAGAATGTGTATTTATACTGGAGGAATAATCCGATGAGCTATGAAGCTCTTGAACACAGATGTCCAGTCGGGGCACGGCGTCAGAACGTTACAGTGACATACGGAGTACCAATGATGCAATGAAAGGGAAAAATCCTCGGGAGCTGATTTCACGAACATGAAAGTGCTCCTCCCCACTGCGTTCTCTTTAATTCCCCCATTAGCTCCCGTGCGCCGGTTCGCTTGTAAACACGTGCGGAGTTATCGCAGTTTGCTCTCGATTATCCAGGGTCATGTATTATCCGGATGCCCGGATGAAATATGACACGGACAGGATGCGAGCGACACGCGTGGAATCACGTTGACAAGACGGAAAGAGTGGTAACGCGTTCATTGAAGTGGGCATGTGAAGGAGGCAACGTCTGCTTCTCGCACCTCAGAGTAGCACGGTTGGATACGTACGGTGCGACAGAAGTTCAACATACATACACAGAAAAAAAAACACATGCAGTTAAAAGAAAAAGTTCGAGCTATTAAGTAAGTTGGCTCGGGCAGGACACTTCACGAGAGGAGCTGATGGCTGATGATCAAGAATAATGAGTGGAGTATCAGCCAAGGGAACGGGACGCTCCCGAGCGAACGTCCACGGAGGAGATGCGGCGATGAAATCAGCTCGCGTGCGGACGCTCGACAGATTATTGCATGACGCGATCCTGAGAGGTGGCCGCGTTGGCTTGGGGAGGGCGTTCATCCAGCAGTGGATTGACCACTCCTGATGATGGCGATGACGGTGATAAGACTCAGAATTCATGTTTATTAAAATAATCAGTTTACGTGTCGACGCGTGTGAGGACCCTTGACCTCTGAGATCGGGACGCGAGTCATCTGGCCACGGATAATCGAGAGTTAACTCTAATCGATTATCATGATTAATATATCTCAATTAGAAAAAAAAAACGCCTAGCAGATTGACATTATCCTATACATAGTTTAAACACTGTCTTCATTACGGTACACAAATTAAAAACATATTATATTGTACAGTGTCTGGAAAATGTTCACTATTAAGCACCATTGACACATTTCCAGTATTGATTGAATTTCCGTTTTTTTATGACAAAATAATTTTAGTAAAAAAAAAGAGTTCAAGTAAAATATCATTTTGTTTCCTATCCCTGTTCACCTCACCCGCCAACTAGCTACGATAGTTTTAACATTTTATTATTCAAACATTGTGTACATTTTATATTGCATTTTCTTTTTAAAAGTGTCAAAATGTTAAAGTTATCTATACAAGTGATTAACTGAGAGAAATAAAAGGTTGGCTCTTAATACATTACGTTAAAAAAAGTCGTACGATGATTTTAAGCACTGAAATTACGTAACAAGATGTTATGCTCTACTGAATATGAACATAAGTTAACTTGGGAACGGCGATGTGGCATTGCGGTGAGCGAGACTGACGCTCGTCGCAGAGGTTTGCAGTTCGCTCCTGCTGGCCGCCCTGGTTAACACTGCGGGCGCATTTCCCGTAAAAAAATATGTTGCCGTCTGCTTTCACAGTGGACGTCAAAAAATCCCGTGACATTTGCAACAATGACGATAACAACAACAACGACAATCGGCCATGCATGGTCCAAATTAACCGAAAGAAATAAAAGTTACCCGCAAATTACTCGATTGCAAAAACACATCGCAATTATCGCCCAACCCCCGCCCCCCCCCCTTACTGCGAGACATATAAGGACCCTCCTGATTAAAGAGTCTTGAGACTCAGTGGGGGCTTTCCTGGGTTAAAAAAGAAATCATCAACGATTTCCCACAGTACTATGTGGTGGTGGAGAGAATGAATCCACGTTCTGGGGCAAAACCGGCCTTCAGCGAGAGGATTGCGGACATACATGGGCTTGCCCAATTTTCGTGAGAAGGCGGCACTTTCGGCAGGTGTGCGCGGGACACCGTGGGCCAAAAGCGTCGGACACCCGTGTCGTTCCTCCGATTACGGCCGCACTTGCCCGCGTCTGGCGGCTAGCTCCGGGGAGGCAGCGCGGCCGACGCCTGGGAGGGGAGTTGAGGAGGTCCTTCTGCAACGGGAAGATTGGAGACACGGAGAGACGTCGGGCAAAAAGCGACAAAAGAAACCGTAGGTAAATTCCGGCTGCGCGTATCCTTCCGCTGAGGATCGAGAGTCGCGAGGGAGCAGAATCGGGACCCGGCAACCAGAGGAACAAGAAGAGACATTTTTTTTTCGAATTCCATAAAAAAAACAGCTTAATATTTCAAGAGCCGCAATGCATTCCTCGAAGAGCCCGCGTAAGGGTTCCGGAGCCGCAGATTGCCCACCCCCTGGTCTAGAAGGGCAAGTGATGCATCAATAAATCTGGATCAACATTTACGCCGCCCAAAATTGCAGGTTTGTATTTTTTTGAAAGTGAGTGACTTGAACTGGAGAGTGGACAGAATCGTAAAGTGGTCGGTTGTGACCGCTTGCATGAGATAACCAAAAACAAACTGTTTGGATTCTAGAACTTGTAAAATCGTCATCATGATTATTATTCCCGTGTCAATGTTGGTGTTTCGATTCGTTCTAGATTTGAAGTTTTCGTGACTGCAAGGATCCATAGTCTTTTGGTAAAGTCACGTAGGTAAAAAATAAAAAATAAAAAAAAGAATAAAATAGAAATAACTAAATTAAATCCCACCTGATGACGGAAGCTTGTGTTGATTCCGAAACGTCGTGATTTAATTTAGTTTTTTCTATTTTATTCTTTATTTTTATTTTTTATTTTCACCTACGTGACTTTACCGAAAGACCCAAAGAGTATGTTTCGATTCGTGTTTGTTTCATTATCGTCGTTATTGAGCTACTGATGTGTTGCAATGACGTTTGTTTGTTCATCATTCCGCTATTGAGCCCGCTGTGTACACGAAGAAGCTCATGAGAGACAGAGTGAAAGGCACCACCAAACCGAGCTTTTCCTCTGCTGTATATAACCAGTTTATCAGTTCTAATTCCATACCCAATTATCATGGTGGTGTTGTGTACAAATCATTTGTCCCATTGTAGTGCAGCGTTACAGTGCAGTGTCACGGCCAGGACAGGATTGAGGTTATGAGAGGCCGAAGGCGAATATGAGGGAAGGGCCTACGTATGCATTACACATTGCTATCTTCTTTTGTAAAGTCATGAAATAAATTTAATTATTTACCTATGTATAATGAACACATCTATTCGACTCAAGGTAAAATCATTTCTTAAAATCAAATTTTGTTTCCCCCAGCTTCAGCTGCCGTGGCAAAGTCGCGGACGCTGTCATCGTGATTGAAAGACGAACGAAAAAAGATTCCCGAAGGCCCGCGCTACCGTCGCTCGGCTGTGACTTGGAGGGGCCTTGCGGAAGTTGCCTACGTAACACGAGGGCCCTCAGGCCCACGGCTTAAATCCTTGCCCTGGCCACGGCAGACGCACCTTCGCGGCACGTGGGGCCCACCCAACCGAAGAGGCAGGTGCACTTCCCGTTGACGGGGCTGCATCGGCCCCGATTGGCGCAGGCGCATTCCAGGGAGCAGCTCACGCCGTAGCTTCCTGCCGGACAGCCTGTGCCAGAGAGAGAGAGAGAGGGAGCATCATAGACACCACACGCGCGTTAACGCACGGTGGGTTCCAGCAGCCAAGGTCACGAAAAAAACGATGGGTTTATCAAGGTTGGGCCGCGCAACGATCTGACCGGCTCTGTGCCATTAGAATATCCTCCACCGCACGACGGATCGTCACACGGTGCGCGCAAGCATTTAACGACGCGCCAATTATTATTGTTTTCAGCTGAATGGGAAGTTCAAGGACTATTCTGAAATTGCTACTCTTGGCTGCGCGGGGAAGTCACGTGACCGAGCGGTAGCGCGTTTGCCACGTGTTGAGGTTCGGGCCTAGCGGCCAACCTCGTGCGTGCTGCGGATGTCTGAACACTAAAGACATGACGCCTGTTCCACGATCGATTTTAAATATCCCATTACAATTGTGGGCGACACTTGCCAGCGTCAAGGTGCAAATGCGCAAATTGTAAACAATTTAGCTGCGTGAAAAATAAGAATGGGTTTTACCCTTTATGACCATACAACAGGCGTTAAGATATTCAAACACCAAATTTGTACCTTTTTCAGGGAATCAAGTTTGCATTAACCCCACGTACTTGTGTTCACCACAAGTTCACTACAAGCGTTCACCACAAGTCCGTGTGGTTAAGACAGACTTGATTCCTTGCAAAAGGTACAAATTTGGTGCTTGAACATCTTACCACCTGTTGCATTGCCAGAAAGGGTAAAACCTATTCTCATTTTTCATGCTTTGAAAATGGCAAAAAAAAGTTCCCATGAAATTTTGCTGTAAATGACTCAATTGGGAAAGACATCGCAGTATCTCCCTCTGCTGTAAAACTAGTGCAGACTCTATATGTGAAACACACGCAGCAGAGGTCGCAAATGGGTTTTGATTCCTTACCCGTACCCGGCCGCACCAGGGTCGCAAACGGGTACCCGTACCCGGCCATACCCGTACCCGGCCATACCCGTACCGTACCCGTACCCGGCCGGGTACGGGTAGAGTACGGGTATCGGGTACCTGATTGCGACCTCTGGGATGAAGCCATGTTGCAGGCGCGGGTGGGTTGATTCTAGGAACTTGAATTGTGAGAAGAGACAAGACGTTGGGAAATGAGTGACAGTTACTCACCAGTGACTCACGGCCTACGCGTACCCGTACCCGGCTGCACCAGGGTCGCAAATGGGTACCTGTACCCGGCCGGGTACGGGTAGCCGGGTATCGGGTAGGGTACGGGTATCGGGTACCCGGTTGCGACCTCTGACACACAGTGCTTCACGAAAGCCTTCCGCTGTAATAGCGGCGCAAAACACCGCGTGTCCTTGCGGTTTTGCCGTGCTTCGACTTACCAGCGTCGCACTGCGCTCCAGTCTTGCCCGGGGGACACAGGCACTCCCCGGTGGCGGGATGGCAGGGAACACCGCCCTGGCAGTCGCAGCGGGCACGGCACCCGGCCCCGAACCTCCCTGCATCACAGCCTGGCACCACCCAGCACCACCGTCAGCACGAGGACAGTGCCTGCCGCCCAACAACCTTGCTGGTTTGCGCATGTGCACACGCACGGGCAATTGAGTCGTGAATCCGGGGATGGTTGAGGCTCCTCCCCGAACCGTGCGGGTCGTGGGTGAGTTATTTGTTCGCACTTTTCATCCTCACAGCGGCTTTTGGCTGCTGGCCGTCGAACAAAGCGCGCTTTCAGATGCGCTTCTGTGGACGTCTGGAACGTTCTTCCTTCCGATATTCGGAAGCCACTGGAGCTATGCAGTTTTAAATATAGAATGAGAACTAATTTCTTTAGAAGTGCTTTTTGTGTTTAGATTATTGTCCTCCCCCCGCACCTCCGATTAGCACGGTTGGCTACGTACGGTGTGAAAGAAGTTAAACATACGTACACATATTGCCAAGCTAATGAAGTACGGGGAGAATGGGAATATGTGCTGATTGAAAACTCTCTTCTTCAGGCACGTTTGAACGCTGTTTTTCATGACCAATTCCACATTGCCAAGAGCATCTTGCGCACAAAACAACCCACTACGAGTAGAATAATGGAGTAAAGCATAATATTACACGTCATGATGATTACAGTGCCATTAGCATTATACCTTTCTGGCAGCGCTCTCCATGAAAGCCGGGGGGGCAGAGGCAATGCCCTGTGGCGGGATCACAGCTTGCCCCGTTCCTGCAGTGGCACGCGCGCTGGCAGTTCAGCCCGTAGAATCCTGGTGGGCAGGCTACCGGAGCAAGAGGGCGCAGCACACAGGTCAGCTCAGGCTCAGCGTTCGCGCTCGCGCTCACGTGAGGAATATACGATCCCATATCTAAAACTACCTTACAACGGATATACATATTTGTGGGATGATGTTACAGGCAATGAAGGTGGAGGGTAGGGGTGGGGGGAAGAAAGATTGATTGACTTGAAGTTGGATAAAAAAAATATATGCATAATTAGTGCCCTTTCCCGAAAACGTCATCTATTATATAAGGGACTCCTCTACTTACGAGCATTCAACTTACAAACTTTCAGAGATACGAACAAACCTGTCCCGTATGTCCAGTTGCCTGTTCGGACCGAGAGTCGTACGTTCAACCAACGCGCAATAGATGGCGGTGGTTGTTCGGTGTCATTACCCAGCATTCCCAGAATTTCTACCTGGGCTGCCGCCATTGGCTACATACGGTGTGATATAAATTCAACACACACACGTCCACTCACCCACTCATTGATCCACTCACTCGCTCAACTCACGGTTGGCTACGTATGGTGCGAATGAAGTTCAACACGCATTCACGCATACGTGCGAACGACCGACGAACGATGGACAAATGTAGCCGCTTAGCGAGTAGCCACTGATGGGTAACAGCAGCGGAGGGAGGCTGCGGCAGAGAGAGAGACGGTGAAATCAGACAATTCGGAGGCGGCTCCCACGTCGCACACCCGGACTGCCAACTCTCTCACCGTGCTCGCAGCGTGGGCCGTAGAATCCGTCCATGCAGCGACAAGCCCCCGACACAGAGTCGCACGTGCCGTTGTGCTCACAGAGGCAGTCTTGCCGGCAGCCGACCCCATACTTGCCCGCCGGGCACTCTGTAACCGATAGAGAGGAAGCCGAAACACGGCGGCTGCAGCTGCCGCCCAAAGCGCTTTACGATGCCCTATCGAACATCCACGCTGGGACATGAAGACTTTGGAAGTTAAACCAAAATGTTAAGGGGCTGCGTCGGCAGCGGCGCACAAACACAAAATACATCATAATTGTTTTTTTACCCTTTTATCTGGCAACAAAACTGACACCTTTTTTTTAACAAGGAGTCATGTTTGCATAGACCACAATACCTGATAATGTATGCACTATCAGAGTTATGTTTTTTGTTTGCATTATGACTGCAGGTATTGTGGTCTATTCAAACATGACTCCTTGTAAAAAAAAGGTGTCAGTTTTGTTGCCAGATAAAAGGGTAAAAAAACAATTATCATATTATTTACTGGCAAATGAAGTTCCAATGGTGGGACAAAATACATCTTTCAGCACGGAAATATAATAACAATGATGACCGAAACAAGTTGGCAGATTTTGTATTCTCGTTTTTCTTATGGTGCTCGGCCATCACAAAGGCACTGCGTATTGTAAATGAGTATAGTCCGCCACTTGGGGTTTAATTTTTCAAATTTGGAGCGTGGCACTGGCACACACGGACGGACTACTCTCTGTCGAATAGCGTCGAGGCATCTTTCGCGTCCGCCGCGAAGCCGACAGATCGCAGTGGCCTATCGCCAATCCGCCCGCAGCATTTGCTGGGCATCTTTGAAAAAAGAAAGCTTCACATCTCATCGAATTTCTCCGTTATGAAATAAATATTCCGATCCCGCGTTATATCCGGGGCGGCCTTCGGGCGAGAGCGGCGAGCCTGTGCGGGCAAACGCGAGTCCATGCCGCCACCCCCCAGCGAGGGGCCCTGCGAGCGGTGACCTCTCTCGCAGTGCGCGCCCGTCCAGCCCAGGCCGCAGGCGCAGGTGCCGTTGCGCGCGTCGCAGAGGCCCGAGTTTTTGCACTGGCAGCGGCCGCCGCACCTCACGCCGAAGCGTCCGCCGGGGCAGTCTGCGGTAGCCGAGGAGAGAAAAAAGGAAAAGAAAAATATGAACATGAAAAAAATATTACGGCGGCGATCATATCTAACGGCGCACGCGAACGCGGCAGGGAAGCACCGGTGCATCCATTCAGACACTGATGTTGCTTCCTAAGATCGTGGTTACTACATCGAATCGCGCCTGTTATAATCAACGCGTTTGGGAGTCGTGTATGTGTTGTATACACAACTCCGAGTGCTCCAGTTTCCTTCCACATGTATAAACTATTCATTAGCTGAAAACAAATTCATATATATGTAATAACAGCCATAGAGGGTTCACGTGGGGATTGGCTTGCCGGTCCTGCTCGTAGCCAATAAGGGTTGAGATAGGGACCATGGCCCAGGCGTGATCACGACATGTCATCAGGAGTGATTGGCCTAGCCATTCGGGGCCCCAGCTAATGGGGAGCCGGATGAGGGGCGTGGTCCCGGGATTGACAGGGAACCATCGAGAATGGTCGAAGCTGTCCATGAACGATTGGCTGGGGGGACCACGTGACGAAGGTATTAAGAGAGAGTGAGAGAGAACGATCGGGAGCAGACTGAAACTCACAAGAGCAGGGTCACGCACGGACGGGGGCTCTGGGTGCCACGTGCGCGGTGGGGACATAGTGCGAAGTCTGTCCTCTCTCCGTTGTCTGCCAGCAACGGAGAGTGAGTGAGCAAAGTGTATTGTGGAGTGGAAATAAAAGGACTGATTCCGAAGCCATCTCAAGAAGGATTATTACATATATATGCAGCTCCCAGTGCAGATTGTGCGGCGTTATGAGATACAGTTTTGCACGAACGTCACAATATAAAAAAAACACCGACAATATATAATTTATGAATTTGGCCAGGCTTTTGCAGCGTAAGTCTTTATATGAGAACTACCGTGCCCTGTGTGTTACGAACAGCCGAACTGACGCGTCACCGCTACAACTGACATTTCGCTCAATGGGCCTGGAACTAATCAATTCGTTTGCCGAAGACGTTGGCGGGGCGAAACGTCGGACAATCATGCCGCACAAACGCGCAGGTACGACCCCCCCCCTGCCCCCGGAACAACACGTCGGAGATACCTAAGTTTTGTTCTCTCTCTATGTATCTCTGTGATATCTGTCTGCTTATATGTCTGTCTATATGTCTCTGGTTCTGTGTTTGATCTCTCTCTCTCTCAAATTTAGCATTCTTAGGAAGAACGTAATCAACCAGGTAGGGTGTTGACTGTTATGTTATCCGACTCTCTGTTGTACTGCATTACATTTCTAAGTATACTAGATTTGTGTTTCTATTTCATTTATACCTGATGACGATTGCTTGTGTTGCAATCGAAACGTCGTATGCTAGTATTTAATTTAATTTATTATTTTATCTTGATACGTGACTTTACCGAAAGAACCAAAGAAGAATGTATCATCTTCCTGGTTCTTTCGGTAAAGTCACGTAGAAGGGAAGAAATAAAATAATAAAAATAAAACATAATAAATTATTTTATTATGTTTTACTTCCCTTCTACGTGACTTTACCGAAAGAACCAAGAAGATGAATCCCTGCAGTCACGAAAGCTTTACATCGAAATTTGATGGCAAAGTCTTCATGTTAGCCGTCCTTATCCACAGATAACAGGAATGTTTGTTGTGGATATTAGGATCGGGGCAAAGCGCTGGTGCAGGTGGGTCGCGCACTGCGCGATGAAACCGGCCACCTGAGTTCGATTCTGAGGCCGTGGCTAAAATCAGTGGGAAGTAATTTCTCAAACGGTCCTGGCGCTTATCTTCACCAATTCACATCGAGCAGAGTGGCGAACTATAGTCTAGCAACCCCCCCCCCCCCCCCCACCATGACCAACAGTGGTTTAACAAAGAGGTTGCAAATTATTCGGATGACTTCTAATCGGATCCATCCACTCCTCGCACCCCGTCACCAAAAGCGAGTGGAGGAGTTTCACTGCCATCTTTTACAATGATCGAAAAAAAGAATGTATCACTGTGCCCCTTCTTCACCTTCACCACAGTTGGGCCCCGCCAGCCCGGGCGGGCAGCTGCAGCTCCCCGTGACGCGGTCGCACTCTCCGCCCCCTCCGCACGCGCACGCCAGCGCGCAGTCCTTGCCGTAGCGGCCGGCCGGGCAAGCTGCAGCCGGGCAGGGGGGAGAGAAGTCACGTGACCGCACGGGTTCTGCGAAGATCTCTCTCTTTCTCTCCAACGTTGCGTTGGTTTCTCGGAAAGATTCAATTTTCCGATGGCCATGATGATGATAATGGTCGCGTTCGTGCGAGATGCAGGTCGCGACGAGAAAAGGGGGCTCGGGTAGCGGCTCTGCCGGGGAGGGCCGTGGGTTGTCGGGCGGCGGTGGCTGTGCACGTCGTCTGTGATCCAGCACCGTAGAGGCAGCAACGAGGGTTGGTGAATCACCGTCGCAACAAGCGTTGGGAAACTCCCTTCCCGTGGGGGCGTCGAGGTGCCAATACCCTGGCTTGCCAGAAGGTAGTACGAAAAACAGCGTGGACCAAACTCCATCTGTTCCTTCTGTATGGGATAGACTATTTCCTTCCACATCTTTCAACACTATTAATTGGCTGAACACATCTTGATATATATACATGCATCTCCGTGTGTTGCAGATTGTGCACCATAATGAAATGCAGTTTGCACGAATGGTGCAATATAAAAACGTTCATTTGTATTCAAATTGTTCATTAATTTGGACAGGTGTTTTTTCAGGGCAAGTCTTTATGAGAGCTACCGTGCCCTGTGTGTTACGGACAGGCGAACCCACGGAGCAAAGCTAATGCAACAACACTTGGGGAAAGAGTAACAAACATAGGAATAAGGAATAGGAGCTATACATTCTATGTATGTTGAACTTCTTTCGCACCATACATAGCCAACCTTGCTAATCGGAGGTGCGGGGGTGAAGGACAACAATCTAAACACAAGAACCATTTTTCAAGAAATCAGTTTTCACCCGAGACGATTTAAAAGTGCATAGCTCCAGTGGATTTCTAATATCTGAAGGAATAAGCGTTCCAGACGGCCGCAGAAGGGCCACGAAAGCGGTCGCCAATCACGGCACACGGTGAACGGGAAGCGTGATCTCGCAGTCGATTCGGGATCACGCTGGGAGCCGGGCGAGGCGCCGGAGAACGGGACGGGGTTGCTCCGGTGAACTTTTGGGGACTGACACTCACGCAAGCTGCAGTCGGCTCCGGTGAACCCCGGCTGGCAATCGCAAAAGCCCGACGTGGTGTCGCAGCTTCCCCCGTTGGCGCACTTGCACGTTTGCCTGCAGCCCGAGCCGTAGCGGCCAGCGGGGCAGGCTGGGCGGAGGGGGGAGGACAGAAGTGGGACGCTTTCGTTGAGAGCACGCTTCGTTGTTAGAGCGAGGGCTTAATCGCGAAATTGTCAGGAATATGACTGGATAGCCCGTGCCATACGCGAAGACTTGGTATGCATATAAAGCAGCCACAGACAGCCACGAATATTCAACTGCAAGTGTGTAACGATTTCCCCCCGCCGCCCCCGCACGCAACAGTGATCCAATCGCTTTCCAACAATTATTCAGGGCTGCATCAGAATACATCGCACGCAATATGCGTAACTTGCTTCGCGTACGCACGTGTAAGTTTCGGGTAATGGAGCTAACAAGACGTGAAGAGAAGATGCGCACCCTGGTGGGCCTTGCCAATTGTTGATGTACGCATAGTGCTGATACTTACGCGATCCGAGGGCGTAAATACTCGCGCGATCGAGGCGCTTCCGGGAGAGAAACGGAACAGGGTGGACGCGGACGGCGTGAGCCCGTGGAAAAAATAAAGAAAAGTGTCGACCCTCAAACTGCGTCGTCAACCGTGCCAACCAGAGGTGCGGTTCAGCGAGGACGACGACGCTCGCTCGCCGTGTGAGCTACTCACCGAGGTGGCAGCGCTGTCCATGGTGGCCGGGTAGACAGTGGCACTGCCCCGTGACCGGGTGACACTGCTGTGTGGGTGCCTGGCACTGGCAAACCCGCTTGCAGTCCAGCCCAAAGGTGCCCGGCGGGCAGGCTGTCAATGCGGGAAAACAAGAGTTTAAATCGTGGGTCGTTCACCACCGTTCACCACCGTTCACTGTTCACCGCTACAACGTGTTAGCAGCAGCAGCAGCAGCTTGTCGAAGCCACGCTAGAAAAACAATAACAGACTATATATATATACTCATGTTAATTATCATTAAATGTCCAGTTTAGCCTTCAGGTCGAATTGCAAACAACACGAAATGTGTAATTTATTAGAAGAACAAATACATTCCTATGTAGTTTTCTCAATGTTTTATGAACTACCACGGTGGATTGTGGGTAATGCAATTAAAACAATTACACGTGGGTCCGTTTCACCGCAAATGTGAACTCAGTCTAGAATATGTCCGCTACAAAACGTAATGCTGGGAAACATTAGTCCAGAAGGCCCACAGGCTGTGGAACAAAAATGATATTGACACACACTGATTGATATATATTATTTCAATAGTCACCCATGAAATCAATACGTTACTTTATGTCTTAAGCACGTGAAAACGAGCTTCAATAATGCATTTACCTTGTAGTTCATAGAGCAAACGCTCGTACTCGGTGATTCTGGTGTCACTAGATTACACAGTGGCGAGATGTTAACTACCTCTCCTGGTATACAGGAAGTTGTGGGTTCGATCCCGACCCTGACGCGAGATGTTAACTACCTCTCCTGGTATACAGGAAGTCGTGGGTTCGATCCCGACCCTGACGCCTGTATATTTGGAGTTTGCGTGTCTCTCTCCGTGGTTGCGTGGATTTTTCTCCGGGTCCTGCGGTTATACCCTCGTCATTTAGAATCAAGATCACGCGTTTAAGAGTATTTTTTTTTATTTCCACACGACGATAAGCCACTTCGTTGAGCTATCGTTTGTGAAAGCCAGGTCGCTTCTGAAAAAGAGCTACGTAGCTCAGTGGACCTTACACGGTAAAATAAAAAATAGTTTTTAGTATAGTAGTAGTGGACGTCTTGGAAGAGTAAAAACAAATATATAGTATAAAAGTAGGTTGTCGTGGATTTTCCGTACAACTCTGCATTGTGTTTTTTTCCGCGGTCGTGCCGCGTGCTGTTGGACACGACACCCGGCGTTCCGCTCCGTGTGCCGGCAGCGTCCTTCGGAACTAGACTGTCTCTTTCGATTTAAAGCTTTCGTGACTGCAGGGTTTCATCTTCCTGGTTCTTACGGTAAAGTCACGTAGAAGGGAAATAATAAAATAATAAAAATAAAACATAATAAAATACAATTCTCACGACGTTTCGGCCATAATGTCGGAAAGACAGTCAGACCTGCTCTTCACCTGAGGACGGCTGCTTGCGTTGTGGCCGAAACGTCGTGAGAATTATTTTATTATTTTTACTTTTATTATTTAATTATTTCCCTTCGACGTGACTTTACCGAAAGAACCAAGAAGATAGACTGTCTCTCTTACACCGCAGCTCCTGAAGAAGCTCCCAGCACGTAGGGAAACAAACGTCGGACATCGTGCCCGACGACATGGCGGCACAACCCCGAAAACACATGCAGCTTAGGAGACAACACATCTGAGATCCTTTCTGAATTTGAAGCTTTCGTGACTGCAAGGATTTCATACTCTTAGGTTTTTTCGGTAAAGTCACGTAGGTAAAAAATAAAATAATAAATAAATAAATAATAGAAAAAAATTATAGAAATAAAATAATAAATCAGAGATTTATAATTTTATTTCTATAATAATAATAAAAAAAAAATCGGTGATTTATTATTTTACTTCTATTATTTGTTCTATTATTTATTATTAATTTTATTTTTTACCTACATGACTTTACCGAAAAAACCTAAGAGACTACATCTGAGATCCTGAGTTGGATTCCAGGCAGCCGCTTGAGATGAAAGCACGTTCTAAAGTGCATCGAGTTAGCGATGTCACCGCTGGTCATCAGTGACCACAGGGTTCGCTGCTGCTGCTGCTGCTGCCGGGGTGGATGGACGCCACGTACTCAGCTCACAGCCGTTGCCGGTGAAGCCCAGGGGACAGCCGCACTCCCCCGTCAGGTGGTTGCAGGGAGCTCCTTGTCTGCAGGTGCATCGCTGCGCGCACTCCGCTCCAAACTGGCCCGGCAGGCAGGCTGCACGGGCACGATCCACAGGCACCGTGAAGTCACGTGTGCAGGGAGAGGGGGGGGGGATTCCAAGAACACAGGATGAGATGTTACTATCCTTTGTGCAAGCACTTCCAAGAGTTCATGAACAGTGAGCCTGGTGAAATTTGGGGAGCGCATCGTCAGTAGTGTACCTTTGGTTCCTAGGGTGTTTCGGCCTTTCACACGATACACCCTCCCCAAAGGCGGCCAGCGACAGAGTGATCAATCCTACGCTTGCGTCCCATTCCCAATTAGTCATAGGAGTTGCCTTGTTGTTGATAGCCAACATCCCATGGCACTATGCATGGCAGGGGCGTCCTCCTCCCTGAGTCAAGCATTGTTGACCGCATACCTCCTGGCCCTCTCACTTCGGGGCCCAGCTGGGGTCTTTCCTCTTCATCCAGAGCCACTGACTTCTGCCTTCTGCCGCCTCCGATACAGCTTTGATTGCCGAACGCTGGCTCTGGCCCTTAATTCCCAGGTCTCTAAGCAGTCTAGTTGTAGATGTTGATACAAAACCTCTGCAGCCCACCTCCACTGGTCGGACTTCTGTGTTCCAGCCATGATGCCGTGCTTCGGCAGCTAGATCGGCATAGCGCAGATGTTTTCGCTCATAAATAAAATAAAAATGTAATATGATGCACGAGAGAGGGTATAAGAGACACGAGGGAGCTCTGACGAGGTGCGTTGTTGTTTCATTTTCTGAATGAACGTCAGGTCTGTGGTGATATAGAATAAAAAAAAAATCCTCAGTAAAGACCAAGTCGCTCAAGTGCCTAACACTGTGTCGGCCAACTGAGCCTCTTGACTCACGGGTTCAAATGTTGGTAACCACACATATTTAAACCAGATTCTAAAGCGCAGTGAGTTGATGATCTTTTGGCCACAGCCACCAAATGTCTGTGCCCAAAGAGATTAAATCGATTTTTCACTTAATGCAGCCTCTTTCAGCTCCGATCATCAGAAATGTTGCATTAACCTGATCAAGACCATTTTCATGGCTCATAGAGGGGACCTCGCTCGCTCCTTCCGAGCGAGTGAGCGGGTCAACGGAGGGGGGGTGCTGCTTACGCTTGTCGCAGCGCTTGCCGCGCCAGCCCGGGTGGCAGCGGCAGGCTCCGGTCTCGGCGTGGCACGAAGCCCCGTTCTCGCAGTCGCAGCGGCTCCCACAGCGGAGGCCGTGCTGTCCCGCGGGGCACGCTGCGGCGCACGCGCACACACGCGCAGGGAGGGCACAAAACGACACCGCTCACTTTCCTCCTGCGTGCAAGGGAGTTTCAACAACATCGCTTTAATCGTTTGTGCATTGCGTACGGGCGGGATGCTGCCATGGTGTGATGGTTAAGGCAACGGACTTAGCGCACTCCAGAGGGCGCTAGATGAATTTAACAATTTCCTAAATCCCCCCACCCCCCAACCTCTGTCCACGCAAGCACCACAATTAGTCGATCGGCAGGTCCGCCTGTGGTGGGGTAAAGTGGATAGTCTCACGGAAGAGTAGGCCAAAATCCCTCTGGAGTTCAGCGTCGGCGAGAGCAAGCACTTCGATTCGTCTCAGTGCGTTCTTGGAAACAAAAACATAATACTCGGTGAAGAGGGCATGCAAGGATGGCGTTGATTTATATCCGAAAAAGGGCTTTTTGTACGTACGTATGTTGAACTTCTTTCGCACCGTACGTAGCCAACCGTGTGAATCGGAGGTGCGGGGGAAGGACAACGAACTAAACACACAAAAAGCTGTTCCACAGAATGTGCACTCATATCCAGCTTCTACCCTACCCCAATTGTCGATGGATCCCTTTGTAGACGTCAGTGGAATTTTTGATTGTTTGTGCTCGCCCCGTTGTCGGCGGTGGGTGGGTAAGGGTGGGTGGGTGGGTATGGGTGGGTATGGGTGGGTGGGTGGTATGGGTGGGTATGGGTGGGTGGGTGGGTCGGTTGGTGGGTGGGTATGGGTGGGTGGGTCGGTTGGTGGGTGGGTCGGTTGGTGGGTGCGTGGGTATGGGTGGGTGGGTCGGTTGGTGGGTGGGTCGGTTGGTGGGTGGGTGGGTATGGGTGGGTGGGTATGGGTGGGTGGGTATGGGTGGGTGGGTGGGTTGGTTGGTGGGTGGGTGGGTATGGGTGGGTGAATCGGTTGGTGGGTGGGTATGGTGGGTGGGTGGGTCGGTTGGTGGGTGGGTATGGGTGGGTGGGTGGGTTGGTTGGTTGGTGGGTGGGTGGGTATGGGTGGGTGGGTGCATATGGGTGGGTGGGTCGGTTGGTGGGTGGGTGGGTGGGTCGGTTGGTTGGTGGGTGGGTGGGTCGGTTGGTTGGTGGGTATCGGTAGGTGGGTGGGTGGTTAGGTTGGTCGGTTGGTGGGTGGGTTGGTGGGCGGGTCAGTTGGTGGATGGGTGGAACCTACTCTCCTCGCACGTGGGCCCCGTCCAACCCGACGGGCAGACGCACTGCCCCGAGAGCCGGTCGCACAAGCCCCGGTTGGCGCACTTGCACGGCCGCCGGCAGCCCTCGCCGAACCTCCCCTCCTCGCACTCTGCACTCGCGCGAGCACGCAGCAAGACAGAGAGACAGAGAGAGAGAGAGACAGTGAGACAGAGAGACGGAGAGACAGTAAGACAGAGAGACAGAGAGACAGTGAGACAGAGAGATGGGGAGACAGAGAGACAGTGAGACAGCGAGACAGAGAGACAGACAGAGAGACAGAAAGACAGACAGACAGAGAGACAGAGAGACAGACAGAGAGACAGAGAGACAGCGAGACAGAGAGAGACAGCGAGACAGAGAGACGCGCACGCCGCACCAAGCCGCTTGACGAGACATCGCAACATGACGCACGCGCGCAGCCCCCCCTCCATCAATCTACTGCTGGATGAGGACCTCCACCACCGCGCCCTGTCATACGTGGGGCTTGTTCGCCATTGTCGTCGTCGTCATCATCGTCATCGCCATCACTTAATATTTATCCCGCACCTCCCGTGCAGTGCATACCGAGGTGTTCTGTGGCAGGGGACCCGGGGACCCGGGGACCCCCCCACCACCGTGGCAGCTATTCCTGTGCGGCTCAAGGTGTAGGCAGCGCCGGCCTGCAAGTGGGCCGCATCGGTCGATCTCCTGGCAGCGCCGGGCGATGTCGCGTGCGTGGAGCTTATTGCCAAGTAATTTGTGGGTAAAGTTGCCGAGTTTGGATCGTGGAGATTAAAGCCACAATTTTAATTGTTGTGGGTTTACTCTCCAACACGCCGGTGTGCTGAACTGGTAACGAATTTTGTTTACGTGACAAACCTTACTAATTGGCTGTGTCGGGTGGCGGCGGGTTTAACGACACATTTATATTTACGCGATCTAACTAAAAAAAAAAAAACTATATTATGGATATTTGCTTCATTGTTGATGTACTTTGTTTTTATGCTCTGGAATGTTTCGTGTTGGTGACCCATCTCACTCTTGCATATGAGACTCTATCCTGGTCCCTTGATTTCTGGCCGGGCTAAATGAAATCATCCTCAACCGGAACGTTTCGTGTAGAATCGTGAAGCGAACGAAGACTAATGCAGCTCGGGGTGGTATTAGTCAAGGGGCGGTGTTAGTTAAGTGGCGGTGTTAGTTAAAAGGGGCGGTGGTGCGGCGCTGGTGCGTTGCGTACCCATTTCACAGGAGAGGCCGGTCCATCCGCGGGGGCACGAGCAGGCGCCCGTGACAGGATCACAGCGCCCGGAGTTCTGGCACGTGCACTCGTGCACGCAGCCAGGCCCAGACCGCCCGGCGGGACAAACTAAACGGAGACAGAGATCAACCCCGAAGGGCCTTTCACAGACTGTTGGGGCAATGGCTGCAAACGAGCACCTCTGAAGGCCGGCACGGCGCACGGGGCGGCGGGGGCAAACACCACGCCTGGCTGCCTTTGTCTCCCCAGCTGGTCACCCCGTGGTGCCCTTATAAAACTCAACGTTTAACCTACTCACGCTGGCTTGTGCCCGCCCTCACAGTCGAGCATATTTGTGGAATACACCACGCCGCCGTTGACCCTGGCCATTGACCGAGCAACCCAACGTTCCTACCATCTCCCTCCGCAGGAATGTGTTTTATTGTCATGGTTGTTTACCCAGGAGAGCCTCACTGAGTCTCAAGACCATTTTGCATGAACTTCTTGCTAAACTTCCTCAGTCGGGGGTGATATTGCCCGAGTAATGTGCGGCTATTTTTTCAGCATTGGGGATGTTTGGCCAGAGTCAGTTCCACCGTACGCTTGTTTTTAACCATTAAAGGAAATCAGAGAGCCTGGCGGAAACCCAGTGCAAAATGGGTTAGAACACACGAACTAATTTCTTGAAAACAGGTTTTTTTTGTGGTCAGTGTGTCGTCCTTCCCACGCACTTACGATTCGCACGCTTGGCTACGTACGGCGCGAAAGAAGTTCAACAAGCGTACAGACACGGAAGGGCAGCCCAAGTCCAAAAATCTACCAGCCCCCATTCTTGCTGCGAGGCCACTCCACCACCACACCGCCGCCAAATACCACCGTGACGTGTATGTCACCGCACCCTGCGTCGCTCTTCTCTCGCCCGAGACCTCCGTTGTTGCACGAGGACCATGAGCTCGAAGCGCTTCTATCCGGTGCCTCGCCTCTCGTCACATCAACGAACCCGGAACACAGAGACCCACGTGCCATTATCCCCGCATCTCATCGCACTCCGGCATCCTCTCGACTGCTTCCACATGTAGATGTGGAGATTCATGTAGACACATGTCGACACATGTAGACACACGTGTGCAAGGGTGGTCCCACCTTCCTGGCAGTGCACCCCGGCCCAGCCCGGGGTGCAGGCGCACCGCCCCGTGGCGACGTCACAGGCGGCGCCGTTGAGACAGCGGCACGTGAGGCCACAGCCCTTGCCGTGCCGGCCCTCGGGGCATCCTGCGGGCACAACGCACGCTCCACACTGGCTACCATCATAGCACACTGACTACCATCATAACACACTGGCTACCATCATAGCACACTGGCTACCATCATAGCACACTGACTACCACCATAGCACACTGGCTACCATCATAACACACTGGCTACCATCATAGCACACTGGCTACCATCATAGCACACTGGCTACCATCATAGCACACTGGCTACCATCATAGTACACTGACTACCATCATAGCACACTGACTACCATCATAACACACTGGCTACCATCATAGCCAACTGGCTACCATCATAGCACACTGGCTACCATCACAGCAGACTGGCTACCATCATAACACTGGCTACCATCATAGCCAACTGACTATCATCATAACACGCTGACTACCATCACAGCACATTCGCAGTCAGCAAGTGCCCCATGCTGGTGTTCGTCTGAGCCCAGCGTCATTGGCCACCTCGTGTGCGCTGTCGTAACCGTCCGCGTGCGTGTTGGTGCGCCGTGCCGGCCTTCATAGGCGGTGCTCGTGAGTAGAACCCGTCGGTGAGTTCTCGTCTCCCCGTGCCAGAGGGCAGGGGGCTGCGTCCGCTCACTCTGGTTGCAGCTGGGACCGATCCAGCCGGCGGGGCAATGGCACAGCCCGGTCACGTGATCGCAGGGCGCTCCGTTGTGGCACCGGCAGGACAGCTTGCAGTCCATGCCGTGAAATCCATCAGGGCAAGCTGCAACGACGCGACAACGCAACGGTGGAGACGCGACAGGGGAGCTGCAGAGAGGAGAAGGAACAAGCGAGCAACGATACGAAACGGACAGGCGACGGTGCTGCCTCTCTTCTGCTGCCCCCTTTGTCTGAAGTTCCGTTCCCTCGGCCATTCGTGGTGTCCAATCCATGCCGCTGTTCAAGGTAAGCCTCAATACTTTCCTGCCCTCCTCTTCCTCTGCTTATGACCGACTGCCTTTCTCTCTTCGTCAAAAATCCACCGATGGTGTGTGCACGGTGTCTTGAGATGGATTTGAATGTTGGCGCTACGTAAATCCAAATTGTATTTGATTAAAATACCAACGAAACAAACGACAAACAATCACACCATATCACCGTAGTCTTTGTCAAGTCATGCCAACACAATTTAAGCTGATCGTTAATTATATCAGAATGCTAGGGTACAGTAATTCTTAAACTCCACTCCAAGTGTTCCCCTCACAGTGCGGCTTTCCATTGGTGCCGGCAATCGGTTGCGTTGCAAGGTTCGTGGGCTTAAATATTTCACACGCGAGTGGAAAAAAAGAACATCGGTGAACCGGGTAAGGGTGTCCGATGTGGGAGGTGCTTGCGTGGGCTGGAGTTTGAGAAGCACCGTCGTAGCGACAAATGCTTTCACTGCTCATCAACTCAACGGGTTTGTTGTCTTTGTGATTTCGGGAAATGGTCGGTACGTTCCCAAAAGATGTTTCATCCTGGAACAAAGAAGAGTTGCACCAAGTCCTAAAGTTTGGGTCACTTCAAACCCACGCATATTTCAGAATTAATCGCATCATAGAAAAATTAGCAATTATGTCACGAGTGACTACATTTCAAAATAACTAAATCGGTTTGAATCAGTGCTTGCTTGTAATATCCTGTTTTAAATGCCTGGCACGGCGATTACTCTGAGCGCGTATTACTGCACGCTTGTGCGGGGTCACCCATCGTCTGGAAAGGCGTCTCGACTCCAGGTCACGTTTTTGGGATTTCCGTTCTCAAGTCGTGGCTGCAGTGCGAGCGTGTTTGCCACACAGGGAGTGCTCCCCAGTCGCAGCTCACATCCGGGGGGGGGGGGGGTATGGGGTAGCTCTGGTTAGCACGGTCGGCTACGTACGGTGCGAAAGAAGTTCAATATAAGGTACATACATAGCTGGGGCAGCTTTTGCCCCAGGCCTCAGATGCAAAAGGCCTCATGAATGTCCAATGGGGCCCCATTGAGCATTTTTCACCGGGCCTCCAAGAACATTTCAGTGGCCTCGGGGACAGCATCTAGAATTGTAGCGAACTGACTCGGTATGTTATGATCCATAGATTCATCCATGATCATAGAATGGGCTCACACTAATGGTGCGCATGGAATTATGCGGGCAGGACTGGATAATTACTTGTGATTTTTATTCAGTATGTAATTTGGTCGAATAATACCGACAGCTTCCCGAGGCAGTATGTTCTGTACGATGGCAATTATTTTTGTTTATCAATTTCTTAAATCATAAAAAAAAACTTGAGTTCATTGAAGCGCACGGGGAGTGAATACGTGAATAGAGCGCACACGCCGGCGTCACTGTCGTGCGTGACTTTGCCTCGAGCAGTGGTTCTTAACCTTGACTGCAGCCTTGCACCCCTTTGGTACGCAATCGTTATATTTTTTTATGTTACTAAATACACCGATTTTATGAAACCAAGTAGTGCGTAATTTCTGTTTCGATGATTTACCTTCTTGAAAAAATATGTCCGTGTCTCGCACCCCCATAAAGAACATATCGCACCCCCAGGTTAAGAATCACTGGCCTAGAGGCTGAAATGCCGAACGAAATTCTTCGAAATGAAACCGCGAAACTCACTGCGGGCACAGTGAGTCCCCATGAAGCCCGCAGCGCAGGTGCAGGCGCCGCTGGCGTGGTCGCAGCCGGCGCCGTTCTGGCACCGGCACTTGGACTGGCAGCCTTCGCCATACATCCCCGCTGGGCACCCTGCACGCACACACACACGCACAAAGATAAAGACAAAGATCCCCCGTAGAGCCTTAACAGACTGTAGGGGCAAGTGCTGTTAGCGAGCACCTATGAAGGCCGAAACGGTACACGAGGGGGTGGGTGGCCAGCACCACGCCCGACCGCCTTTGTCTCCCTAGCGGCAATGTTTACACACCGCACCAGGTACTCATTTGAGGCTGAGTCGACCTAGGGGAGGCCCAGGACCGGTTCAGATAATCGTCACTGGTGTTTGCCGTGAGCGGGAATCGAACCCGGGTCGCCAGGTTCGTAGTGCAGCGTGCTAACCACTACACTACCGCTCCCCTGTACACACACGCACACACACACGCACGCACACACACACAAAGATCTTCCCAAATAGCTTTAACAGACTGTTCGGGCAAGTGTGGCTAGCGAGCACCTATGAAGGTCGGCACAGCACGCGAGGGGGGTAGGTGACCAGCACCGCGCCCGGGCCGTCTTTGCGTCCCCCAGTGCTGATGTTGACACACCGCAGCAAATGTAAATCTTAAGGCTGAGTCGACCTAGTGGAGGCCCAGGACCGGTTCGGATATCCGTCACCGATGCTGGCCGTGGGCGGGAATCGAACTCGGTCCACCGAGTTGGTGGCGCAGTGCGCTAGCCACGACACGGCCGCTCTCGACGCACGAACAAACAGGCAGCGTAGGGGAACATACCACATTGGACATTGCACATTGGCTCTACATTCCAGAATTGGCAAATGTGTGCATCCATTGGCCTGAATGCAACATTATCATCTAAGTCGTATGTAATGTAAATTATGCACTTATCGAAGTTACTAATTGAATGCATGTATTGTGAGTGTAAACAATCAATATCATGGACATGTCGTCATCATGAACAACAACAAAAAGAGGCTTTAACCATTATAGTTGCGAGTGAAATACGCCAACATTCGTGGAAACCATTTACAGGTTCAATCTACGATGCGTTCTTCGCTAATTTGTTTGTCGGAAGAAGAATTTACGAGCGGGTCAGATCGCCCCTTGCGCTCTCTGCTCCGATGTCGTCTGCCCCGGCGGAGTCTCCCTTGAAAAGAAGCTTCTCGGCTCAACGGGATTCACCCGGGTGGTGGGAAAAAATGTCTGATTCTGGCCACACGGACCGCGACCTGGGAGCCCGATCGCCACAGTCACGGCCGGAATCGCCGTTGCGTGAGACGCCCCCCCCCCCCACCCTTCTCGCTCACGCTGGTCGCAGTGCGTCCCCGTGTAGCCGGGCTCGCAGGCGCAGAGCCCCGTGACAGGATCGCAACTCCCCGTGCCGTTGCTGCAGTGGCACAGGTTCTTGCACGCGAGCCCCCAGCGGCCAGACTCGCACACTGAGAGAGGGAGAGAGATATTTGAGAGAGATAGAGAGAGAGGCAAAGAGGGGACAAACTAAAACAATTTTTTTTAAAAACTAAAACCACTTTTTTTTTTACCAGGTAAGGCCCACTGAGCTATGTGGCGACCTGGCCACAAACGATAGCCCAATGAAGTGGCTTATGGAGTGGAAATTTATAGCAGCCAAATGCTTTAAACGCACGTTTGGTAATGTGGAGGGAAAAAACTGGAGGGCCCGGACAAAAAAAATCCACGTGACCACGGAGAAATAGACAAGCAAACTCCAAATATACAGCAGCAGGCGTCAGGGTCGGAATCGAACCCACGTCCTCCTGTATACCAGGCGAGGTAGTTAACATATTCCTACCGCGGCACCCCATGAGGCTTGTTGGAACCCGTGTACAAGCGTGGATTCCAAATTTTCGCAGCAGTGAGCATTGGTGACTATACTGCGCTGACGAGTCCTGACAAGGACGAAACCGGCCCACAGTTGCTTGTCTCTGTATCGCTGTTCCCTTGTCAGTTGTGCTGCACTTATATTGCTCCCACGTCAATGTTCCCCGCGTTAACCGACAACGCACTGGGCAAAGCAGCGAAGCATTGACAATCAACCCAGTGGCCTGCACGGAGTGTGGAGGCCCTCATCATCCAGCAGTGGATAAACGAAAGGGCTGCACGTGACCGTGTGCAAGGGCGCATGGGCACCGCCACGGCTCTCCTTTTCAGGGGAGACGTGGCTGAAAGAAATCCCCCGTGCAGAAAAGCAAAACAAATCGCTATTTTTTTTTACAAAACAATGCAGACAAGTGGGACTATCTGTGGGTGGGCGAGCAGGTGTGTCTGGGTGAGCGTGCGAGTAGTGGGTAAGCGTGTCAGTGAGCGAGCGCATGGGTGGGCAAACCATGTGGGCGTTCGAGCGGGTGATTTTATATGCAGGTAGAGCGGGCGGAGTGGGTGAGAGTGTGGGTGGGCGAATTATCGATTGGATTGGCGTGTGAGTGGGCGAGTGGAGAGCAGCTGATTTGGGCGAGAGTGCGAGTGGATGAGAGTGGGCGATTGCATCTATCTTCTTGGTTCTTTCGGTAAAGAATGGAAATAATAAAAGAATAAAAATAAATAAAATAATAAAAATAAAACAATAATAAAATAATTCTCACGACGTTTCGGCCACAACGCAAGCAGCCGTCCTCAGGTGGAGAACAGGTCTGTCGAGACTCTGTCTCCTCGACAGACCTGTTCTCCACCTGAGGACGGCTACTTGCGTTGTGGCCGAAACGTCGTGAGAATTATTTTATTATGTTTTATTTTTATTATTTCATTATTTCCATTCTACGTGACTTTACCGAAAGAACCAAGAAGATGAATCCCTGCAGTCACGAAAGCTCTAAATCGAGATTGCATCTATGTATGGTGAACTTCTTTCGCGCCGTACGTAGCCAACTGTGCTAATCGGTGGTGGGCGACCGTGCGAATGCGTTGAGAGCGTGACAGGTGCGAGAGTGGCGATGAGCGCCACGAGCAGTCAATGACCGTGCGTACGCGTGCTACAGTCTTGTCCAGTCCAGCTGGCGGCGCAGACGCAGCGTCCCGTCGCGGGCTCGCACGCCGCGCCGTTCTGGCAGGAGCAGCGCTGCAGGCAGCCCGCCCCGTGGAAGCCGTGAGCGCACGCTGCCAGGGGAACACAGGGACGGGTATCGGCGATCAAACTCTTTTGCTGCCTTTAGCCGAATGTTTGGGGCAAGCGCTGGCAGCGAGAGCCTACGAAAGCCGGCATGGTGCACGAGGGGGTGAGTTGCCAGCACCACACCCCGAGTGCGTGATGTTTACACACCGCAACAGGTACCAAGGGATGCCCAGGACGGGTTCAGACACTCGTCACTGGTGTTGACCGTGAGCAGCAATCGAACTGGGGTCACTACCGGGTTCGTAGCGCAGCCGCAGCACCTTCATTGACGTGAAGTTTGCTCTCACATTTGTTTTTAAATAATACATTTTTTCGACATTTTATTCCGTTTTTTTTTAATTGTACAGCCCCGCGAGACATTTGTTTCTGCGAATGGCACTATACAAAACAATAATAATAACAATATATTTTTGTATGATGACGTAACTGACAATACCATTCACTGCGTTATGGTTGAATCGTTGGATGGGACAACGCAACCGGTGCCCAACAACCGAGGGCGGCAGTGAGTCCACCTTTACTTACGGGTCTGGCAGGAGGCCCCCGAGAACCCGGGCAGACAGGCGCACCTCCCCGTTGTTTTGTTGCACGCGCCGTTGTTTTGACACGCGGGGCAGATGCCCTTGCAGCCAACTCCCCAGAGGCCATCCGCGCAATCTGCGGCCGCACGTCAACAGCAAAAGTAAAGACAGATCCTACAGACGTTCATGACGGTGGCTCTACGACACGTTCGGCCACTATTGAGTCGTGACGTAGCCACCACGGTGGCGCGTGGCGTAGCATCGACGAGGCTCCATCATTGCAACTCACTGCTCTACGGGACGTCTGGCAAAAAACATGACCAGGCTGCGGCGTGCAAGAAATTCTTGGGCACGCTGTCGTGACGGGTACTGCGAGATCTGACCGTGTCTGTCCGGTGCTTGCTGAGCTGCATTGGCTATCGGTTGCTGAACAAATGCAATAGAAGGTCGCCCTCATTACGGACCAAATGCTTGCTACAAATATACCAGAATACATTGCTCATCTCGTCAAGGAGCATAAACCATCTCGCAAACGCCGGTCATCCTCACAGCAACGGCTTTTGGCAGGCCATCGAACAAAGACGGTCACTGCATCGCGTGCTTTCAGAAGCGCTTCTGAAGTCACTGGAGTTATGCGCTTTTAAATCGAAATTGAAAACTAATTTCTTTAGAACTGCTTTTTGTGTTTAGTTTGTTGTGCTTCCCCTGCACCTCCGATTAGCACGGTTGGCTTACGCACGGTGCGAAAGAAGTTCAACATACATACACAAGAATAGCTTTGTCCGCTCACATGGTGTGGGGCAACCTGGCTCACGAATGGTCATGGATATCGATGATAATAATAATGATTTCGATTTAAAGCTTTCGTGACTGCAGGGATTCATCTTCTTGGTTCTTTTGGTAAAGTCACGGAGAAGGGAAATAATAAAATAATAAAAATATTACATAATAAAATACAATTCTCACGACGTTTCGGCCACAACGCAAGCAGCCGTCCTCAGGTGAAGAACAGGGCTGTCGGAAAGACAGCGTCCGAATGAACACCACCCTGCATTTTCCATAATATGCTAAATTCCTCTGTTGATATGTAATATCCTTTGTCAAGGCGCTCTCCTTCTCTAACCCAGCTTAAATATACACTGCCAAGCTTGGTGGTGTTCATTCGGACGCTGTCTTTCCGACAGCCCTGTTCTTCACCTGAGGACGGCTGCTTGCTTGCGTTGTGGCCGAAACGTCGTGAGAATTGCATTTTATTATGTTTAGTTTTTATTATTTTATAATTTCCCTTCTACGTGACTTTACCGAAAGAACCAAGAAGAAGAATAATGTCGATGACGACGATTCACAGGCCACCTCACCCTTCTCGCACGACATCCCCGTGTGTCCGGCAGGGCAGCTGCAGAGACCCGTGCGGCGATCGCAGGGCGCCCCGCCACAGTCGCACTCCCAGCGGCAGTTCGCTCCGTATTGGCCGACAGCGCACTCTGCAAACACAGCCGCGCGAGCACGCGCTCGCAAAAACCCAACGCACCGAGCTCACCGCACGGGGAAACGGGAGGCCATCGCGCAGGGCAGTGAACTATTTATTATATTATCTTAGCAGGTAAGGCCCACCTGAGCTATGTAGATCTTGGTTTGAAGCTTTCGTGACTGCAATGATTCATATTCTTAGGTGTTTTCGGTAAAGTCACGTAGGTAAAACATTAAAATTAATAAAAGTAAAATAAAATAAAAATCACGACGTTTCGGAGACTTGTGTTGCCTCCGAAACGTCGTGATTTTTATTTTATTTTACTTTTATTAATTTTAATGTTTTACCTACGTGACTTTACCAAAAACACCTAAGAATATGTAGATCTTGTTTAGAAGCGAACTGGACTGACGAATGATAGCTCAACGAAGTGGCCTACGGATCGAGCGGAAATGAATAGCGGCAGCCACATACTCGAAACGCGTGACGTCGATTCTAAATGTGAAGGGAAAACCCAGAGTGCCAAGACGGCACTCCACGTGACCACGGGAGGAGAGAAAACACGCAAGCTCCAAATATACAGCAGGCGTCAGGGTCGGGATCGAACCCACGACCTCCTGCATACCAGGCGAGGTAGTTAACATCTCCTAGCCACCGTGATGATGATGAGAGAGACACGCAAGCTCCAAATATACAGCAGCAGCAGGCGTCAGGGTCGGGATCAAACCCACGACCTCCTGTATACCAGGCGAGGTAGTTAACATCTTCTAGCCACCGTGATGATGATGAGAGAGACACGCAAGCCTCAAATATACAGCAGCAGCAGGCGTCAGGGTCGGGATCAAACCCACGACCTCCTGTATACCAGGCGAGGTAGTTAACATCTCCTAGCCACCGTGATGATGATGAGAGAGACACGCAAGCTCCAAATATACAGCGGCAGCAGGCGTCAGGGTCGGGATCAAACCCACGACCTCCTGTATACCAGGCGAGGTAGTTAACATCTCCTAGCCACCGTGATGATGATGAGAGAGAAAACACGCAAGCTCCAAATATACAGCAGCAGCAGCAGCAGGCGTCAGGGTCGGGATCGAACCCACGACCTCCTGCGTACCGGGCGAGGTAGTTAACATCTCCTAGCTACTGTTGTGCCCACGACGGTGAAATCAATGATAGTCCCAACTGCCTCCCCACTTACTCCTCTCCAGGAAGACGATATTTCTACCACGGCGAGTGCCGCCAACCAATAGCGTTGTTTGTACAACAGCGAGAAGGGGGATTTGGAAATGTTGTTGCCGCGTGTTGTTCGGCACGACGTCTGAAGATTTTCTCCGCATGCTGGGAGCTTCTTTGGGTCCGAAACGTCGGATATCGTGCCGAACAATGACGCAAAACAACCATGAAAGGAGCTGTACAGCAGAGCCGCAAAAATATGGTTTTGCATGAGGCGTCTCGTGTTATTAGTTCTTAAAATCGTGACACATTTACCTGGGTGCATTTGTAAAGAAATGTACATTTTTCTAATCTTACATTTGACCACTGTATTCTACAAGCAATACGTTTTTTTCCAATTTTCATACGTTGCATTTAATGGCATCACATAACCCCTGCAGCCACTATCAGCCCTTAAAAAGTTCAACACAACGTTTAAAATTATCTTTTCTTGCGTCGAATCTTGACCCTGAATTGTGACAATTCATAAACATACCAGGCCCGGGGTGAGAGGAATGAATCATTATGCCCCTAATTATTTATATCATTGCCAAATCTGTTGTTAATATGCTTTGTTTGGTAACTCAAACTCTTATTTTTCAGCTCACTTCTGTGAAAAAAATGAAAGCCCTCCTTGCTTGGCTCGAGTTCAGTGGGGATCTTAAGAGGGCAGGAGAAACAGGGGTCAGGGATTTCATAGGGCTTAAGGGGGTCTCACCAATAACGCGAGAAATTATGACTGCAACGGTGCAAAAAAAAAAACATGGAATTAGCCCACCGCATCGCTTCCATCCAAACACCTGTGCAAAGTCGACAACGGGAAGTTACATTTTTTTCTCTCCTTTTTAAAATCCCCAAACACAACAAAGCAAACCCACTGTAGACCCCGACCCCCCCACCCCTCCCCACCACCTTATTGGGGATTACAACCACGAGCAACCGATTTACTCACACCGTCACATCGTGGCCGCGGCGGCCAATTCAAACACCGGCTACACACCTGCGGACGGACCACCCGCACGCGTGCGTAACGGTGCGCACCTGCGGGAATCGCTCCTCCCCGGAGCCTCGCGGTGTTCCATTTCACGCGAGAATTCCACGCGCGCGCGCGGGCGTGCTAGAGGCTTACAGGGCTGCTATTGTACCGCGGAAATAAATACGGTGGGGGGGGGTGGCAGAGGGGGGGGGGGGTTGGCTGCGACGCGCCGTGCTTAGCGATCGACGCAAAGCCACCACTCTCATGCGCAGCCGTTCGCAACCGATATTCTCATTCACAGGTGGTTTCTTTTTGGGTGAGATCGTGGTCAATTCGGGTCCCGTAAGGCCCTCCCCTCCACCTAACCCGATGCGACAAACGAATGAAGTCGTCACGCGGGGGCAAATGTGCCGATTGATTTCGGTTTGTGATTGAGCGAAGCCGCTCGCGTTGTTTGAAAGCGAGCAGAATTTTCACTGGAGACTACGTCCAGCGCGATCGGGAGTTCACAAGAGCTCCGACGGTGCAATTTCCAGCGCAACGTGGTATAAAAATGTGTCAAAATTAACGCTCGTTTTTCAATGCGAACAAACTAAATCAATCGGCACATTTGCACCCACCCCCCCACGTGACAACTTCATTGGTTTATCCTCGTCGCGTCCGGTGGAGGAGGGCTACTCCGGCGCCCCGAATTGACATCGAATCGGGGACCCCCGAAAGACATCGAGCACGAGGCACTCCGCTCCCCGTCGGACGAGGGGGGGTGGGGGTGGGTGTGGGGGAAACACCGACCCTCCTGGCAGCTGGCGCCGTGGAAGCCCGCGGGGCACTGGCGCCTGCAAGCGCCGCTCGCCGAGTCGCAGGTCACGTCCGCGGGGCAGTTGCACTTCTGCTTGCAGCCAGCGCCGAAGTAGCCCGGCTCGCAGCCTGCGCCCCGCCGAGAAGCAAGGGAGGGAGGGCGGGATCGCTCGCACGTCCGTATCTATTGTGTGTTGAACTTCTTTCGCGCCGTACGGAGACAACCGTGAGTGGGTGTGTGAGTGAGTGGGTCATTGAGTGGGTCAGTGTATGTATTGTATGTTGACTTCTTTCGCGCCGTACGTAGCCAACCGTGAGTGGGTGAGTGAGTGGGTCATTGATTGGGTCAGTGTATGTATTGTGTGTTGACTTCTTTCGCACCGTACGGCGCCAACCGTGGGTGAGTGAGTGGGTCATTGAGTGGGTCAGTGTATGTATTGTGTGTTGACTTCTTTCGCACCGTACGGAGCCAACCGTGAGTGGGTGAGTGAGTGGGTCATTGAGTGGGTCAGTGTATGTATTGTATGTTGAACTTCGTTCGCACCGTACGGAGCCAACCGTGGGTGAGTGAGTGGGTCATTGAGTGGGTCAGTGTATGTATTGTATGTTGAACTTCGTTCGCACCGTACGGAGCCAACCGTGGGTGAGTGAGTGGGTCATTGAGTGGGTCAGTGTATGTATTGTGTGTTGAACTTCGTTCGCGCCGTACGTAGCCAACCGTGGGTGAGTGAGTGGGTCATTGAGTGGGTCAGTGTATGTATTGTGTGTTGAACTTCTTTCGCGCCGTACGGAACCAACCGTGGGTGAGTGAGTGGGTCATTGAGTGGGTCAGTGTATGTATTGTGTGTTGACTTCTTTCGCACCGTACGGAGACAACCGTGAGTGGGTGAGCGGGTTATTGATCGTGTGAGTGTGTGCATGTTGAACTTCTTTCGCACCGCACGTAGCCAACCGTGAGTGGGTGAGTGAGTTGGTCAGTGTACGTGTTGTATGTTGAACGTATTTCGCACCGTGCGTAGCCGAACCGTTGTAGAGGTGAAACTAATTAACCAAGAGAGCATTTGGTGTAGCCATGTGTGTCTCTGCCGGGGAGGGGACCCACCGTGCTGGCACGCCTTGCCGTGGTGTCCCGGTCGGCAGGTGCAGCTGCCGAGCTTGGCGTCACAGTAGAGGCTGTTTTCGCGCACGCATTGGCACTCCTCCGAGCAGCCCGGCCCGAACGCCCAGCGGGGGCAGACTGGCACAAAACAAAGGCAAAAAAGTCCCCCACCACCCCATAAATGATCCTTATAGCGGTACCCCGGGGTAACAAATAATACAAATTGGCCGAGGCAATTAAATATTTTATTTCTGGGACACTATATTTTTTCGAGGGGTGTACTTAACTCCACGACTGGGGTACCAATCAATCCGAAGTCGGTGCTACTCCGCGATGTCGAAACGCAGCGAGGACGATTGTGCAGAAACCCTGAACGCTCGTACACACCGTGGTGGTGCATCGTGTACAGCTCGTCGAGATGAGTCGATTGCCGCATCACCGACCATCAACAGACTAACAGTGACTGCATCAGGGACATTATGCGAGAGCCGGGGTACTATGGTACCCCGGGGTGCCGCCATAATGTTCATATAGCCCGGGCAGACTGCTGGGGTAAGTGCTTTTAGCGAGGCGGTGGGTGCCCAGCCCGACCGCATTTGTCTCCCCAGTGGCGATATTTACTACACACCGTACCAGGTACTCATTTGAGGCTGAGTCGACCTAAGGGAGGCCCAGGACCGGTTCAGATAATCGTCACTAGTGTTGGCCGTGAGCGTGAAATCGAACCCGGGTCACTGCGTCTGAAGCGCAGCTCGCTAACCACTGCACTACGTGTCATTCCATTGAATCGCAAAACAAAGGCAAAGATTTCGATTTAAAGCTTTCGTGACTGCAGGGATTCATCTTCTTGGTTCTTTCGGTAAAGTCACGTAGAATGGAAATAATTGGAGAGTATATTTAGTATACTGATGATCCTATGTAGTTTATACTTTAGTTGTTTACGTTGTGGTTTAGTTACTGCAGCTACATACTATTAACATTCCTTCCCTTTATAAATGCTACCCCTATCCCCCTCCCTTTGATGCTGCTAATCCTGCATAATGCACAGGCATTATGACTTTAAACCACCCGCCAAACCTCCTACGCATTTCACAAGTAGTACTAATCGCATATCTGCATTTGCCATAAATATGCTAAATTCCTCTTGATATGCAAATTATTTTGTCAAGGCGCTCTTCCACCCCCTCCATCCCAGCTTAAATAGTCGCTCCAAGCCTGGGGTGTGTCATTCAGACTCTGTCTCCTCGACAGACCTGTTCTCCACCTGAGGACGGCTGCTTCTGTTGTGGCCGAAACGTCGTGAGAATTATTTTACAATGTTTTATTTCTATTATTTTATTATTTCCATTCTACGTGACTTTACCGAATGAACCAAGAAGAAGGCAAATATTCCCCACATAGCCTTTAAGAAACTAAATAACACACACACAGACACAAACACACAAGGGTTTCGTGGAGTGGGGGGGGGGGGCTCGTAATGGCGAGCGGCGAAGTGAATGACGAACCCAGGTGGCAGAAGCGGCCGTACAGCCCCGGGTCGCACAGACACGCGCCGTACGTGCGGTGGCAGCGCCCGTTGTTGGCACAGTTGCACTTGCGGTTGCAAGTCCTTCCGTAGAATCCCTTGGGGCAGCCTGCAGGTCAACGTCAAGATCAACAGGCCGCTCATGGTGAATGCCATCGATGCCACGACACCTCAACATTGCTTCCTTCCTTCCTTCCACCACAGTAGTAATGTTACCACCCGGCATTGGAATATCGCTGCCGTATAACACCAACTTTTGAAGTTAGCTCTTCCCCTTTGCCGCAAAACGCCCGGCTGCCCGGCCAATGCCAGTCTCGGCAACCAACCCTCTCCCACCCTCCACTCCTGCCCCATTAATCGCACTGTCTTGCCACATTCTGTCACCCTACTCACCCTACCCTTCCATTACATTCCTCGCAATCTTCGCATGCACCTGAATTCATAGGCCAGGTGTGGATTTTTCTCCGCGTCTCCGGTTTTCACCTCCGTATTTAGAATCAACGTGCGCTTGTAGAATTTGGCTTCTGTAAATCTCCACGTGATCGGCCACCTCGTTGGGCTATCATTTGTGATTGCCAGGTCGCTTCTGACAAAATAGCTACAAAGCTCAGCGGGCCTTACCTGGCAAAATAGAAGTAGTTTAGTTTTAGTTCAACACGTTCCTTCGGAGTGGGCAGGTAGGGACGTGGTTGGACAGCGCATTCGTGCACGACAGACAAATAGTCAAGTTCAAGTTCATGTATTAGGTGTAGCCCTGTGAGCCATTCGGCTCTTGAATCGGGTGCAACCACAACAAACAAAAAACTAAAACATGAACAGGAAAACATCTGAAAGTGAATATGTGACTAAGTGCAAACAGAAAATCCAAGAAAAGACAGCAAAATATTGCAGAAAAAACACCGTACACCAATGCTGTGTGCAAAAATTCCAGTGGATTTTTGCACACAGCGTTGGTATACAACAACAACAACCACAAGACAACTTAAATTAAGGCCATCAGTCTTACTCCGTACTAGAACAAACAAACATGGCCAAACCAATAAACTTTTCGAAATCACCAAAATAAAGCCATGAAAGCAATGAAACAGTGATCATAGGAACTGTGACGGAATTTTCACAATAAATGACATTTCACAATAAATGACATAAACAACATGTACTACCAAAAACCCTGCAGCCATAGCTGGCTGCAAGAGTCACTCCACAACAGCAGGAGCATCAATCGGAGTATTATAATTTTTCAATGCACCTTTAAGCTCAGCACACTAAATCAAAACACAGGTCATATGCACGACAGATAGACAAATAATCCCTGGTGGGCAGTGTGGAACCTGTTGTTCCTACCTGGATAAAGCAAGGCATATATGAACGTTCGGTTGTGTTCCTGCAAGGAGTGTTTAAGGTAACAAATGCTCTTACCGTCCTCGCAGCGATCTCCCATCACCCCGGGTGGGCAGTGACATCTTCCGGTGATGGCGTCGCACACTCCTTCGTTCCGACACTCGCACGGGCTGTTGCAGCTCTTCCCGTAGAAGCCTTGGGGACATGCTGTGTGGGGCGGAGGAGGGGGGGGAGAGGTGAGAAATGCACCCGTGCCGCCGTGAGATAAGAAGGACACGCGACGCGGCAGGCAACGCGGGATCTGAGCTCCTGTTATGTACGCGTGTTCAACTTCTTTCGCACCGTACGTAGCCAACCGTGCTAATCGGAGGTGCGGGGGGGAAGGATAACAAACTGAACACATCATGACGTTGGATGTAAATCTCCAAAGGATCGTGCATTCGTGAACAGCTCGTGAGTCTTCCCTGGGTGCTCCGGTTTCCTCCCACACTCCCACACGTGTAATAAATATGCATCATTAATTGGTTGAAAACATGTTATAATAAAAAAAACAACGCAAGACCCTCCTGAAAAGAAAAAGAGTCCTACCACCCAGTGTGTTTTTCCCCCCCCTGGATAAATAGTACATTTATTATTTAAGTACATTTATTTATTGTATCCAGTTTTGAATTGTTTTTACTTTACATTTTAGGAATGCCCCCCACCCCGCCGCCCCTGGGAGGTTGCTAGATCTGCCTGTGGGTTATTTTATGTTTACGTGTGAAATGATGTGATGGCGCTTTGGGTGGCAGATCTGTGCCAGAGAGGTAGCCACGTGTTCAACGAAAATAATAAATTGACTCGACTTTGGATCTACTCAAGGTACCTGACAGTAACACAATTCTCGAGAAGGTCATAGAGGTAAGCAGGTCCAGTGCTGTTGAAAGTCCTCTCTGGGGTGCCACAGTGTTGAGATGTGAACTACCTCGTGGGTTCGATCCCGACCCTGACGCCTGCTGTATATTTGGAGTGTGCACGTTTTCCCCGTGGTCGCGTGGATTTTTTTCTCAGGTTCCTCCGTTTTTTCACACTCCTCATTTAAAAAACGTGCGTTCAGACTATTTGTCTGCTGTGAATTGCCAGACGGTGATAAGCCACTCCATTGAGCTATCATTTACGCTAGCCAGGTCGCTTTTGAACAAGAGCTATATAGATCTCAGTGGGCCTTACACCTCGTAAAGTAAGACGTAGTTAAATGGTTGGTGTGTGTGTGGGGAGCGGTAGTGTAGTGGTTAGGGCGCTGAGCTATGAACCCGGCTACCCGAGTTCGATTTCCGCTCATGACCAACACCGGTGACGATTATTTGAACCGATCCTGGGCCCTCCCCTAGGTCAACTCAGCCTCAAACAATGACCCGGTGCGATGTGTAAACATCGGCCGGGCATGGTGCTGGCCACCCAGCCCCTCGTGTGTACCGTTCCAGCCTTCGTAGGTGCTTGCGAAGTCTGTTGAAGGCTATACGAGGTGGAATGGAGTGGGGGGGGGAGGTCATTGTCTTGTCTGTGCGTGCGTGATGCCGTACTCTCATTGCAGAGCAGCCCGGTCCACCCCGCCGGGCAGTCGCACCCGTCGGCCCCGTCTGCGCACGCGGCGCCGTTGGTGCAGTCGGCGCACGACAGCGAGCAGTCGGCGCCGAACGAGCCGCCCAGGCAGACTGCCGCACGATACGAGACACGCGGGGTCAGCACCGACGATGGGACGGGTCCGCGTGCTCTAGGGATTATGAAGAGCCCTCCTGCCCTCCCCATCCTTACCCTGCCCGCAAAGAGTTCGGGGAGCACCTTTACATTGTTGGGGCGTCGTAGAGGCCGGAGGAGTGCGCGAGTGAGAGGCGCGTCGTCAACGAAATAAAGCCCAAAAAAAGCTTTCGAAGAAGCAGTGCCGGTTTAAGCTAGTGTGGGCCTGAAGCATATGTTATAAAGGGGCCCAAAAAAACACGTAAATATTAAAACACACATTTTTTACTTGCATAGCAAAGTAATTGTCATTTTTCCTTTGCTATGCAGCCAGATAATACGACAAATCAACAACCCTAAACACCCAATCGTGCATTAAAGTTGAAGGCAGTATAGTACTATAGTAATAGAGCAAGTGCAGAGTCACTGAACCGAAATTTAGCGCGGGGCCCTTGAAATTGCGAGGCCCGTAACATATGTAGCTACTTTTGCTGAGATAATCCGGCACTGCGAAGAAGTGAAAGTTGTCGCGTATTATCGCATTGCGCTGTTCTGGAGCGGATGGGTAAAGTTGCAATTTGCTTGCTCACTCTCGCCCCCTTTCACTCGAGTGAGCCCCAAAGGGCTCCGCCAGAGCAGCGGTGGCCAACTGGCGTCTCTTGAGCTGCATGCGGCTCTTTAATCCACCACACGTGACTCTATCGAAGGGGCATAACGTAGAACACACTATCACAGTAGCAAAGAATAATGAATGTTTCGATTTGAAGCTTTCGTGACTGCAGGGATTCATCTTCTTGGTTCTTTCGGTAAAGTCACGTAGAAGGGAAGTAATACAATAATATTTTATTACGTATTACTTCCCTTCTACGTGACTTTACCGAAAGTACCAAGAAGAAGAATAATGAATGTCTCCCGTGCTGTACTAAAAAATGTCAATATATAGACATATAGAGACATACTTGGCTGTTTGCCGAACACATGGGCGCTTTTTGGCGCTTGGTCTGTTACAGGTGGGCTACCTCTGCTCTAGACTCGAGAGGGCAATTTAGCCTAGTCTTGCACGCTGGTCAGACCTCTTGACAGAGGTTGTTGGAGTACCCAACTCTCTCGATTTCAAGTCCACGGTGGTCACCATCACACAACCACGGCAGCTTCCCAGAATTAATGCGAATTAATGTTTGAATTACCATAAACTATTCCTAATTAGGCCTAAGGAGTCACAACCTCACGTTCAATTGGTCTCTAATGCATGGATATGCACCGCATAGTTCAACAGACATGAAGTCCTTCTTCCCACGGAAATAAGAAAATATGTTTAGTCTATCAGCCCATTGGCCTTCAAGGCTAATGTAATGCATCCAGCAGCATTTGTTTAAGTGGACAAACTCTCAGCTGGTTTCAAGCTTCTGGGCGTCATCAGCAGTCAGGCGTGTTGTTCTTTGTCATTAATGTGCTGCAACCCAGCAGAGTTTTACTGTGTTTGGAAACTAACGGAAGTCTGCTTAATTTATTGGCAGTAATGCTCCAACCAGCACGTAATTATTTATATATATAAGTATTGCACTGTGTGTGTGTATATAATACAGCTTTTGGCTTTGAGCAGGGGCTCCCATTGTGAGGATGAACTGTTCTTGAAAATAACAAATAGTTTAACAAGCTTGACTGATGATGAGACCCAGGTTGAAACTGGTCTCGAGTTTGTTTGTTTGCTTGAACAAATACTGCCGGATAATATTGGCCTGGAATGTCCATGTTGACAACAAAAACATGTTGCTTTTACGTCGAAGAACTTACGGAAGTCTGTTAATTTATTGTGTTACCCACAATGCTCCCTGCCATCTAACTTGGAATGTGCCCGATCTAATCAGATCTCAGAAGCTAAGCAGATTTTGAGCCTGGATAGTGCTTGGATGGCAGACGACCATGTACAAACCAGGTTCTCGTACAACTTGTGAGGCTATGTGTTTGGCATTAAGAGAGCATGTGTCCAAAAAAAACACATTCTTGTACTCTACTTCTATGTGTCCACATATATACACGCCTCACTTTGACCAGCGTGGCAAAGCTTTTAAACACTCACAATGCACACCAGGCATGGTGCAGTCCTCATCTAGCGGTGGATTGGACAAACGTGTCTGCAGATGCGTATGCATCACGGTCTGGGTCACACTGATGAGCGTGCATGTCAAATGTCATCTCGACTGAAGCACCGCCAGTTTAAATGAATCCGGGACTGCCGTGTAACCAGGTCCCCGCTCTCCTCTCATGATTCATTGCAAAATACGCCCAAGCAAATTGGCACCAGCTGCCGTTTGCGTGACTTGCGTAGAAAATATTTCCTTTTGCTGCTCAGTCCAAAGGAACGGACTCATTAAAAAAAGACTTTAATACTCCACCTCTCCCCCCCCCCACTCGTGCGCGGGGAGCGGTGGTGCAGCGGTTAGCGCGCTGCGAACCTGGCGACCCGGGTTCGATGCCCGCTCAGGGCCAACACCCCAGTGACGATTATATTTATCTGAACCGGTCATGTGCCTCCCCTAGGTCGACTCGGCCTCAAAAATGAGTACCCGGTGCGATGTGTAAACATCGGCAATAGGGAGACAAAGGCGGCCGGACGTGGTTCTTGGCCACCCTCCCCGTCTTGTGCCGTGCCGGCCTTTATAGGTGCTCGCTAACAGCACTTGCCCCTACAGTCTGTTAAGGCTACACGGGGGGCAGAGTCTTTTTCTTTGTGAAGCACACGCCCGGTCACTGGGAGCCGGCGTGCAATGACGTCACGCCTCATTCCGTACATCGTGAGCAATGACGTCACGGCTCGTTCCGTACATCGTGAGCAATGACGTCACGGCTCGTTCCGTACATCGTGAGCATTGACGTCACGGCTCGTTCCGTACATTGTGAGCAATGACGACTCGTTCCATACATTGTGAGCAATGACGTCACGGCTCGTTACGTACATTGTGAACAATGACGTCACGACTCGTTCCGTACATCGTGAGCAATGACGTCACGGCTCGTTCCGTACATCGTGAGCAATGACGTCACGACTCGTTCCGTACATCGTGAGCAATGACGTCACGGCTCGTTACGTACATCGTGAACAATGACGTCACGGCTCGTTCCGTACATCGTGAGCAATTACGTCACGGCTCGTTCCGTACATTGTGAGCAATGACGTCACGGCTCGTTACGTACATTGTGAACAATGACGTCACGGCTCGTTCCGTACATTGTGGCCCTTATCCCTTACGCCGTGACGGCGGGCCCGACTATTTGTGAATGGCAGCAACAACAAAAAAATGTGTTGCCAAGGTGATACAATATTTGCGAGTTGTTTTTAGTGGTGCTGGTCTCCCCCCCCACTGATTGCCGTGGCGGCTTTCATAGACGCTCGCTTAGAAGCCACCAAAAGTCTGTTAAAGGCTTCACGTGGAGATCTCTGGGTGGCCAAAAAGAATTGGCTGATATTGAGGCAAATGTGCCGAGACAGTGCTGCTCAGATCCTGGGTTTAGACATGGGGGCATTAGACTGTGTCGCCGGTTCGTTGTCTCAGCCACGGTCACCAATTGTCTGCACTAAAAAATTGAAACAAAAAAAAATCTGGTTGTCCCCTGAACTCAACTAATACCAATCTCTAAGAATTTAAAATATGAGTAGTATTGGTCTATGTACATGTCCAGCATGTTCATCTTCGGCTCTTGGTTAATTTGTTCGACGATGTTTTGTTTCTTGCGCCGATAGGGGGGTAAGGGGGGAATGCTTTCGCCAAAAACCTGAAAGGTATTTGTTTAGCGAGCCTGTTTCTGCTGATGAGACCCAGCAACCAGGGTGCGCCCTAGGAGTCTTGTGAGAATAAAAAAAAGAGTTAATTTCATGTATTTATTTACCCAAACTGCTCCCACTACAGAGCATAACGACTTATATACAAATCCATTTTTTTGCACTTAGAGGACCCAGTCAATTATACGGAGTGCTCTGCCATTTGTTAAGCCAGAAACCACGATGATGATTTTGATGATGAGACATCAAAAAATTTCGCTTAAGCCCTGACTCTCTGCTGATCAACTGAATTTTCTTAGCAAGCCCTGACTTTATTGATCAACGGAATTCACTTCGCAAGCCCTCTCTGCTGATCAACTGAATTTTCTTAGCAAGCCCTCACTTTATTGATCAACGGAATTCACTTCGCAAGCCCTGACTGCTGATCAACAGAATTCACTTAGCAAGCCCTGACTTTATTGATCAACGGAATTCACTTCGCAAGCCCTGACTCTCCGCTGATGAGCCCCCAGAAGCGAGGCGGCTCACGGCGCGGGAGTGCTCCGTACGTGTTTTGTGAAGAGCCGTGTGCTCGGCCCTTTCGTCCGCCGCCGCCGCGTCGCCGCCGTCGGCTCCATCTCCGTCCCAGTCGTCCCAATCCCGCCCCGTGTGGTGCTCCTCGTCCGACAGCTCCCCCTCCAGCAGCAGCAGCAGCGACAGGTTGGAGCGCGAGGCCTCGGCACGATGAGGTGGAGGAGGTGGAGGGCGGAAGATCAGGCCCTTCCTCACGGGAGACTGCCCCTCTGGCCTGAGCCCAAATGAATTGTCCAGGGCTTGGGCACAATGAAAAAAAAAGGAATTGTGGTCAGAATTATAAGCGGAAAAAGGTAAAGGTGCAAACCCGCGAGTGCTTGCCGATGCCTCTGCTGGCGGAAGGTCCTCTGCTAGAGGGAGATCTAAAGAGCAGCGTTCGAAGTGAGAGTACCCACACTTTACACCGACACATGCGATGTGGGTGGACAAGAGGCGAGGTAGGGGGTGGAGGCTTGAAGAAACTTGGACCGTTGTTTTCAACCCGTCACCAATTGCTACGCTTCATCATTTGATTCAAGGCTCGACCCTAATATTTCGTCTCAGTTGACTGGCATTGTTCTTCATTCATGTGTCTCGTTTGAAACATTGTGCATGTCGCAATTGTCTGAATGTATACCATGAGCATATAATTTGGGTATAATAACAGTGAGCGTAAATATAAATTTCATTCAAAGAATCGGTGCGTTGTTGTACGCTTGCTGATTTATACGTGAATAAGGTGAGGCATTTGTACGTGTTCAAAAACTCCAACGCATTCGTCAACAATACTGCCTTAAAAATAATAAAAATATAATAGGCAACACTTTGGGCAGTGGCTCTTTTCCATAGCTCAGACACAGAGATTACAGAGAGACAGCAGAGTGGATCATGAGGGTCGGACACTGCACGCCATGGGCCTGATTTCAATTAGATTTTTAAAAATGTTTTCTGATGACCCATTTTTAAATAGGGAAATGAATAGTTACATTAAAGTTCGCGATTGAGTAACAGACAAACCGCATAATCAAAACGCATGACTACTACATTAACGAATTCCTATAAAAGTCAAATATTGCTGGCACATTGCATTGTGGGGACATTTGTTCCCATGTGACCGAGGCGCTGCTCACCTCGTGGATGCATTCCTGGGGTAATTATCGCGTGTTGTACGAGTTCGGTTTTAATTACGACATGACGTGTAACAACGATTTCAATGTCGCAATGTAATAGAGCAGAAACGGGTCTGGGTACAAAGTGCTTAAAAGGCAACGCTCCTGTGGAGAAGATGGGAAAAACATTTTCAGAATAGGCTGCGCATGTTTGGCCAGGAGGTCCAGCAGATCATGGTGACCTAACTTTTTGCAAAAATATCACGGCGCATTTTCAGTCGACGAGAGCCAGTTTGACCGGACAGCTCCATAAATAACAAAAAAACATTGCCGTATTAAAGGCTGGATGTCATTAAATAGCGGGGGCGCTGAAAACACCACAACAGCAACAACATCAACACAAATTCCACGCTCAGTGAAATAAGAAGATTAAGAGCAGGCGCTTGAACATGTGAATCATAAAAACAACATTTGTACGGGAGTATATTTGACATTCTTGTTTTTTTTTATTATGATTGTCTTGGTGTGGTGGTTAGCTAGCACACGGGGCTTGTAAAATCCAGAGGTCCCGGGTCCGATTCCAACCGGCGGCGTGGCAGTCGGAACAATGATGCTCGTTCATCAAGTCCTCCACTGTCTCTCTCCACCCAGGAGTGTGAACGGGGGGTCCACCACAGTTAGTCGATCGCCAGGTCCCAAATACGATCTCCGTAGCTCTCTCAGGCGGAGGCCCCTTCCGCCAGCAGCGGCACGAGCCAGCGATTGCAGGGCAGCACCTTTGCCGCCTTTACCGTGTTCGCAAATTATTTTGCACGGAACCACGTTCAGTTTATTTGGCGGGCGGAGGGGTGGGGAAGAGGGGGATTTATTATCATTATTATTACGACTGTCATTATTGAAGGGTGCACTTATTGAAGTTTTTTTTCTTTCTCCCCCCCCCCCCGCGCCCCCACAGCGTTTGCGAGAGATGAACTGGGGGCGCGTAACTCACGGACGCAGTGCTTGCGGTCGTCCGTCAGCTTGAAGCCGCCCTGGCAGGCACACTCGTGGGAGCCGGCCTTGTTTACGCACTCCTGCTCGCAGCCGCCGTTCTCAGCCAGGCACTCGTCCACGTCTGAGCGTCGGCGCGCGCCGCGGCGTTAAACGAGAAAGAGAGAGAGAGAGGGCCACTTACAACAGCAACAAAGTAGTAAGAAGGAAAAGTACCCGGCATACGAAGAGAACCACTTTCCCACTCTCGCGGGAGGTTACCTCCAGCGCCCCGCGTCTCTGTGCTGCCCCAGCACCGTCTGCGCGACCGTCATCGCGAACCGCTACGACAAACCGCGGGCCAGAGCGGCTCTCCGGATGCGTTTGCTTTTCGGGTCATTACCGCGCGTCGTTCGACGCGGTTTGCACCGTCTCGCTTCGCCACGGAGTTGCCGCCCGGCATCCGCGGAGCGAAGCGCCGGACGGTTGTCGAGCCAAACGAACGCAAGGTTCGATCCGAGAACGCGTCGGCGGAATCCTTCGTCTCAGCGTTCGCGTCGAAACTTTGGGGGGGGCCCGTTGTCGTCCGTTGGCCACATTAAACGCATGATAAATATCTCTCTAATGTGTTTCTGGTTGTGTGCCGTGTGTTGCTTGGCATGATGTCCTTCGTTTCGCCCCATGTAATTGGAGCTCTACGTGTTGGGAGTTCATTCAGTTCCTTCAGTACACCAAGCATCGGGACGTCAGACACCATGATTCACAGTTGATGTTTGGATCTTGGGCTGATGTTTGTTTGGTCACGGTCTCAAGTGAAACGCTGTGGTGGCGAGATGTGAATTACTTCGCCCGCTATGCAGGAGGTCGTGGGTTCAATCCCGACAGGACAGTGACGCCTGTATATTTGGAGTTTGCATGCTCTCCCCATGGTGTTCGCGTGGAGTTTTCTCCAGTTACTCTGGTTTTTTCCTCCACATTTAAAATTAACGTGCATTTCGAGTATTCGGCTGCTATACATTTCCAAGCGATAAGCCACTTCACTAGAGCTATCATTTGTGGCCAGGTCGCTTCTGAAAACGAGCTACGTAGCTCAGTGGACCATACCAGGCAAAATTAAAAAAATGGGTTCAGTTTAGTTTCTAAGCGTCGTGTCTCATTGCTAAACGTGGTTGCGAGATTCGTTCTTGGACATAACCGGCCAGCTGACACAATCACGACGACTGCCACGTCGCCAAACGCTCGCTGCCCGCGAGCTCTCTCCAACGGGAGGCCCTTCCCGCCTAGCAAGCGGCCAGCACGCACAGCGCGCACGGCTGGAGTTGGGGGGGGGTAGATGGAAGATGCCGTTTTTATTGTCGTTGTTGTTGAGGAAATCGCTATCTTACCGTCGCACGCGCAGCCGTCGATGCCGAGCCTGTAGCCTGCCCGGCAGCCACACTCGTAGCCTCCGGGGTTGTTTGTGCAGTAATGGCTACAGCAGCTGTCGGCGGCGCATTCGTCCACATCTGCGCGCGCACAAGAACGCAAACAGGCAGCAGCCAAGGCCAACGTTACTGAATTGTCCCGGTGCCGGGCGCTAAATCACTCCACGCCATCAAAGTGAATTCCTCGAACACAATGTACTGCACCGTATATGCCGAGACTTGTTGTTCTGTTTCGGTGACGAGCAGGAGACCTGCGAGCGTGCATGCGTGCGAGCGTGCGTGGGAGTGTGCCAGCGTGCGTGCGTGGGAGCGTGCGTGCGTGGAGGAACGGGCGCTGTCGATTTAGTGGCCTCAACATCGAGTCTCAATGTCGATCATCGCTCGGCCGGTTAAACGTCAATTCGGGGCATCGAAAGGGCGCTCCGAAAGTATCCTCTGCTGCCAGCCCAAATGTGCGGGCCAAAAATTGCACGAGTGCAAATGGACGGGTTTACTATTAGCACCTGATACACCAAACGACACGTGGAAGAATCAACGTTGCTTTGATTCGTATAACGTTGTATATCTAAATTGATATATTCACTACAATGTAATTTTTGTGAATAATTTTTGTTAATCAATTTGTGAGACGGAATCGTGACAATTCATCGGATGTGTGGGGGGGGGGGGTGGATAAAGGGAGTGGGAGGGAGAACGGTTTCACTTTTAGCGCACATGCTGCCCAAGCGTCCGATGAAAGGAGTCTGTGCATTTCATTGTGAAGAATTCGTAATCTTGTTGGATTTGAAACGTGCACAGCGTGCAGCTATTATCGTGTTTTGTCGCACAAAGAACGTTGACTGCTTGCATATTTTTATCCGCCAAGGAAACGTTTGCAATGAAAGCTTTTTTTTTCCATTCTGTCCAGAATTATGAATCTCAAAAGAATTGACTGCCCTCCTGCGATGTGTTTTTGGTTCAAGAGAGTGGGAAGACAGAGACGGCTGTTTACATGAGCCCAGCAGATGATCGTACATAGATACATATGTTCTGACACATGCCTTTAAGCCTCTTTTTAGATGCTCTACCAACGACTAGCAGTGTCTATGGAAAGCGCTGCAGTGGAAACGCACTATCTTTCGGCGTGTATTGTGAATTCAATGCACGTGTTTGATTGATTGAAAACTCTAAAACTGATAATTGGTTCTTTACCCTTCTATCTGGCAACAAAACTGACACCTTTTTGCAAGGAGTCATGTTTGCATAGACCGCAATACCTGCAGTCATAAATACAAACAAAAGACATAACTCTGATAATGTGCACTGTCCTTGAAGTTGATTGGTCCACACCCGAGACAGCTTTCCTTCGAGCCTAGTCTCATATGGGTTGGACCAGATGACGCCAAAAGGCGCACCTTTTGGCGTCATCTGGTCCAACCCATATGAGACTAGGCTCGAAGGAAAGCTGTCTCGGGTGTGGACCAATCAACTTCAAGGACAGTGCACATTATCAGAGTTATGTCTTTTGTTTGTATTTATGACTGCAGGTATTGCGGTCTATGCAAACATGACTCCTTGCAAAAAGGTGTCAGTTTTGTTGCCAGATAGAAGGGTAAAGAACCAATTATCATATTTTTACTGGCAAATGAGGTCCCCATAGTGTAAACTCTAAAACTATAAACTATTTTTTTTATTTGACCAGGTGAGGCCCACTGAGCTATAGAGTTCTCTTTCAAAAGCAACTTGGCCACAAATGATGGCTCAATGAGGTGGCTCATCGTTTGGAATTTTTTGCAGCCAAATACTCTAAATACAGGTTTCTAATTGTGGAGAGATAAACCGGAGGGCCTGGAGAAATATCCACGCAACCACGGGGAGAGAGACACGCAAACTCCAAATATGCAGGCATCCTCAGGTGTTGGGATTGAACCCACGCACACCTGTATACCAGGCGAGGTAGTTGACATCTCGCCACCGTGGAGTTTGATGCAGTGAACAATTTGTCGTTTCTCATGACTCAAATCAATCCAATAGCAACAAAAATCTAACCAGAAAACTATAGACAGACATATAAGCAGACAGATATCACCAAGATACATAGAGAGAGAGTGACACATAGGCACAGAAAGGGAGATCGTCTCTGTGGTGAGGCCTATTATTTAATTTATTATTTTATCTTTATACGTGACTTTACCGAAAGAACCAAAGAGTAATTCCTGCAGTCACGAAAGCTCCAAATTTAAAATTCGTTGAATTGTCATGATTTGTGGAATTGTCATGATTCAGGGTCATGATTTGAATGGACAATAAAACATCGCATCTAAGTTTTACCATGTGGTTTGTATCGTTTCGCCTTATATTTATTGAGCATGTACAGATCTATTGCCTCATGAGTATTAATGTCACATCATAATATGTCTTTTATGTAATTTTCATAAATCTAAAAGAGCAGTACAGAAAACCACCCACACGATTCAATGCATGTATCATAATGGAAGGTAGATTATTTTTAAATCAAGGATGGTAAGCATAATTTAAAAACCTGTATTATATAACATGTCCGTACATTCAATGGTCAACATTTGATAATTTTCCACCCGTAAAAAAATGTCTTCTTGTGCATTAAACTCAAATGTTACGAGCTGTGACAAGTGACACTTTACTCAATTACAATGTAGCGGCTGTTTGCACCACATCATAATCGTTATCATTACTTTTATACGTATATATCTATTTATGGATGATGGCCTCCCCACCCCACCACCATCCCTCACGATTCTGCGATGCCACAATCCATCTCACTCCTGCACGGGGAACTGATCTCATCGCTGATCTCATTTCTCCGTTTCCACAACGGTCATCCTCCCGGGTCCAATATCTTTTTCTTTTGGCTACCATTTTTGTCTAGAGGCCATCATCCCTCGTAGCCATCACTCGTCTTTGCCCAAGTCAACTCAACTTTCTCAACAGTCAATATTGTGTCCCTGATGCAGTGGCGAGATGTTAACAACCTCACCTGCTGGTCGTGGGTTCAAACCCGACACCTGACGATGCATGCATACGTGGAGTTGGCGTGTCTCTCTCGTCGTGGTCGCGTGGATTTTTCTCCGGTTTTTCCCTCCACGTTTAGAAACATGCATTGAGAGTATTTGGCTGCTATAAATGTCCACCAGATGATACTCCACTTCATTGGGCTATCATTTGCAGCCAGGTCGCTTTTATCTAACTCTGTGCCCTTTAAGTACCTGCCGTGATATCACCCACCGCCAAACAATAGCAATCATTGGCCATCTCCAATTGTCAGTACTGTCGGCGGCGGCGGCGGGGGGGGGGGGGGGGTCACGATTTGAGTCCAGAATCTTACCTTTGTTTTACATTGTCAGTGAAATATGTCACCCCTAGTGGCTGCATGATGGTGGATGTCTCTACCGCCGCCGCCGCTGCTGCTGCTGCTGCCGCAGCCACTGCCGGCCGTTGCTGTTGGGTCACCTGTGCACGTCTTGCCGTCGCTCTCCAGGACGAATCCCTGCAGGCAGTGGCATCGCGGGCCTCCACGGGCGTTCTCACACCGCTGGAAGCAGCCACCATTGTTTCTCTCACAGCCGCTGATGAGCTCCAGCTCGATGCCTGAAGTCGCGTCATACGCAGCGGGGGGGGAGAAAAAACCCGCACGTAATTCATCGTGATTATTAGGGCATGAGGCTTGTTTACCCAGGTAGGGCGAGATGTTAACTTCCTCGCCTGGTATAAAGGAGGTTGTGGAGTTCGATCCCGACACTGACGCATGTTTATTTGGAGTTTGGGTCTTCTATTACACCGTGGTCGCGTAGGTTTTTCTCCGGGTTCTCCGGTTTATCTCCCCACAATTAGAAACAGGCGTTTAGGGTATTTGGCTGCTACAAATTTATATTATTTGTGGCTATATCGCATCTGAAAAAGAGATATTTAGCTCAGTGGGATGTGTACTGTATTACAAAAGTTATGATCACAGTAAAAAAAAACGAGAATCTTAGGATGACCTTCATAATCACATACATTTTGTCTCAAAAAAACAAACAGAAACAATGATACTTTTATACTTTTCGCAGAAAAATACCACGATTGGTTTCCACATTTTTCGGAGAGAGAAAAAAAACCCCACAATGACTCGATGAATCACTCATTCCCATTATTAATAACCACTGAGACCACCTAAAGGAAATACATTCCTCCTCCGGTGAATATACAGGAGGTCTCACGCTCATCGCTGAGAGGCAGCGATCCGTCACGCTGCCCGGTGACCTCAGGAAGTCGTCAAATGTCTGACAATGCCCTCTGTGAGTTTGTCGCTTTCCACAGCCAACTTGTGATACGGCACCGCGAACAAGGGGAGCCCTTTATGATGATGATAATAATGAAAAAATATCTTAGCAATGAGTTATCTGATGTGTTTTCGTGATCGGCATGATGTCCGACGTTTTGCCCCACGTGCTGGGAGCTTCTTCAGGAGCTTGAATGGATTGAAGCTTTCAGCTTGCGGAGGAAAACGTCAGAATACAGTGCTGAACAATCAATCGATCTTCATTTTACGTGCCAATATCGCCCTCAATAAAGTGGGCATCAGTGCCACATTACAGCAGGAGGGGCACGGCACAGAGGGCACGGAGCAACGGGAACAAAATCAAAAACCCAGCACGACCTCAGCGGCTCACACTGACTGAGCAACACGCGGAAGAACACGAAAACACACCGGAGAGACCTACAGCGCAACCGCGAGACCCCCCTTGATAGCGTCGCGGTGGCTATGAGATGTTAACTACCTCGCCTGGTATACAGGAGGGCGTGGGTTCGATCCCGACCCTGATGCCTGCTGCTGTATATTTGGAGTTTAAGTGTCTCTCTCTCATCATCATCACGGTGGCTAGGATATGTTAACTATCTCGCCTGGTATACAGGAGGGCGTGGGTTCGATCCCGACCCTGATGCCTGCTGCTGTATATTTGGAGTTTGCGTGTCTGTCTCTCATCATCATCACGGTGGCTAGGATATGTTAACTACCTCGCCTGGTATACAGGAGGGCGTGGGTTCGATCCCGACCCTGATGCCGGTTGTATATTTGGAGTTTGCGTGTCTGTCTCTCATCTTCATTACGGTGGCTAGGAGATGTTAACTACCTCGCCTGGTATACAGGAGGTCGTGGGTTCAATCCCGACCCTGATGCCGGTTGTATATTTGGAGTTTGCGTGTCTCTCTCTCATCTTCATTACGGTGGCTATGAGATGTTAACTACCTCGCGTGATATACAGGAGGGCGTGGGTTCGATCCCGATCCTGACGCCTGCGTGTTTGGAGTTTGCGTGTCTCTCTCTCACAGTGATCGCGTGGATTTTTCTCCTGATCCCCCGCGGGTTTCCCTCCACAATTAGAAACCTGCGTTTAGAGTATTTGGCTGGTACACATTTCCACGTGATAAGCCACTTCATTGGACTATCATTTGTGGCCAGTTGGCTCCTGAAAAAAACAGCTATAGAGGTCAGTGGGCCTTACCCGGTAAAATAAAGAAATAGTTTAAGAAATCGTACAGACGATTAACAACCATTTATACGGAAGGAGCTGATTCAACGAGATTGCATGCGGAGAGAGTGACAGATTACCGATTTAGGGCAGGAGATATATTTTCATCCGAGCTATTCACAGCAACATTAGAATACATATGCGTGAGCGTTAAAAGGGAGCAATAGAGTGACGCGAATTAACGGAGAGAATATTAACCTGCTCGTGACTACTGACGACACGGTCGTTGTACTAATCAATGAAAATGCACTGCAGAAGAATTATTGACGAAATCAGGCTGCAGTGTTGGCCTAAAAATAATAACGAGCAGAGTCAGTTAGTCCAATATAATAATTTGAACAAACTAAAGAAAATAATTGTTTGAAGTTACATTCATTCCGGAGTAGGTATATCCTTTATTAATAGCATCATACTAACAGCTGGCATCCACGGAAACAGTCACGTAGGACATGTTGTACTTTTTGTTTGAAGGAACTTAGAATTTAAATGCGCAGAATGAGGCCAATTGTTCTGGCCAGCATCTGGCCTTACTTAAGCTCCACGCGTTATTGACTTCGTTTTTTTACGACTCATGCCTTGTCCACCACCTACCTGCACATTTTATTATGACTATGCATGACTTGATCTTTAAAACGTGAATCATGCACACAGAATAGTTTATTTTTTTCGCCTCCCGGTTTGTTTAAATCTCCATATTTAGAAACAAAAGTGTGATTAGTTCATTTGGCTGCTATTTTTTTTTCATACATTATAAGCCACTTCGTTGAGTTATCGTTTGTGGCCTGGTTGCCTCTGAAAAAGAGCCATATATTCTTGGTTCTTTCGGTAAAGTCACGTAGAAGGGAAACAATAAAATAATATTAATATAAAACAATAAAAATTCTCACGACGTTTCGACTGCAACACAAGCAATCATCATCAGGTGTGCCATATAGTTCAGGGGACCTTACCTGGTGAAATAAAACATAGTTTAGTTTTATACTCTTAATAGATGACGACGTTTCGATCGCAAACAAACAAGTGACCGTCTTCTGTTTAGCCTTTTGAAGACGGTCGCTTCTTGTTGCGATCGAAACGTCGTGATCTATTATTTTTTCAACTACGTGACTTTACCGAAAGAACCAAAGCGTATGGATTCCTGCAGTCACGAAAGCTTCAATTCGAGTTTAGTTTTAGTTTGTTATATCTTTTATGTCAACCCGTCCAAAGACGTTGTTGCTATCGAAACGTCGTGATCTATTATTTTTTCAACTAGGTGACTTTACCGATAGAACCAAAGCGTATGGATTCCTGCAGTCACGAAAGCTTCAAATCAAGATTTTTTTTTTGTGTGTTACATCTTTTATGTCAACCCGATGCTAGATGTTCGGTTGTTTTAAACAAGTATTCAATGTCACGTCGCTTACGTAAATAACACGGTTGCTTTTATTGAATGCATTTACAAATCTGGGCCTGCGACGAGATGTAGTGAGCGTATTTTATAGGAAGCCAGAGTTTAACTTCAATAAATATGGGAGAATGTGATATTGTTTTGCTTGTAAATAGTCCTGATTCTGGAATGCAGATATCTACTGTTGCCCGACACACTACGAATCTAAAGCATCATGAAGTGTGAGATATCATGCCTTGTAGCAATGTTGCACTTAAATTTGCTCTTTGCATATATATAAATATTCTACATGAGTTCAGAATAGTCGCACGGCGTGTACAGATCACAGCCTGGCCACCACTTTGTTTTGCACCACAAACACAAACTTCAAACGTTCTCCGCTTACCAATTGGCATCAGACAATGAGCACAAGCAAATGCCATCTCCTGAAACCTGGACGACTACGAATGGTGCAACTGCAGTCAGCAGCCTCAGACCTTGGACCACACATGAATGCCACGGTCCATCTCCCTATCATTCTACGGCAGCGATGCATCAGATGTATATCTGTTAAACGTCTTTCGCACTGTACATAGCCAACCGTGCTGATTGGAAGTGCGGGGGAAAGACAACAAACGAAACACAAAAATGCGGATCCCTGATGCACAAATTCATAATAAAAAAATCTCCAGTGTGCCACTGTGGTCATCCAGAACAGACCGCACGACGTATAATGACGCAATGCCCGATCCACAAATGCAAAGGAGACATCGCAGCGATACGCTCAGCTGCTCTTGACGCGGGTTATCCGGATTGAATGTGACGTTGTTAGTTGCTGCTCTCCATCTGCAGCAGCCGCGCGAAAGAAGAGAAGACGCGATGCAGGCGTTCGCCATGAGGCTACTCTTGAAGCGATCCACCGTGGCTCACCCACCGACATCGAAACGACCATAGAGACACTGCCTAACAGATTTCCGTCACCGTGCGAACGAATGAGTGCAACCGTTACACTCGAACAAGGCTGAACGAGGCTTTAAAGAGCAAGCGGGCAAACCAGCAAACGAGAATTTAAAAAAATAAATGTTTGCGAAACCTCACGTACGTTGTCAAGTCAACGTCGCGCAGATAACATTTCGCTACGTGACACATTTGGGCTGCTATTAGCTCGCACGCCCCTAAATTCACACCGTGGATCACTCCGCGATCCTAATCGCGTGTGCCAGTCACACCAGATTGTGGGTTCGTACGGGAGGGAGGGAGGGGATCTTGTGTTTTTTTGGCCCAACGTCACATTTCAGCACATTATCAAACCCAGCCGGAGAAGGGCTTATACAACACTGGGGCACGATCACACACCCATGTGTCCACGCAGAAACGTTGCTGTGATATTACACTAACCCGTGGAATGTGTGCGGATGTTCGCATGCTACTTTGCACAGGCATTTGCAGATGAATTATTGCTTTTAAAGCTATGCTGTTTCACCAATGGTTGACCATGTTGGTTTGATAAGTTCTTGTTCGCGTTATTATTACGGATAAATATGTTTAACCTTTGTAACGTAATCGGAGGCATCATTATTGAATTATTAATGTCTTATTAAAATATAATACTGACCTCAACATATTGTTATCTATACCAGTGAACGTAGCAGACTGTTTCAAAACTCTAAATAACAGTAGATTTTTAAAATGCCCTGTATTTAATGAAGGGAACCCTCCACAGAGGTATTTTTTTTAATAAGGATCACACATTCGGCTAATAATATTGACGACAATGCCCTTCATTTAGACAAGAGGCGTTCCTTCATTTGCAACAATAAAACAAAATTACAGTTAAATCCAACAACAAACAAGTGACTTTCTGGACCAATGCGTTCCAGCAGCATACATATGAATGTATATATTTGAACAGTTTCATCGCGAGGGTGCTGCCAGTGTCCCGCCGTGAGACAGAGAAGCCAGCTGCAGCTCTTGGTGTTCGAAAACGGCCCGCAGAAGTGGTTATCACGAGGCAACCTCTGAGATTCCTTCAAGCAACCTCTGGTCAAATTTCGATGTAAAGCTTTCGTGACTGCAGGGATTCATCAGATGAACCTCTGGTCACACACACACACCATAGAGGCAGCAGCAGCACTTCCCCTCCCCACTCTGCCAGGTGACTCACAGCAAAAACCGAAATGTCATCAAATATAATTTGCAGAGATTTAATAATGAGCTTGTTTTTTCGTGCTGTTGTCGTGGATTATACCGAGACCATCGACTCACGGCATCCGAGAAAAATTAACCCGTAAAAACAAAGTTTTTCACTATAAATCCTTTATATGCGTGGCATCGGTTTTATTTTATTATTCATTTCTGTTTTTCTTGAGTAACAGTTTCATTTTCATCACATTGGTATTTTAAATTAAATATGAAAAAAAATTTTCCTAAAAAGTGGAAAATTTTGGAAAAGTTTTTTCACGAAAATAAATTGTCACGCAAAACGAGTCTGTGTGCAAAATGTCAGCTCGATTGGATCACGGGAAGTGGGTTAAAAAACGACCGAAAGATTTGCACGGTCGTAAGCAAGCAAGCACGCAAGCAAGTGTACTTAATATAAAGGATTTTATAAAGGATTAAAAAAATTAACCCGTAAAAACAAAGTTTTTCACTATAAATCCTTTATATGCGTGGCATCGGTTTTATTTTATTATTCATTTCTGTTTTTCTTGAGTAACAGTTTCATTTTCATCACATTGGTATTTTAAATTAAATATGAAAAAATTTGTTTCCTAAAAAGTGGAAAATTTTGGAAAAGTTTTTTCACGAAAATAAATTGTCACGCAAAACGAGTCTGTGTGCAAAATGTCAGCTCGATTGGATCACGGGAAGTGGGTTAAAAAACGACCGAAAGATTTGCACGGTCGTAAGCAAGCAAGCACGCAAGCAAGTGTACTTAATATAAAGGATTTTATAAAGGATTTAAAAAATTAACCCGTAAAAACAAAGTTTTTCACTATAGATCCTTTATATGCGTGGCGGCTAGAGTCCTCTCGTCACTCTGGCTTGAGATGGCTGCCACCTATGGGTCAGATTATTGTCTGCCAGCATTAAGCAATTGGTAATTAAAAAAAAATTCCCTAAACAGTGTAAAATTTTGGAAATTAGTTTTTTCACGAAAATTAATTGTCTCGCACAACGAGTCTGTGGAAAATGTCAGCTCGATTGGATCACGGGAAGTGGGTTAAAAAACGACCGAAAGATTTGCACGGTCGTAAGCAAGCAAGCAAGCAAGCGAACTTAATATAAAGGATTTAAAAACCAGTGCAATCACCGACAGCTGTCTGAATTCGAACCGAGGATCTCAGGTGGTGACAGTTCAGCTAATTCGTGAAATGGTCGAATGGTGCCATCAGATCCGGATTACCTTTGAGGGGGGCGGGGGGCCTGGTGCAGGTGTAGAGGTGTTACGGATGGCAAACAAACACACTGGGCGTGGTTACGCCCGTACGCGAGGAGATGCTTACATCCACGTCCGCACCGTTTAGCCTGGGGGGCTAACACAGCGCTGGGATCCCCCACAGCCCCACCCCTCAGGGGGGGAATTGCTATATAAGGCGGTGAGCCGGAGGGCTCGGGGTTCAGTGTTCAGCTTAAACCAGAAAAGCAAGAAGACCAGCTAGATAGGCCCTGGGACTCCCCTGGATCGCTGTCCTTCTCAGGACCGACCAGGGCAAGCCAGTGGCGTGGCCCCGAGAGCCCAGAGCCGATGTTCTTCTAAGAGCCAGTCTGGTGACTCAGGGTGCCGTGATCCCAGCTTAACCAGAGCTGGGTCAGCTAGCCTCCCCTAGCCCTGTAGTGGAGGACCTGGGAGTAGGCTAGCCGGAATAGAGATAGAGGGATCTCCCTGTTAGACGGGTGAAGGGGCCGATACCCCTTCGAGTGTTGTATATCTCGGCCTGTGATACAACTGTGGTTAATAAATAAGTGTGCCTCCGACTACGTCGTCCAAGTCTCCTTGAACCATATTACACAGGGAGTGGGAGGGAGGGGGCGCTGATATCGTAGGGGCCTATCTTAGTATTTTTAGCTCCCTTCCCTACCACCACTGCCAAACACCCCGTTCCCCCCGCCCCCGTTTTACCCTGGTGATTTGTCATTCTATGATTGAAAATAAATATGGTGTTGTGAATTGTAAATGTAATTCGAAGTTACAATGAACGCATCTATTTTAATTTCAACGGTGTCATTTTCATTATTGCAAAAGCGATTAATAATTTTAGGGGGTTCCTTCAACATTCAAGCCCCCCCCCCACCGGGCCCTGAGCCATTGGTGGAAATTCCTCATTCCTATGGTGGGTGAGAGTATGTATATTTTTTAAACACAGGCCCTGCATTAGTCAGAATCCGTATTCAGACTGGAAAAATCCGATGAGCCATGAAGATCTTTTTTTACAGATGTCAAGTGGGGGGGGGGGGGGGGGAGGGGGAGTCAACAAGTTATAACAACAAATGAAACATGAAGATAAAAGAGCAAGAGAGAGAAAATTTGAGCAAGTCACTTATAGAAAATATTAAGTGTAGAAGTACAATTTGCCACTCGTACATGAATTCCCGCAGATTTGTCAACAATACATGCAAGCTTGGGGCAAGGTAGAAATAATAACAACAACAACAGTCTCGGACCACACCAAGACAACATAGTCCCGAGCACGGGTTGGCTACGTACGATGCGAAAAAATTTCAACATACACACATTCCCACGGTGAGCCCATCTATAGGACACAACCAGAATTGAATAAACTTTTTGGATTAGATCGCGTTATTTATAAATGGGTAACAACGCGTTCTCACCCAAAAACGTTTATTACGAATAATATTGGTCGCGAAAGCCTACGTGTGAAACAACCACGACAGTTTAACAGTCGATGGGCTGAGTCAACCCCCCCATTGTCCATCCGAACGCGCAGCCTTTCCGACAGCGAGCCAATTGCTCTACCGCTGAGCCACCAGTCCCTAGTTTCTCGGCGCTGGGTGCGGTGCAGTTGTGTGTCTCACGATAGCAGTGCTTCTTGCTGGGCCCCAGAGAATAGCCGGGGAAACAGGAACAGGCGAAGGATCCGCGGGTGTTGTGACAAACGTGCGAGCATTGCGCCAAACCCAGCGAGCACTCGTTAAGATCTGCGGAGGAGATGGAGGGGCGGGTAGGGGGGCGGAGAAGACAGAGAGGGAAAGATCGGCTCAAGGCGCGTGCACAAAAATGACGCGAAAGAAATCGGCAATTTGTCCGGCTCGCGTCTCGTGATGGGCTCTTTCGGCACGCTTCGCTGTCCGTCTCCGATACGCCTTGTCGGGTTGCCTTAATTTAGTCGGATGAATGCGAGATGTTTCCAACGAACTGTGAGAATTGTGAGTGCGTTCGGTTACGGGGAACACAAATGGTGATGTCAAAGTTTGAGTGATTTTATTTGTTTTAAAAGAGAACACATTTCTGACATTCCGTAATTCAAATATGTTTGTTTTGGCACTGCGACAGCGAGTTTAAAGTTTCTTTATAATTCAAAACAAATCATGAAAATTGACACTTTCGCGAAGTATAAAGCTTTGCCAATGAATCAAACGCATTTTTTTTTCTTTCGAGAAGCACTTACAAACTGCATAGCAAGTATTTCAAATTAGGTTTACTTTGGCAGCGAGAGTGTCTACAAAGAGCTGCGGGGGGAAAAAAAAAAAAAGCTTCACCTGTGACTGGCGTTGGACAAACGAAACCTTAGCACCACCTTCCTCCATCGCCCCTCGACAATTTCTGAACTTTTTTCTTCTCGCTATTTCCCGGGCGTGTGACGGACTGACACCTCGCGTACGACACGCCTGGAGCCTTCTTGGCAGATTCGCGCGCGAGCAGACGGACCGCTTTCTTCTGAGACTCCCGCGCGGTCATTTCCAATTTCCCTCGCGCAGAAATGGATTTCGCCATGCAAGCCTCGTGGTCGTTTCTCCCCCACTTCCTCGCATAGGGGGCGGCGCGGTTTAGCGAACCCGAAACGTCGCGTGCACGTACACGGCGCGCGCGATGTGGCCCACTGGGGCGCCCCAGTGACGAGATGTTAACTACCTCGCCTGGTACACAGGAGGTCGTGCTTTCGATCCCGACCCTGACGCCTGCTGTATATTTGGAGTCTGCAAGTTCTCCCAGTGGTCACGTGGATTTTACTACGGGTTCTCCGTTTTTTTACCCCCTCCACATTTACAATGAACATGCGTTCTGTGTATTTAGCTAATATAAATTTGCACGTGATAAGCCACTTCGTTGAGCTATCATTTGTTATAGCCAGGTCGCTTCTGAAAAATATCTACTGTATATTGCTCAGTGGGCTTTACCTGGTAGTTATTTTGTGAACAATTTGCGATGCAACGCACCTATCTAGATTCAATTCCTGGCCACGGCTAACATGAGCAGTTTATGATATCATTACCGGGGAGGACATCTATTTGAAATATGTTAAGAACAGACATTTTTTTTGCTTGACGTGGCCGAGTGGCATCGCGTTCAGCACTTGTTCTAGTGGTTCATGGTTCGAATCCGGTAGGCTGCCCTGGTTAATACAGTAGGAGCATTATCTATTAAATAAGTGCCATCTGCTTTAGTGTAGTGGACGTTAGAGGTCTCCATGACACCATTTGAAAGAGCAAGCCATCGTGTGCTGCCTTTATGGTTCAAATTTGAAACATCACAAAAAAGTGGGAAATGCATAGCAATCGTCCCCTTCTATTGTGAAAATGTATCAGGTATGTTGTGGGACAGAGTTGAGACTCAGTGAGGCTTTTAAATGTATATATTAAATGTCTGTATGTAAGTTGACCTTCTTTCACACCATACGTATCCAATCGTGCTAATCGGATGTGCGGCAGAAGGACAACAAACTAAACGACAAAAGCAGTTCTAAAGTTTTAATCTCGATGATTTAAAAGTGCATCTCTCCAGTGGCTTCTTAATATCGGAAGGAAGAACGTTCCAGACGGCCGCAGAAGTGCATCTGAAATCGCGCGACGCGGGGATCACCGTCTTTTTTCGATGACCAGCAGCCAAAAAGGTGCCGCTGCGAGGATGATTTATGCTCCTTCTTGAGGTCAGCGGGGTATTGTGGTTTGTTTGTGGCAAGCACTTTGTGTGTGTAATGAGTGCGACCCTGTCACGTGAAAAGGCACAGGAAGGCAAATTGAAATATGTAATATAAAGACAGCAAGTCCGTTACTCCACTTTAAGTAAAGTTTATTATTTTATCCATTGGCCTACGCGCCTGCCAGATCTACAATTTCCAATGTGGTTTATTTAAGCAGGCAAACTGTCTACCCGTTTTGACCTTCAGGGATTCGTCAACAGGGAGTCTGCCGGCTTGCCAGACATTATTGCGAAGAGCAGTGGATGAAAACAGTGGGGCCCATTCAGCGCGGAAGGCAGCGAGGGCTCCTCGTAACGAATGGCGTGCCGCGCACATGTGCGGCTCTGGTGCTCATGCAGCAATGTGCCGTGGTGGGCGTTGTATTGGCACGTTTCATCTCCCTGAAAACATGATTGTTCAAACTGTTTTTTAAATCATCCGCATTTTCGTCCAAGTGCTGCGATTTTTTTTTTGTTTTGTTCCAAGCGACGGAACGTTTTTTTCTTCTTTTGTTGCAGCGGATCCCATTTATTTGGCCAACCAACTTTGAACTCTGCAGTTCCTCCACCCCACTTCATTCGCGGCTACTCGCAGATGTGGGCACGTCGGCGTTCGCGTTGGGCTCATCTCGAGTAGAGGTGAGCTTCGGTGGAATTGTTCGTCACACGCGCCGCACGTGATGTCATGAAGCAAAGGGGTGCAGCTCTCGATTTAAAGCTTTCGTGACTGCAGGGATTCATCTTCTTGGTTCTTTCGGTAAAGTCACGTAGAAGGGAAATAATAAAATAATAAAAATAAAACATAATAAAATAATTCTCACGACGTTTCGGCCACAATGCAAGCAGCCATCCTCAGGTGAAGACCAGGTCTGTCGGGGAGACAGACCAGGTCTGTCGGGGAGACAGACCTGGTCTCCACCTGAGGACGGCTGCTTGCGTTGTGGCCAAAGCGTCGTGAGAATTATTTTATTATGTTTTATTTTTATTATTTTTATTATTTCCCTTCTACGTGACTTTACCGAAAGAACCAAAAAGAAGGGTGCAGCTCTGTTATAGATATCTTGGCCCACGCCACTGCTGGTGAAAGGCCTCCGCTGGAGGGAGTCCTTGAAAAATTGAGGGTGTTTTTGGCCTTCTCTTACACACTGGCCAGACATCCTGGCAGAGGTGGAAGTACCCACACTTTACCCCACCACACGTGACCTGCCGATCGAGTGACCGTGCTGTACCCAGTCCCGGACTAAGCTAGTGTGGGGCTTGTGGCATAAGTTATAAAGGGGCCCTAAATAAAATAAAATAAAAACATAGCTATTAAAACACAATTTATTTCCTTGCACAGTAAAGTCATTTTATTTTTTCATTTGCTATACAGACAGAAGGCGGTATAGTACTCTAGTAATAGAGCAAGTGCAGAATCACTGAACCGGAATTGATAGCTTGAAAGCATTTAGCGTGGGGCCCTTTGAAAGTTCGGGGCCTGTAGCATGTGTAGCTACTTTCGCTAATAGGATCATTCGGCACTGAGTGTACCCATTCATACAGCTGGGTAGCACAGAGGTGGTGAGGAAGATTCGCGAAACTTGCCCCCCCCCCCCCCTTTGATTCAAATTCAAATGCCGCAGAGGGGCATTTGAACCGGTTGACCTCCGGTCGTCTTAACCGTCACACCGTGTGGCAGCATCCAGCGCGTGTACATTATCCGCATATTTGCAGTAAACAAAAAAATCTAATAAATATTATTGTTTTGCTTGAGTCACTAATGAGAGATAGGAAGTGATGAACCTCAAACGTGTCAGCTTGCACGGTGGTTAGAGCGCACGGCTTGCGAGTTGCGAGCTTGAATATTGTGCGGGTTTCCAGCCAGTGTTGATAAAAACATTGAGTGCAAGTTCGAAGTCAACAGTTATTGACCGGTGAAGAGACTTTGCCCTGCCAAAGGAATGTTCAATTTCCACCATCCGACTCAAAAATTGAGCACCGCCTTCATTATTTTGAGTGGGAACCCACGTGAAAATATGACCGAATTAATCTAACTTAAAAAAAAAACTTTAAGATATTTCTTTTCTGCAGGGCTGACATACTGTAACTTCTTCAGTCCAGGAGTCGTTCTTATATCCCGAGGACTTTAACGGTGAAAATGTAACAAAACAAAAGAGGCGGCAACAAGAAAAACACGCGGATTGGAGAACATACGCAAGATGAAAGGCATCATTCAAACTGTTCATTAAAAGAAGTGAGCGGGCTTGGGCAGGGTTCGTTGCTGGAAGGGTTTTCGATGGCTGATGATCAAGAATTACGTTGGAGTGCTCGCCAAGGGATGTGAACGCGTCCGGAGAAAACGCGTCCATCGGGGAGACGCAGCGATGGAAATCGGTGCGCACGGGAGCCGGTGCGAACGACTTCGTCGCAGGATCGTGAGCGATGGCGACAAGGTTTTGGAGGGCATCCATCCAGCAGTGGATTGATGATAACTCCCTGTTGGTACAGCCCCACAAGGTGCTGCTCGTTTTTTTTTACCAACCCCAGATAAGTAGGTATCGTTGTATCCCTCTAGTCAAGCGTACGCAACTATTTTCTCTAATGGGTACAACGATCCTATAAAAATGGGTAAGACCGTATCCATGGGCTCAATTATTCTGAAATGTCCCAGCAGGAGCAGAAAGAGGGGGGCGGGGAAATCCGGTTTATTTACTCGTGAAAACACGCAGCACCCATTAAACTCAAGGCAAAAACACAAACCACTGGAATAAGGTCATTTGTTTTGATGGCAATCATCTTGTTTCCTTTGCTTGGTATATGGACATCTTCTGTCCAGTCTATGTTTGCTATGTGTGTGTAAGTGCGCGGGCGTGCGCGCGCGCGTGTGTGTGTGTGCTCTGGGCAGTAGGAGTCAAGTCGCCCTCCAAGAACAACTGAGAGCTGAGAAGTGACACTCAACGATTCAGCGCAGTGGGGAGGGCAGGTGGTGCATCTGCCAATCACCTCGGTCAGTTAACGTGTAACAACTCTGGGTGTGTCCCATGACCTCCTTGCCAGCGTAATCTTCGACACCTTCTCGTGGCATCAAAGTGCGTCTCGCCTGGTGCAAGGTCTGTGAAGATGTTACCGTCTCTGCTGGATGGTGAATGGCGGCTGTGGTTGTTGCTGTGATCCCAGCGGTTGCTGGGTTTACTCACGGTCCACAAATGCACGCCCTTGGCAAAAAGTAACGGAATCTATCTTGGATCTCCCGTAGATCAACTTGGCATAAAATGAGTGCGTTAACATCAGCGCTCCGGAAACAAATGTGGTTGGACGTGGATATTATATGCATAATTAGAATAATAACGACCATTATTTATCCGGGAAAGCTTCACTGAGTCTCAAGAATTTTTTTTCCAGGATGGCCCGACATTGGGATGTTTATCCGGTAAAATGCATGAGTGTCTTGCAGGAGGATAGTGGAGTGCCCGGTGAAAGCTCACACAAACGAGGGGGAAAACTCAATCGTGCCCCATCGACTCACTACCTCACCAGGTCCCGTGCCTACAACACCCGGCATGCCCTAGTGAGCTCCCATTCGAGCGCTAACCAGGCTCCAATCGGCTTAGCTTGCGAGATCTGACGAGATTTGGCATATTCAGGGTGATTTAACTATGTTCAAGGTGAATATGTCGACACTGAAAGGTGACTTTGTTCACGTACTGTATTTTATATATTTAGATTTGAAGTTTTCGTGACTGCAAGGATCCATACTCTTTGGTTCTTTCGGTAAAGTCACGTAGGTGAAAACATACAAATAAAAAATAAGAATAAAAATAGAAATAATCAAATTAATTCACGACGCTTCGGAAGCAACACAAGCTTCCGTCATCAGGTGGGACATCCACAGAAAACAACTACAAAATTACTGTGTGGCCAAAGAGAGCTGTAATTTTTAGTTTTTTGCTGTGGTTGTCCCACCTGATGACGGAAGCTTGTGTTGCTTCCGAAACGTCGTGATTTAATTTGATTATATTTATTCTTATTTTTATTTTAAAAATTTCACCTACGTGACTTTACCAAAAGATCCAAAGAGTATGTAGTTTATATACTTCACTCGGCTGTGGCACAGTTGTTGAGCAAGAGTTTAACTGCGTCAGCTTGGTGAAAGTATGCTCAAACATCGAACAGGAGATGAACAATCATTATTTGTATATATTTACCCGTGCGTGGGTTTTCTCCTGGTTTCCTCTCTGACGACGATAAAATCCCATCGTTTGTTTTCCCCTTGTGCACCCTGCGTGCCGTGCGAGCCTTAATAGGAACTCACTAACATTGCTGATTTCGTCGAGGAGTATAAACCATCATCACGCGAACTCCGGTTGTTGTCACCTGTCGCCGCAGCAGTTTTTCACTAACACTCGAACAACGCGGCGCTTTCAGATGCGCTTCTGTGGTCGTCTGGAACGCTCTTCCTTCCGATATAGGAAGCCACTGGAGCCACGCACTTTTAAAGCTAGGTTGAAAACTCATTTTTTTATAATCGCTTTTTGTGTTAGTTTGTTGTCCTTCCCCCACACCTCCGAATAGCACGGTTGGCTACGTACGGTGCGAAAGAAGTTCTACATGCATACATACTATCCACACTTACTTCTAACGGTCGATGAAGAAACACGGGGACTGTGTGTGTGTGTGGACGTACGTGCGAGCACTCGGAACATTTGCTGTCGGGTTGGTGTTTGTTTATCGACGGTGCAAGCCGAACAGCGGCCCCTTTTCAGCCCCAGGCTGAAAGAATTCAGGACAATTCTACTGCGGATTGCTTTAACATTTAAAGTCCAGCAAATTTCTCACATTTCACATATAATTACGGACAAATAAGAGGCAGTGGTTCACCTCGGCCAAAAATTCCTCATTATTAAACGCAATGCCCCCTCCCCCCACCACCCCAAATTTTGACACGTAACATTACACAACTTTTTACATTTATATACTGAAATTTATCGCGGTCATTGGTTTGAAATATATTTGAAAACAGATCTGTTTGTTGTTGATTGTGTAATGAGTCGTGAGCTTGCGCCGCAGCGAAGTCGATCGGGCTCCCGTCGGAAGTGGTGCTCACGCGCAAACAAACCAAACATCCTCAACGCATTCGTCAAGAACGCTGCGGCCGTGTGAGAAAATAAAATATATAATCGGTGGCGCTTTGGCCAATGTCCCTCTTTCATAGCGCGTACATAGAGAGGCCAAAGAGTGGACAAGAGCTGGAGACCGCACTTCACCCCGTGGGGCCTGATGAGAATCATATTTGAAAAATATTTGTTCCTGATGACCACTTATTCCACGACCTCTGGCTGGCGTAGAAGATGAGGTCCAAAGCGCCCTCCGGGAGTGACTCTCTGCAGCTCCCTTGAGTGGAAGCCCTTCTGCCGGCAGCGGCGCGAGCAACCAATTGTTTCCGGCGAAACCCCTGACCTTTGGTAGCGATACTCTTAGTTTTTTCGGTAAAGTCATCTGGTCCAACACCATGTGAGACTAGGCTCTAAGGAAAGCTGTCTCGGGTGTGGACCAATCAACTTCAAGGACAGTGCATACATTATCACAGTTATGTTTTTTTTTTCATTATGACTGCAGGTATTGTGGTCTATGCAAACATGACTCCTTGTAAAAAAATAGGTGTCAGTTTTGTTGCCAGATATAAGGGTAAAAAACCAATTATCAATGAAATTGAAATTAATAAAAACAAAAAAATAAAAAAATCACCACGTTTCGGAGGCAACACAAGTCTCCGTCATCAGGTGGGACCGTCATAGCCAGATTTGCTGTATCAAGTGAGGCAGGGATTCCAAGATGCCGTGACATGCAGGCTGTTGGAGACGGTGGGGGGGGTGAGCGAGGGTGAGCGAGACTCACCGTCGCATGTCCTCCCGTCGGCATTCAGCTGGAATCCCGCACGGCAGTCGCACCGCACCGATCCGCCTTCGTTGTGGCACTTCTGCGAGCAGCCACCGGTCTTGTTGGTGCACGGGTCGATCGCTGGCGTGGGAGAGGGGGGTAAGCAAATGATGCGGTGATGCTGCCGCTGGTGCTGCCTTAGGCAGTTGGGCACAAGCAACAACAACAACAACAAGCTCATATCTGTGGGAGCCCTTTCTGCCAGTATCTACATTTAGAATTCGAGCACTTGACTCTCCGACACACCACCGGTGTGCTCAAGTAGTAAACGAATTGGCACGTTTTGTTTACGTGACAAAAACCTGCTGATCGGCTGTGTTGGGTAGTGGGCGGGGTTTCACGACACATTCATATTTACACGTTCTAACCCAAAAAAACTTGACTATGGATGATATTGGTCGTGAAAGCCTACTGTGTGTTAAACTGATACGTGAACGGTGACGTTTTGGGCAACAGCCCTTCTTCATAGCACGTCAACTTAAGGATGTACATCTTCACAGATTATTGGCCAAGCAACGAAGCATTGCATGCTGCCTCCACACTTGCAGTGACACAAGGTGCAATGGTCAATTGTAACAATGCACATGAACGACGATTCTTTGGATGATCCACTGCTGGGTGAGGGCCTCCCCATGCCGTGGGGGTTATTTGACCATACTTCACCGCGTTCCTCAGCACGGGGATGATGCAAGTTGAGAGCATAGATTTGAAGTGCCGAAACACATGAGAGCATAATGGATATTGCTGCACTGCCCCTAACAATCTGTGTGTGTATGACGGTCACCCACAGAAGCATCATCCACCGGGAAAAGAAAGCCTGCTTAGCTTCCTAGACCTCACGAGATCAGGCACATTCCAGGTGAATTAATTAAAGGGCTAAGTAATATATATATATATCTTATTGGTTCTTTCGGTAAAGTCACGTAGAAGGGAAATAATAAAATAATAAAAATAAAACATAATAAAATAATTCTCACGACGTTTCGGTCACAACGCAAGCAGCCGTCCTCAGGTGAAGAACAGGTCTGTTGGAAAGACAGCGTCTGACAGACCTGTTCTTCACCTGAGGACGGCTGCTTGCCTTGTGGCCGAAACGTCGTGAGAATTATTTTATTATGTTATATTTTTATTATTTTATTATTTCCCTTCTACGTGACTTTACCGAAAGAACCAAGAAGATGAATCCCTGCATCACGAAAGCTTTCAATCGAAATATATATATATATACTTTTTTAATGAAGATGAATTTCTAAACTAATTGAGATGAAGGATGAGAATTCCCAAGGAAGCATGAATTGCATTATTATTATTAACACATTTAATTGAACATGCAGACACACTCAAGCTCTCGCAGGCTACAAATCCACACGCGTGATTACACAACCTTACAGACACAGTGGCGAAAACACATTATTTACACACCAGACAAAATAAAACCATATTTAACAAAAGTAGCCGCATTCATATCTCGAGTTCGATCGCACGATCATTAATCAGACAACCTTGCTTGATTAAAGAAGGTTTTCATTATGAACAACTAAATGGTTTTGTTGTTATTATTATTCTAAGATTGGGATGGAGCAGTGGTGCAGTGGTTAGCACATTACACTATGAACCCTGCGACCTCTATGCAATTCACAGCCACGGCTAACACGAGCGGCTACGTCAGCTGCATTCTTGTTTTTTTCATGAAATTATTGTGAAGCTTGGTTGAGATTTGTAAGATTTATAATTTATGTTTTTTTTATGTTCTGTTGAATTGTAAATGTACTTTATCTGAAGGTGCAATGTATCATGTGTCTCCTGGTTAAATAAAGGATGCTTTCTGCTTACGCCTAGTAGCAGGTTAAATCTGAACCGGTCCTGACCAGAGTGATGAGATGTGGTCAGAAAACCCCCATAACTGACATGGTAAAGGTAAGCTTTCATCCAGCAGTAGATTGACAAAGGGCCATAAATTATTATGTTTTTTTAAAGCCAATTGCAATTATACGCACACTGGGCCATTGCTAGATGTGCCTACATCGCTTTCCATAAATTGCCGGTTTTTTATTACGTACAATAAATAATTAAAATAGGAAGCTACCACAGTGTATTGGTGAGCACAATTTACTTGCAATCCGGAGGTTGCCATTTCTATCACCTGGCAATGCAGGTGAAACAACGATGCAAGCTTTCACTCAATCTCCCTGCCTCTGCCCACCCAGCAGTGGAAACGGGTTTACTGCAGTTCGTCAATCGGCAGGCTGCATGTGGTGGTGTAAAGTGTGAGTGCTTCCACATTTGCCAGGATGTCGGACCAGCGTGGAAGAGTATTAATTCTAGATTTGAAGCTTTCGTGACAGCAAGGATTCATATTCTTAGGTTTTTTTTCCGGTAAAGTCACGTAGGTAAAAAAATAATAAAATAAAAATAAAATTAAAATTAAAATCACGACGTTTCGGAGGCAACACAAGCTTCCGTCTTCAGGTGGAACCGTCACAGCACGATAGCTGTATTTTTTACCTACGTGACTTTACCGAAAAAAAAAACCTAAGAACAGCGTGGAAGAGTCGGCCAACATCCCCTCTAGGGGGATGTCTCTAGAGCTCGCTCTCGCGGAGGTCCTTGTGCAAGCAGTGGTGAAAGCGATCAACTTTCAGGACTGCACCTTTATCTTTGCCTATTTCATACTTCAAAACAAAGTAAAATTCCCCACGATGCATTCTTTACGTGGCATTCCACACATTAACGCTAATATCCTTGGTACGAAAACAAAACACGGAGAGGATGCAATTGTGAACATTTCTTCAGCGTGCTCGAACGGTGACATCACCTCCCCCACCACATCAGAAAAAAAATAATGCATTAATGAAACAAAGCATTTCCTGGCAAATATTTTCCATGTAATGGCCAAGCAAACAGCTGGGCGCGAGCGGTCAAACGACTCAAAGCTGTGCTTTAAAATTTCGGGGCGAAGAGAGAAATGCAAATCGCCCCATCCCCTCTCGGATTCCTGAAGGAGGCAGGGGTTAATGAGAGGCCACGATCCAGTGGGGGTCCAATCTTTCTCAGGCCCCTTTTTTGATGAATTGGCCCCATCTGCCACTCTTAACTACTTCATTTTTCTGAGCGTCACTCCGAACAGATTTTTTTCGCTCGCCCATATTCTCAAAGAATTTTCACAAATAAGGGAAACGTGAAAATGTGGAGCCCTGTAATTGCTTGCTCATGACACTGCCAGATTAAAGGCCACCATTATTGGCCTTTCATCCAGAGGTCACTGGTTCAATCCAACTCTGTCCACTCAGCAGTATATATGGGCACTTCACAGTTATTGAGTCTCGATTTAAAGCTTTCGTGACTGCAGGGATTCATATTCTCGTTTTTTTCGGTAAAGCCACGTAGAAGGGAAATAATAAAATAAAATAAAATGTATTTTTATTATTTCCCTTCTCCGTGACTTTACCGAAAGAGCCAAGAATATAGTTATTGGGTCATCGAACAAAGACGGTTCCAGACGGCTGCGGTCGTCTGGAACGCTCTTCCTTCCGATATTAGGAAATCACTGGAGCTATTCTCTTTAAAATCATCTCGATTGAAAACTCGTTTCTTTAGAACTGATCTTGACTTAAAGCTTTCGTGACTGCAGGAATTCATATTTGTTGGGTCTTTCGGTAAAGTCACGTAGATCGGTTAAAGGAAAATTACAAAAGACTACGACCGCTTGTGTTGCGATCGAAACGTCGTAGTTTTTAGTTATTTTGTTATTTTCTTTGAACCTATTTACGTGACTTTACCGAAAAACCCAAAAATATCTTAAGAACCGCTTTCTGTGTCTAGTTTGCTGTCCTTCCCCCACACCTCTGATTATCACGGTTGGCTCCGTACGGTGCGAAAGAAGTTCAACATACACACGTACAGAGCGGGAGCTATTCTTCCACATTGGCCAGGTATCTTGGAACAGGTGACCAGAATTTACATCAACCAAACACAGAGAACATCATCTACATTGTATAATTCAAATTCACAACGTATAACGCATGCAAACAGTGTATGGGGGAGAAACACAGTTAAACCCCTGACCAGTTTGAGGTCCAGTATGATCAGCACCAGTCATTTATACCTTTCTCAGGCACTAACAGGCACTATACCCCAGTCATTAATACTGGCATTAGGAGCTAACAGGCACTATACCCCAGTCATTAATACTGTCATTAGGAGCTAACAGGCACTATACCCCAGTCACTCATGCCTTCATCAGGAGCTAACAGGCACTATACCCCAGTCATTCACACCTTCATCAGGAGCTAACAGGCACTATACCTCAGTCATTCATACTGTCATCAGGAGCTAACAGGCACTATACCCCAGTCACTCATGCCTTAATCAGGAGCTAACAGGCACTATACCTCAGTCATTCATACTGTCATCAGGAGCTAACAGGCACTATACCCCAAGCATTCATACTGTCATTAGGAGCTAACAGGCACTATACCCCAGTCACTCATGCCTTAATCAGGAGCTAACAGGCACTATACCTCAGTCATTCATACTGTCATCAGGAGCTAACAGGCACTATATCTCAGTCATTCACACCTTCATCAGGAGCTAAAGGACACTATACCTCAGTCATTCATACTGTCATCAGGAGCTAACAGTCACTATACCCCAGTCATTCACACCTTCATCAGGAGCTAACAGGCACTATTCCTCAATCATTAATACTGTCATCAGGAGCTAACAGGCACTATACCCCAGTCATTCACACCTTCATCAGGAGCTAACAGGCACTATACCCCAGTCATTCACACCTTCATCAGGAGCTAACAGGCACTCTACCTCAGTCATTTATACCTTCATCAGGAGCTAACAGGCACTATACCCCAGTCATTCATATTGTCATCAGGAGCTAACAGGCACTATACCCCAGTCATTCATATTGTCATCAGGAGCTAACAGGCACTATACCCCAGTCATTCACACCTTCATCCGGAGCTAACAGGCACTATACCTCAGTCATTCACACCTTCATCAGGAGCTAACAGACACTATACCCCATTCATTCATACTGTCATCAGGATCTAACATACACTATACCCCAGTCATTCACACCTTCATCAGGAGCTAACAGGCACTATTCCTCAGTCATTAATATTGTCATCAGGAGCTAACAGACACTATACCCCAGTCATTCACACCATCATCAGGCACTAACAGGCACTATACCCCAATCATTCATACTGTCATCAGGAGCTAACAGGCACTATACCCCAGTCATTCATACCTTCATCAGGAGCTAACAGGCACTATACTCCAGTCATTCATACCTTCATCAGGAGCTAACAGGCACTATACCCCAGTCATTCATACTGTCATCAGGAGCTAACAGGCACTATACCCCAGTCATTCACACTGTCATCAGGAGCTAACAGGCACTATACCCCAGTCATTCACACCTTCCCGAGTGGTAGAGAACACACTCATCTGCGCTCGGAATTTAATGGAATCCTGTTGCTCAGCAACCAAAAGTCCAGTACACCAACGCGTGGATATCAATGAATGACACGGGAATGGAGTAACTCGTGAGCTCCGTGAAAATCGAGGCTGATCGTGATGCAAGAGCTCGCGTTGAGGACGAGCCCCGAGCCGGCCGGCGGCCGTGGGTGTGCCCGCGGTTCCCCCCTTTGTCACGCCGAGGCGCCGCGTCACCTTCGCAGCGTTTGCCGTCGTCCTTGAGCCGATAGCCGTGCGGGCAGCGACACTGGTACCAGCCCGACGGGAGCTGGGCGCACTCGTGCTCGCAGCCCCCGTTGTTTATGGTGCACAGGTTGGTCGCTTTGCCCGGCAGAGGTGGGGCGCAGAGGTGGAGGAGGGGGCAGAGAAGATAAAGACAAAAGCACAGTATCAGCAAAGAAAAACAGAAGGACCATCCGGGGGATAGACAACGCAACATGTTGTTGGGGAAGGTGGCTTCTCAGTGTGCGGGCACTTGCGTAGGCCGGCGCAGAATCTAGATTGAAAAATCATTTATTGAATTAAAAAAAACTGCTTTTTTGTGTGTTTAGCTTGTTGTTTAGCGTGGTCGGCTACGTACGGTGAGATAGAAGTTCAACGCACATTTACAAATAGACTCGGATAATATCCAGGTTTCCAAGAGACTTCAAGCCCCTGATCAAATTCCTTGTCAACAGGGTGGCTAAAGGGCATTTGAGTTTATTTCAACAGTCAAAGTATGTAGGTATTATCAATATTAACATCGTACCCTTCCCTGATAAAGTACAAACATATTGCACGTTGAAAACTGAAATTAATTATTGAAGGTAAAGTGGCAGCCCTGCAATTTCTTGCCCATACTACTGCTGGCAGAAGAGCTCTGCAATACATGGAGCTCTCCCTCTAAGAGAGCATGTGGCTTAATCTTCTGCACTGGCCAGACATATCGGATATGAGGAAGGAGGTACCCACACTTTACCACACCGCAAACATATATGCCAATTGACTAAGGGGCCGTCCATAAATGACGTCACGCACCTAGGGGGTGGGTCAGACATTTGTGCCGATGTGTGACGAGGGGTGGGGGAGGGTTGAGAAATGTGCCGTCACATCAAAATGCACTACAATGACAATAGTTTAAAGCGATTTGAAGCATGTTTTATATTTGGGGGGGGGGGGGGGCAGAGCTTTGTGATGTCATATTTGAGGGGGGGTTTGACTTTTTGTGACGCCGTGTGACGAAGGAGGGGGGGGTCCAAAATCGTCAAAAATCGCGTGACGTCATTTATGGACGGCCCCCAACTATATATACGCACTATAGATTACTTAAATTTAAAACACTGTTGTTCGGCAGACAGACGTTTTAATTGAGGGGGGAGGGAGATTGCTATCTCATCTGGGGTGGCGATTCTAACACGTGAGGTTGACATGTTAAACGCATGTTTGGTTCTCCACAAACTAAGCCGTGTCATGTGCTTCCCCCTTAGCTGCAGGGCTTCCGCACAAGCAGATATTGATTTGTCCATAGTTAGCATCTGTGGAGATGCAGGCCGGGCTCGGATGCCACAAAAGGCTCTCTCTCGTGTTGTAGCATAGAAGCACTGTGCAATGCATCACGATGCATACAATGTATGCGTAAAAGAAAAAGAAAACTCACGTGAAATTGCACGCACAACAAAATCATTTTGAGTACACACGTGCATGTACTTAAACCACCGTTTTGCCAAACGTTATATATATTTATTTTGCGAAAAGCCAAGATCCTTCATAAATGTCAGGCTCCTGGATAAAACACAAATGTGGAATTTGGGTAATCACGAGGCAAGATTGTTTTCGTGAAGAAAAAAAAAACAGTAAGCTTCAAATAATTTTGTTTTCAATTATTCCGAAACCAAAATGCACGATTAATGATTGTCCCTCCATGTGGGGCAAGTCACAGTGAAATTGATGTTGCGTCTCATCTGCACACAAAGCACACGAGCCTCGGAAACGCCGAGCCAATGTTCTCAACGACGCTGAAGCTCTGGCAGAGAGTCGAGCACTCTGCATGAGTCCACGCTCTTTGGGCAACCGTAACAAAAAAAACCTAAAAAAACCACGGCTAAATTTTGCTTTCCGCTCGCCAAAAGGCCAGAGTGCATCGGTGAATCATACGTCATGCAGCTCCCCTCCAAAAAAAAAAGCCCTTTGCCCAAGTGTGCTGTGAACACTCAGCGCGTGATAATTCCTACGCTCTGTCCACTAGCAAATCAATGCCAATCACAGACGCCAGCTCCGTTAAATGTATCATGTCTGACCTCGGCTGTTGTGTAACGCGTTACCGGACGGGGCATCATTCAATGTTATGAGTGAAGAAAAGAAAACAACGACTGGAATTTTTCCGGAGGCCTCTCTGGCGTGTTGACTTGGTGGTCCCCGAATGGTCCATCAATGACTGCTCACGTGATAATACTCATCGGACGCATTTGGCGTTGCTATATTCGGCCTTCGGTTGTGTAAGAGAGGTCTGCCGAAGTGACTCTAGAAGCAGTTTGGTGGTGTCAGTGTAAACAGCAACCCAACGGCTTGACGGAATTCTCGGCAGGCGGACGGAATTCACAGAGGATGTTTATCCACGTAACTCGGCATACGACCAAGTCACCTGTTAGGTAGCTCAGCAGCTGAGCCGGGTTGAGCCGATGTAATTATTGAGACAGGAAGCTGCCTGGGAATATGCGGTGCCATCCACGGTGGCCCATGGATGGCAGTACAGCAAACAGATTATTGAATCCATCTGTGTGGAGATTTAGTGTTTTCCCCCATTCACATTGGTTTTGTCCCCCCCCCCCCACCACCCTGTGGATACTCTGGTTCCTTCCCCAAGCTAAACACACTCATGAGCAAAATAAGCCAAAAACATCCCAATGCAGGACCCTCCTCTGCATTGAGATGTTTTATAATCTCGAGATTCAACGAGGCTGTCATGGGTAAGTAAAGATAATTTTATATCTATATTAAGACAAAGATCCCCCGTATAGCCTTAAGAGACTTTCAGGGCAAGTGCTGTTAGTGAGCATCTATTAAGGCCAGCATTATTTTATTATGTTTTATTTGTATTATTTTATTACTTCCTTTCTACATAGGGTGGGTGGCCAGCACCACGCCCGACCGCCTTTGTCTCCCCCAGTGGCTTTATGTTATTTTACACACCACACCAGGTACTCATTTGAGGTTGAGTCTACCAGGGGGAGGCCCCGGACCGGTTCAGATAATCTTCAACGGTGTTGGCCATTAGCGGGAATCGATCTCGGGTCCCCCGGCTTCGTAGCGCGCTAACCACTACACCCTCGCTCCCCACTACACACACACACACACGTAAAAAAAATGCATCGAATGAACGAAGCCGTTTGAAGTCAAACGGATGGATTGTTAAGGGAGGAAATGCACGCACTGACGCATGTCTTGCCATCCGCGTGCAGCCGAGTCCCTGCGTGGCATTCGCAGTGGTAGCTGCCCGGAGTGTTGATACAGGTGTGCTGGCAGCCCCCGTTGTACGCCAAGCACTCGTCCAGATCTGACGCGCAAAAAAAAAACAAAAAAAAGAGAGAGAGAAAACCCGTTCAGCGCGGCCTTTCAAAGCGATGCACTCCCCCCCAGCTCCCTTTACTTGAGACCGGGCGAGCACCTGGGGAGATCAGACGTGTCTTCTTTTGTTTTTGTTTCAGTGAGACCTGGATAGAGGAAGGGAAAAAAAACAAGCACGTCGTAACGGCAGACAGGGTTATAGTCATCTTGGTGACCTGGGTCACTCTGGCAAATGAGACACATCCTGGTCTCCTGAGTTCTCGCCTGGTAACGCACGATAAACTAACTGACGTAAATAAATGAAAAAGGAGTTAAAGATCACGAACAGAGCAAATCAACGTTTCGGTTGACCGCCATTAAAGCACGCGGGTTTTTTTGAGCGATTCAAATTTAATTTTAATTGAGAGTTAAACATTGGAGACAGTGGAAGCCTTCGGAGTGCAACACATTTCATAACACAGTGTTAAACAACAAAAGAGCTACACATTCCATCAGATTTTATTCCCTTTGGGGGTGGGTGGGGGGCAAGGCAGAGGGCAGAGGTTTAGCGGCAAAAGCACTCTCATTTTCCACCGTCAATGTTCACCACTTCGAATCTAAACCCCGTTCCCAAGCGCCCAGCAGGAGTCACAGTATGTTGGCCGTTTGACAAGAGATGACGACTTTAAGCCTCAAAGGCATTTTCTTTTGATCTTACGGGCATTCAGTGAAATCAACACGCTTTGCCAGGGTGAAAAGTTTCATCATAATAATAATCGTGATGATGATGACTGTTTGGATTTATAAAGCGCCATTCATGCAAATCGCATCTCACAACCGCCGAGGAACCACAGACAAGCGGGGAGGCAGCAGTGAGGCCATGAGCCGGTGCCAATAATTGCCCATGCTATGCAGTCATCTCTATATATTAAGATGTTGTTTTCAGCCGGTTAATTAAGTTCTAGATTTGAAGCTTTCGTGACTGCAAAGATTCATATTCTTAGGTTTGTTCGGTTAAGTCACGTAAGTAAAACATCAAAATAAAAATAAAATAAAAATAAAAATCACGACGTTTCGGAGGCAACACAAGTCTCCGTCATCAGGTGGGACCGTCACAGCCGAATTAGCTGCATCAAGTGAAGCAATAATTCAAGATGTAATCCCTTATAAGCAAGTTGAAGGGAGGTGGAGAGGGGGGGGTTGGAGAACTTTTCAGACTGTGGTAGCCAATGAATGGAAACGTATCGGGAGGGAGGAGGAGCGGTGATCAAAGACTGCAACGCAGTGCTCAACACAATGAATGGAAACGTATCGGGATGGAGGAGGAGCGGCGATCAAAGACTGCACGCAGTGCTCAACACAATGAATGGAAACGTGTCGGGATGGAGGAAGAGCGGTGATCAAAGACTGCAACGCAGTGCTCAACACAATGAATGGAAACGTATCGGGAGGGAGGAGGAGCGGCGATCAAAGACTGCACGCAGTGCTCAACACAATGAATGGAAACGTGTCGGGACGGAGGGTGAGCGGCGATCAAAGACTGCACGCAGCGCTCAACACAATGAATTAAGTGTTTATACACGTGGCAGGAAATCGGAGCACCCGCCGTAAATCCGCGCGTGCGAGGGGGCAACACTCAATCCGTATACAGATGGGACAGAGGGTCCGCACTTTGCAAAACCGCCTTCCCTTGGCATGCCAGGGCATGGCACCTCCTCAACGCGCACAGGAAAGAAGATTGGCAACGTTTGTCCGGTGATCCGCCAATCCTCACCGCCTCCGCAGTGGTGGACTACAGGCGTGTTTGCATAGCCACCCCCGCCGCCTGGCTATGAGAGGAGCTGTTTCCGTTGTTGGCTGAGCAGCTCCATCCCTGAATAGCAGATCTTCCAACAACTCGGACACTCATGCCTCTCCTTAGGGGGACATCTCAGATGATGGTGGCTTGTGTCGCCTGAGCTGCCTTTCTTTGTTTGACCGGTGTAGGCTCTCTCTCCTCCACAATCTCCAATCTATCTGCCATAATCTTCACTCTCTCCTACACAATCTCCACTCTCTCCTCCACAATCTCCACTCTCTCCTCCACAATCTCCACTCTCTCCTCCACAATTTCCACTCTCTTCTCCACAATCTCCACTCTCTCCTCCACAATCTCCACTCTCTCCTCCACAATCTTTACTCTCTCCTCCACAATATCCACTCTCTTCTGCACAATCTTCACTCTCTCCTCCACAATCTCCACTCTCTCCTCCACAATCTTCACTCTCTCCTCCACAATCTTTACTCTCTCCTCCACAATCTCCACTCTCTCCTCCACAATCTCCACTCTCTCCTCCACAATCTTCACTCTCTCCTCCACAATCTTTACTCTCTCCTTCACAATATCCACTCTCTCCTCCACAATCTTCACTCTCTCCTCCACAATCTCCACTCTCTCCTCCACAATCTCCACTCTCTCCTCCACAATCTCCACTCTCTCCTCCACAATTTCCACTCTCTCCTCCATAATCTCCACTCTCTCCTCCACAATCTCCACTCTCTCCTCCACAATCTCCACTCTCTCCTCCACAATTTCCACTCTCTTCTGCAACAGGACCCTGCGGGATGGGCTGGTAGGAACGAATAACCAAAGAATATAAACATAATGTATATTTAAACTTGTTTAGCCAGGAAAGCCCCACTGAGTCAAAAGGTTTTTGTAGGGCCCTGCCAAGTGTTTGCAGTAGGGGGCGATGTTGCTACACGGACGGACGGACGGTCCGGACGGTCAGACGGACGGACGGACGAAATAATCTATTGGTGGCTGGTCCACTTCGTTCCTACCAGTATAATCTCCACTCTCTCCTCCATAATCTCCACTCTCTCCTCCACAATCTCCATTCTCTCCTCCACAATCTGCACTCTATCCTCCACAATCTCCACTCTCTCCTCCACAATCTCCACTCTCTCCTCCACAATCTCCACTCTCTCCTCCACAATTTCCACTCTATTCTGCATAATCTCCACTCTCTCCTCCACAATCTCCACTCTCTCCTCCATAATCTCCACTCTCTCCTCCACAATTTCCCCTCTCTTCTGCATAACCTCCACTCTCTCCTCCATAATCTCCACTCTCTCCTCCACAATCTCCACACTCTCCTCCACAATCTCCACTCTCTCCTCCATAATCTCCACTCTCTCCTCCACAATCTCCACTCCCTCATCCACAATCTCCACTCTCTCCTCCACAATCTCCACGTTATCCTCCACAATCTCCACTCTCTCCTTCACAATCGCCACTCTCTCTTCCACATTCTTCACTCCTTTGCCCACTGCCCATCTTCACGAATGGACGATGGTCCTGGGCAAGCTGCTCTGAGTTCTCAGTGGGAACACCACACTTCTTAAGAGTTGACGTGCATCAACTTGCTCAATGGATCAGCGCTTCGGGTCATTGAGCACAACATCATTGAAGGAGCTTTCTCACTCTGTCTTTATTCTCCGACCTCTTTGACCTAATGTTGTCGTCACGCGGAATATCGCTTTTGTTTCGATTTAAAGCTTTCGTGACTGCAGGAATTCATCTTCTTGGCTCTTTCGGTAAAGTCACGTAGAAGAGAAATAAAATGATAAAAATAAAACATAATTAAATAATTCTCACGACGTTTCGGCCACAACGCAAGCAGCCGTCCTCAGGTGAAGAACAGGTCTGTCCAGACGCTGTCTTTCCGACAGACCTGTTCTTCACCTGAGGACGGCTGCTTGCGTTGTGGCCGAAACGTCGTGAGAATTATTTTATTATGTTTTATTTTTATTATTTTATTATTTCCCTTCTACGTGACTTTACCGAAAGAACCAAGAAGATCGTTTTTGTTCTCAGGGTTTTTATTTATTAAATAGGCTAAACCGTTTCTCAAGAGCAAATGCGTTTTTAAAATGTCTTCTCAAAGAACATAACGTACAATTGTCGTCCAGCATTGCATCAATCAAACAAAGTTTGTTTTGACAAAGTCCTAGACTCATTCGTGAACTTAATCAACATCAGCAATGCAGGTCAGGGTGTATTTGGTGGTTTGCAAAGAGAACGTGACATTCTACAGTTATTTATTTAGTTTCAATACGTCCGTTATTTTCCACAATTTTTATTGCAGTTGTGCGACTGGGGTTACAACGCGAGACAAATAATCCATTGGGAACTCTTTGAGGCAAGTCCACCACCCCTTGCTAGAGAAGGGCCCTGGGAAGAACACATCAACAAGCTCTGTCTGAGTTGGCATTACCGTTTATTTAAATCCCCATTAGTGGCACTGCACTTTCTCCACACTGCCATATTTGTCTCGTGGCAAGTCAACACCGACATTTTATATTGTAAAAATTCCAGAGCTGACATATTTCCTAATTTAAATGAACATTTAATTTTAATATAATGGGTTTTTGTGTGTGGAATCTCTGATGACTGGGCTGAGACCACCAACACCGTTAAACTTGTGAACCTTGTTTAAGCACACGTGACTAAAACCTGGTTCCGAACCCAGGATTTCAGCAGTGCGGGGTTAGTGCCTCTGAGGCCTTAGCCATCTGGCCAACTCCAAGAAAAAAAAATAATACTAAAATTAAAGACTTTCTGTCAAAAAAATATCACCAAGACTGCATCCTCCTCCAAGGATGAGGCGCTTGTGCAGAGCATAGAATGACTGATAATACCGATTTAGAGAAATCGTAATGAGGGTAAATCTAATCTCTTTCAAGGAAACCGAGAACACATTCCTGCGGAGGGAGCTGGTAGGAACGTTGGGTTACTCGGTCAATGGCCAGGGTCAACGGCGGCGTGGTGTATTCCGCAAATATACCCTGACTGTGAGGGCGGGCACAAGCCGGCGAGAGTAGGTTAAACGTTGAGTTTTATAAGGGCACCACGGGGTGACCAGCCCCTCCCCACCCAGCCCCTCCCCACCCCCCCCTCTCCACCCAGCCCCTCCCTCCCCACCCAGCCCCTCCCTGCACGACGGACGGACACAATAATCCCCTGTG